CCAGCTTCTCACAACACTTCTTAAATAGGCTCTTTATGGGGCACCTGGGTGGCTCAGTTGGTTGAGCATCCAACTCTTGGTTTCAGCTCAGGTCATGATCTCATGCAGTGTGGGACTGAGCCCTGTGTTGGGCTCCCTGCTTAGTGGGGAGTCTGCTTGAAGATTCGCTCCCCCTGCCCCTCCCCCAACTTGCATGTGCTCTCTCTCTCTTGCTCTCTCTCAAATAAATAAATCTTAAATAAGCTCTTTATGGTCATAAACCAGGCAATTTCATCTATTGGAAGAGACATTGGATAAAAAATACTCTTGAACCTCACTGAAAGGGATCTTATCAGGTATTCTTATAAATCTTGTTAATATTAAAAAAAATCAATGTCATTAAAAAATATAAGCAGTTGTGGATACAAAGTCTACTGACATGAGAATAAACAGATTGTTTATTCAGAACTTAATATAGGAAAGATTTCAGGCACCATCACTTACATTTGGCAGAGACTCAAAGACAGGAGGGAAGTGAAAAAGATTTATAGTGAAATAAAGGGAAGACTTCAGAAACACTGATTAGAAGTTGGAATAGGGAAGCTGGAATTAGGCTAAGTAGAAGCAGGACATCATATGGTTTGGGGAGCACATCTGGCTTATATTTGGACCACCCAGAGAAATCTATATAAACAGCTTTCTTGAGTATAACTGACAATGAACTTCACATATTTAAAGTGCACATATCACCTGTGTTATATACATACATAACTGTGAAGCCATTATCTATATATCCATTACCCTCTAAAGTTTCTTTCCTCCTTTATATCTCTCTCCTGTTTCCTCCCTATAATAGATACAGAGCAATTCATCTTATCCATTTTTTTTCTTGAGAAAGCTTTGCTAATTTATGTCTTTCAGGAAAGTTGGCCATTTATCTGTGTTATTAAATTTATTACCATATAGTTGCTCAAAATACATCCTGTTAGTGTCTGTAGAATATTTCACCTCTCTTATTTCTGATATTGGTAATTTATAGGTAGTTTTCCTGATCAATTTGTTTAGAGGTTTAGCAATTTAATCAATCTTCTCAAAGATTCAACCATCACTGTCATTAGTTTTCTTTATTATTTTGCCTATTTTATTGATTCAGTTTTGATCTTTATTATGTTATTTCTTATTACTTTGGATTTAACTTTTTTAAATTTATTTATCTAATTTCTGAAGTCATTGATTTGAGATTTTTTCTTCTATATAGGTGTTTAGTGCCATGCGTTTCTCTTGAAGTACTATTTCTGTTACATTTCACAAATTTTGATATGCTGTATTTTCATTTTCATTTAGTTCAAAATACATTCTGGTTTGATTTCTTATTTGACTAATGGCTTTTTAAGATGTGTATTATTATTTTTTCCCCAAATTTTGAGGGATTTGACAAGAATCATTATGTTACTGATTTCTAATTTAATAACATTGTAATCAGAGAACATTTCTAGCATGACTTGATTCTTTCTACATTTATTGAAATTTGTTTTATGGTCCAGGTTATTGTCCATCTTGCTAAAATTTCTGTATGTACATGAAAAGAATGTGGATTCTGCTGGTTGTTGGACTAGTGTTCTATGAATGTCAATCAGGTCATAATGGTTGATAGTGTTGTAAAGTCTTTTATAACCTTGCTGATTTTCTGCCTATTTGTATTACAAATCATTCAGTGAAGGGCACTGAAATTTCTGATTGTAATTGTGGACTTTTAATTTTATATTGCAGTTCCATCAGTTTTTGCTTCATTTATTTTGAAGCTCTCTTATTAAGTGAATAAATGTTTAGGATTTTTATATATTTTTGACTTAATGTCCTCTTTGCCATCATGAAATGATTTTTTTTTTTTAATCCCTGGTAATATTCTGTGCTCTGAAAACTAGTTCATCGAATACTGATGAAGCCATTCCAACTTCATTTGACCAGTGTTGGCATGATATATCTTTCTATCTTTGTACTTTAAACTTCAGTTTTTATATTCATGTATGTTTCTTCTAATAGACAGCAATTAAAAAAATAATCTGACAATCTCTGCCATTTAATAGGGGTATTTAGACCATTCACATTTAATGTAATAATTGATATGACTCTATCATCTTGCTATTTGTTTTCTATTTCTCCCACCTGTTCTTTGTTTCCTTTTTTTTGTACTTTTTCTGCTTACTTTTAGATTAGTCAAGTAATTTTTAGTATTTTTAGTATTTAGTATTTTCATGATGGCTTTAGGTTTTATGATATACATATTTAACTTATTACAGTGTACCTGCAAGTAATATTATACACATCAGGAATAATATAAGAATCTTATAGTAACAGACTTCCATTTTTCTCCTCTGGCATTTTTGCAATTGTTGCCATGCATTTTACTTTTACATATATTTTAAACCTCACAATACATTTTTATTATATTTATTTAAGTAGTTAGTTACTTTTAAAGAGATTAAAATAATAAGAAAAATAATTGTATATACTTACTCCTACAGCTATTTCCGGTGTTCTTCATTGTGTAGATTCAGATTTCTATCTGGTATGTTGTCCTTCTGTTTGAAGTATTTACTTTAACATTTCTCATAGTGAGAATCTGCTGGTGATAAAGTCTATCAGTTATGTGTGGAAGCATCTTTATTTTATCCTCATTTTAAAAAAGATATTTTTGTCAGATATAGAATTCTAGGTTGACAGTTTTTTTTCTTTCAATATATTTAACTGTTCTGTCTTCTCACTTGCAATGTTTCTAATGAGAAATATGTTATCTTTATTTTTGTTTCTCTGTAATGTTTCTCTCTGAGTCCTTTAAGATTTTTTTATTATCACTGTTTATTAATGTGTAATTTATTATGTACACTGATGTAATGCTCTTCATCTTGTGTTTAGGTTTTGTTAAGCTTTTGGAAGGCAGGTTTGTGAGTAAAGATGCGATAGAAGGATTGAATTAGCAATGGGAGCTTATGGAAATTCTCTTCAGATTGCTTCAGTGTTCAATGAATTAGGAAGCAAGATCACTGGCTGAGACTGAGGATAGAGGATGATATGTTGGATGCGATAGAAGGTATAAAGTTGTCATGTAGGAGGGTAGGAGAAATCAATGGAGGGGGAACTTTAATATAGTTTTTGGGCATCTTAAAGGGCACACTTAAAATTAGTGATCATGAATTTAAAGTCAACATGGTTGGGTGTTTATCTCCTTCCAGTTTCAGTTGCAAAGGTGCAGGCACTTAATATGTAGTTTTGCTAAGGCCAGAATTGTGGCTTTGCCCAGTATTACAGTAATTCAGAGAGGGGAAGGGAGTTGAGGATGTATGCAGCTAATTATTATATTGATTGATCAGCGAATATATCTACATCAACAGATGTAATATCTATTTCCCAATGAGAGTGGAAACTATCAGAAGGCAGTTCTTAGCATCTAGAAGGTGCTGACTATGTATTTGCTGATCCCTGTATGGATGTCTTAACACTAGAAAAACCAGGAACTAAAGGAAGCTGTCATATTGGAGCAAATTAACTCCTTTTTCAAATAAAATGCTTGTAAAGTCCTTAACATGGCCCACATAGCTCTTCCTGTCCTGGCTCTAGCCTATTAAATCAGCTTCCCTTACACCAAGCTCCCATGCTCTCTCGACTTCAGATATACTGAACTTCTTCCAGTTCTTTGCACTTGCCACACAGCTTCGCATATGTGCCTCCCTCTGCAGGGATGTTTTATTCTTCAGGGATGTTTTATTCTTCGCTGGTAGCTGACTCATCTACTTTTCAGTTTTCCTTAATAATTCCTACAAATACTCCTATAAATTTAATATTTAGTAAGTATCTTCTAGTACTTGTCACAGTTCTGATTTTACATGTGTCGTCGATAGCTGTTTACTACTATGCAGTTAGCGTACTGAGGACAGGGATCTTGACTGTTTTTAGGCCCCGCAGGACCTACCATGGTCTGCGGCACATTTGTAGGCAGTATAAACATTTTTGGTAAAAAAAAAAAATAAAGGTTAAAGTAAATGTTATATGTGAAGCTTGGTGTGGAGAGCGACATCTTTCTTTTAGAAAATTCACGAGAAACTGGCTAGTGCTACATGCCGACCCCTTCACAGCTTTGCCCTGAATCTTGCAGAGACCACGGGGAAGAAAGAAGGACTCACGGAAGCCAACTCGTCTCGTAATTACGGCCAGACTTTGGGAGGCGCCTGCGCACTGGCCTCACCGGATATACGCCAGGGAGTGGGGGTGGGGCTCGGGTAGCCTAGGCAACATCCCGGAAGTTGCGGGCTGCGTTAACCTGTGGCGGGCCGGGAGGTTCTGGAGCCTGAAGTTTTAGTGGCAGTGGAGGAGGCTGTCGGGAAACGGCAAGGCAGGTTGCGACGACGTGGCGGAGGCCTGCAGCCTGTAGCCCCAGCGAGCCTTAGGGACCGGGCTGCAGGGCTGGGAAAACGGTGGTGGCGTCTCCCTTCTGTTCCCTGGGGCTCTAGGCGCCTGGGTGGAGGATCCTTACATCGGAAAGCGCGCCGCGACTCTGTGTTTTGCGTTTGTCTGTGTCAGGATGAGTGTCTGGGTGTGTTGGTGTCTAGCGCGCTCCCCTTAGGCTCACCCTGAGTGTGCGCAGCGCTGTCGAGCACTTGTGCACAGAGCTGGAAGTTGGGGAGTACCGTATTGTAGCTATAAAGGAATTTGCAGTCTAGCAGGAGACAGGCTACCCAGGGTACTTGGGGACAGGGAGGGTCATGTCAGTCGACTGGATGGTCAGGAAAGAGTTTATCAGGAGGGGCCGCCGGAATGAGTTGGTTTTTGTTTTTTTTTTAAGATTTTATTTATTTGACAGAGAGAGAGAGACAGAAAGGGAACACAAGCAGGGGGAGTGGGAGAGGGAGAAGCAGGCTTCCCGCCGAGCAGGGAGCCCGATGCGGGGATCGATCCTAGGACCCTGGGATCATGACCTGAGCCGAAGGCAGACGGTTAACGACTGAGCCACCCAGGCGCCCCTGGAATGAGTTTTGATTAGTGACTGGAGTTACCGCAGGGAGAAGGGAGTGAAAATCTGAAGGGTGTTCCACGCGGAGCAGAAAGGATGGGTGGAACGACTTGTGAAGGCGAGTGAGAGGAGCACAGACTGTTAAGGAAGGTCAGCTAGACCACAAGGAGGGCAGAGGGTCCGAGTGCATATTGGATTCCTCTCTGCAGGGCGGAGCCGTTAAAATCTTGTGGGGAAGAAAGTAAAGGGCCGAGGGCTATACTCTATCCTTATATCGGGGTAAAGTATTGATTGCAGGGACAGTATTTGGAACGGGGTCCTGTTTCCCTTTGGTCAGTTTTCCACTAGCCAGAGTGGATTTGCTAAATCTTATCGTAACTCCCCTTACCTAAAATCCTCCAGTGGCTTCCTATGGGTTCTTTAGGATAGTGTTTAAATTGCTGTAGCTTAGAAGGCCATGATCTGTCCTCTGCCTTTCTTTGTAACCTCTTTCTAGCCTCTCACCTTTTCAAATCTGTTAGTCAAACTGAACTTCTCAAACCTTTTGTAAATGCCTTTTCTCCCACCTGGAACATTCTTTCCCCCACTTCTAGCTTTATTCATACTTTAGCTCTCAGGTAAACATCTTGGGAACAATTAGAGGGATATAGTGGTCTTTTCTTACTGTGGGTAGAGTAAGGTATTAACATGACACTGAATTTCCTCCCTTTTTATTGTAATTACTCATTTTAATTGTGGTCTTCTGATAAACCCTAAGCTCTGAGGGTGCAGACTATTTTACTTTCTTGTTGTATTTTGTGCCTGGCTCTTGGCAGGTGCTTTCAAAATATTTGTTGAAATATGGGTAATGAAGTGGCAAATGAGTGAAGAAGTTCAATTAGAAGAAAGTGCTTGGACAAAAACATTCGTAGTAGAGATGAAGAGGGGACAGATGAGAGAGATATTTCAGGGAAAGAATGAATAGATTCCGGTATCTGATTGGCTAAGAGACAAGAAGGAATAGAAGGTGATGCTAAGGTTTTAAACTGGAACAACCAGAAGGATGGTAATTCTGTAAGTTCAGTTGAGTTCAGACATTTACTGAGCATGCCAATTATATATCAAGAACTAGAGGTTGGTGGGGAGGGGACATGGATGATAAGCTGTATTTTGACTACATTGTATGTGAGATATTTGAGAGATATACACAGAAGGCAGTTGGAAATGAGCATTTGGTGTGTTGAGGAAAAATGTGGATCCTTAATTTGGGGCTCATTTTCACAGTGTGTTTATGTGCCCAGTGCATTTGTAGCTTTGATCAAGGGTATGAGTGAGATCACTGAGGGAAGATGTGAACTCCTTTCTTACTTTCTAGTAAGCTCCCTGAGAGCTTGTACCATATTAGACCTGTTTACTGTTTTGTCTCCTGTGCCTGGTCAGTGTCTGGCATGTGATAGATTCTCAAAAACAATGATTGGATAAAGAGAGAGGGTATCCAATGGAAAGATAAGAGGGTTGGGATAGAACTGTGTGCAGCTTTTTGATTATGTGGTATCTGAGGAGGGGCCAGCAGAGCCTGCAAAGAAGAGACGAATAGGAGAGAAACCGAGAGAAAGAGTGTCCTGGAAACCAAGGGAGGGGAGAGCTTCCAGGAGTGGGAGTCTTTAGATTTGGAAAGGGCTTTCCAATAATTTTATCAGTTAGGAAAGTATTAATATTTTAGATTTTTTCAAATAATTTTATCAGTTAGGTAAGTATTAATATCTTAGATTTTTTTCAAATAGGCCCAGATTTTCTGGGCTCTGCTGATTTTGTATTCCTTAGTACTATGAACCATCATAATATCTCTACAGTCTCACACTTCAGCATGTAAACTAAAGCTCCCTTATGATATCTGATTTCTGTAAATAGCTCAAAATCTCTTTGTTAGACCACAGAGTCTGATCCTGGGTTAAGAAAAATATGCCCACTTGTATTGATGATGTTTAAGAGAATGCTTCTCAGTGCAAGGGTGGTTCCCACGTTACAGCTTAGTTCTCCCTTTGTGATCTTAGCACACACAGGCTGGAATTTAGAGTTGGCCAGTATATTAGTCTCCTACACTGTATAACAAATTACCACAAACCTAGTGACTCAAAACCATACTCATTAATTATCTCACGATTTCTGTGAGGCAAGAATTTGGACATGGTTTAGCTGGGTAGGGTGCTTAGGGTCTCACAAAGTTATGATTAAGGTGTTGGTGGTCTGCATTCTCATCTAGAACCCAGCTTGGGAAAAGTCCGCTTCGACGCTCACCTCACCTCACGTAGGTTGTTGGCAGAATTCATTTCCCTGGGGCTGTATGCCTGAGGGGTCTCTTGACTGACTTTCTCCTCCTGCGGCCCACTTCCCCTCCAGGCGGCCCACAGTTCTCTGAGTTGCCGGCCCTCTGGCCCTTTGCACAGCCAGTCACCGTGGCATTTGGCTTCTTCACGGCCAGCAGGAGACTCTCTTGCTCTGCTCTCATAAGACAGAGACTAGTATAGCCTAATGTAATCACAGGAATGACCTCTTCTCACATTTGCCTTGTTTTATTGGATAAAACAAATCACAGGGGAAAAAAGCCCAGAACAAATCGTGGATCCTGTCCAAACTCAAGGGTAAGGGATCATACAATGGCATTATTCATTGCATTTCATCTTAGAGTAACCACAGCCAGCTTTGCTAGGCTCAATTGAAGTTAAAAAAAAAAAAAGGGAACAGTAGTAGACTGTTGTAGTCCAATCAGACTTCCATAACAAAATACCAGACACTAGGTAGCTTATAAATGAGAAATTTTTTTCTCACAGTCTGGAGGCTGTGAAGTCCAGGATCAAGTCTCCAGGATGGTCATGTTTGGTAAGGGCCCTCTTCCTGGTTCCTAGCCACCATCTTCTTGCTGTGTTCTCACATGGTGAACGGGGTTAGGGAGCTCTTTGGAGCCTCTTTTATGACAGCATTAGTCCCATTCATGAGGGCTTTGCCTCCCAAAGGCCCCACTTCCCAAAGGCCCCACCTCCTAATACCATCACTTTTGGGGGTTAGGATTCAACATGAATTTTGGGGGAACAAATTCACTGTTTTTGTCAGTGAATAATGGGGTTTTTTTGGATGTTACATTTTCTTATGCTAAAATTCAAACCTGTTCACGTTCCCACAAATAATAGGGATTTGTTCAATTTTTTTTTTTTAAAGATTTTCTTTATTTATTTGACAGAGAGAGACACAGCGAGAGAGGGAACACAAGCAGGGGGAGTGGGAGAGGGAGAAGCAGGCTTCCCGCCGAGCAGGGAGACCGATGCAGGGCTTGATCCCAGGACCCTGGGATCATGACCTGAGCTGAAGGCAGACGCTTAACAACTGAGCCACCCAGGCACCCCTGTTTAATTGTTTATATTAAATTTCCATATCTCTTTGCTCAAGAAAACTTCTGTTTGGATACATTATATTTATCCAAGTCACTGTTAGTGTACAAATAGCTATGATTTAAAAAATATTGCTTTTCTTAGGGCGCCTGGGTGGCTCAGTTGTTAAGTGTCTGCCTTCGGCTCAGGTATCGAGCCCCACATCGGGCTCCCTGCTCCGCAGGAAGCCTGCTTCTCCCTCTATCAGTCCCTTTGCTTGTGTTCCCTCTCTCACTATGTCTCTCTCTGTCAAATAAATAAAGAAAATCTTAAAAAAAGATATTGCTTTTTCTAAATTTCTGATACTGTTATATCAAGGGCCTCACCAATGAAAGAAGTATATGGGCCTTTTGACTGCTCATAAACTTTTGTATACATCAGACTCATGGTTGGTTTTCAGAGTTGAGGCTGGTAGAATTTCAGCCTCTGAATAAGTATAGTGTTTTAAATAATATAACTTGAATTATTTTAAGAGTAATATGGGTTCATGGTAGAAAATCTGGAAAATCTAGAACCAACCAGAGATAACTCAGTATTAGTGCCATTTTCTAGGAAGTGCATTACATTTAGTGAGACCTGTTTTTTTTTTCCCCAAAAATGTGGTTTTATTAAAGCATGGGACAGGACCCCTGGGCAGAAAGAGCTGCTGCTGAGTCAGACCTGGTTTTGAATATCGCCTCCCAGCTGCCCATTATTATTTGTGTGACTTTGCGCGATATAATACACTTAATCTTTTAAAGCCCCATTTTTCTCATTTGGGAAAGGACTAATAGTTGTCACTGACACCATCATCATTAATCCTAAGTAGAACTTAGTGTGCTAGGTAGGGGTTCTTGACACCTTATGTATTTAATTAGTTCCATTTTACAGTTACTGGCAAAGTTGGGATATGAACCAGACAGTCTGGTTTCAGACTGTACTCTTAACCACTGTGCCGGATTGTCTCTCAAGACAGAATATTCCTCATAGGGTTGTGGGATTAAATGTGAAATGCTTAGCATAAATAAGTGCTTATTAATAATGTATGCATATTAACATCATTGAGAATATACTATACAAGGGGTTCTGTATTCTACTTTTTACACTTAATTTTATGTGTTTTCTTGTGTCATTAAACATTTTTTTTTTAAAGATTTTTTTTATTTAACAGAGAGAGACAGAGCGAGAGAGGGAACACAAGCGGGGGAGTAGGAGAGGGAGAAGCAGGCTTCCCGCTGGGCAGGGACCCCGATGTGGGGCTTGATCCCAGGACCCTGGGATCATGACCTGAGCCGAAGGCAGACGCTTAATGACTGAGCCACCCAGGCACCTCTAAACATTTTTCTTAATACAGTTTTAATGGATGTATAATTCATCCAACAGATTTAGTGACATTTCATGATTCTTCTTTATTTCTGCAGAGTAAATTGAAGAGTAAAAGAGTTAAAAAGTAAAATACATTATTTAAAGAGTAAAATACATTAGAAACTCTTTCTCAACAACTGTTATATTTTTCCATGACTTTTTAAAAAATAACAGCTTTATTAAGATATAACTTACCATGAAATTTACCCCTTAGAAGTTCAGAGCTTTTAAATAAATTTACAGAGTTGTGCATTGATTACCACTGGCTCATTTTAGAACATTTTTATCACCTCAGAAAGAAACCCCATACCCATTAGCAATTACTCTCCATTCCCTCCTCTTTCCAAACCCTGCCAACAGCTTATCTATTTTTTGTCTCTATGGATTTGCCTATCCTGGACATTTTATATTAATAGAATCATACAATATATGGCCTTTGGTGTCTGGCTTCTTTTTCTTACCATAATATTCTCAAGGTTCATATGCCATGTTATAGCATATATCATTACTTCATTCCTTGTATTGCTAAGTAATATTCCATTGTATGGATATACCATATTTTATTTATCCATTCACCAGCTGGCAGACATTTGGGATTTTTCTACTTTTTGTCTATTAAGAGTATAATCTTGGGGCGCCTGGGTGGCTCAGTTGGTTGAGCGACTGCCTTCAGCTCGGGTCATGATCCTGGAGTCCCGGAATCGAGTCCCACATCGGGCTCCCAGCTCAGCGGGGAGTCTGCTTCTCTCTCTGACCCTCTTCCCTCTCGTGCTTTCTATCTCTCATTCTCTCTCTCTCAAATAAATAAATAAAATCTTTAAAAAAAAAGAGTATAATGTTGCTGTGAACATTCATGTGCAAGTTTTTGTATTGACGTAAGTTTTCAATTCTTGGGCATATACCTAGGACTAGAATTGTGGTAACTGAGTTTAACTTTTTCAGGAACTGTCAAACTGTTTTCCAATGTGGCCATGCTATTTTACATTCCCACTAACAATAAATGAGTATTCCAGTTTCTCTACATTCTCACCAACGCTTGTTATTTCCACCTTTTTAATTATAACCATTCTAATGGGTATGAGGTGGTATGTCATTGTGGTTTTGATTTGCATTTCCCTAAAGACTAATGGTGCTGATCATTTTTTCATGTGCTTATTGGCCAATTGTAGTATCTTCTTTGGAGAAATGTTTATTCAGCTCCCTTACCCATTTAAAAATTGGAATATTTGTGTTTTTATTGGTGAATTGTAAGTTTCTTTTATATATCCTGGATCCGGGTTTCTTATCAGATGGGATTTGCAAATATTTTCTCCCATTCTGTTAGCTGTCATTTCATTTTCTTGATGGTATTTTTTGAAGCACGAAAGTTTTAAATTTTGATGGAGTCCACTTTATTTTTTCTTTGGTTTCTTGTGCTTTTAGTGTTATATCTAAGAAACCATTGCTTCATGAAGACTTATGCTTATGTTTTCTATCAGGAGTTTTGTGCTTTTAGCTCTTACATTGAAGTTGGTGACTTGTTTTTAGTTAATTTTTATATATGTTGTAAGGTAGAGGTCTTAATTCATTCTTTTTCATATGGATCTCCAGTTGTCCCAGCACCATTTGTTAAAAAGACTGTTCTTTCTCTATTGAATTGTTTCTTGGCACCTCTGTTGAAAATAAACTGACCACACATGTGATGAGCACTGGGTGTTATATGCAACTGATAAATTATTGAACACTACCTCTGAAACTAATGATGTACTATATGTTGGCTAATTGAATTTAAATAAAAAATTAAAAAAAAAAGAAAAGAAACTGACCATAAATGTAAGGGTTTGTTTTGGATTTTTGACGTATTCATTTGTTTGGCACTCTTAAAATAGCAATGCTAAGGACACTGGACTAAATATTACACAAAATTAGAATAAGACTCATAGTCCCTGTACACTAGGATTTTACAATACATATGTGTGACTTTTAACAAGCAGCACATATACATGACTCCCTTTCCAAAACAAAGATACAGAATATTCTATTCTATTCTGTATCTTTTATTTATTTGTTTGTTTATTTTTTAAATATTTATTTGAGAGAGAGAGTACATGCAGGGGAAAGGGGCAGAGGGAGAGGGAGAAGCAGACTCCCCACTGAGCAGGTTGCCCGAAGGGGGGGTGGGCGCTTGATCCCAGGATCATGACCGGAGACCTGAAGGCAGATGCTTGACTGACTGAGCCACCCAGCGCCCTGTTTATTTTAAAAAGAGATATTTCTATTTATTTGAGGGAGACAGAGTGAGAGCGTGCACGCACATGAGTGGGGGGAGGGGCAGAAGGTGAGAATCTTTTTTTTAAAATTTTTTTATTGTTATGTTAATCACCATATATTACATCATTAGTTTTTGATGCAGTGTTCCATGATTCATTGTTTGTTCATAACACCCAGTGCTCCATGCAGAACGTGCCCTCCTCAATACCCATCACCAGGCTAACCCATCCCCCTACCCCCCTCCCCTCTAGAACCCTCAGTTTGTTTTTCAGAGTCCATCATCTCTCATGGTTCGTCTCCCCCTCTGACATACTCCCCTTTTCTTCCTCTCCTGTTATCTTCTTCTTTTCCTTTTTTCTTAAAATATGTTGCGTTATTTGTTTCAGAAGTACAGATCTGTGATTCAACAGTCTTGCACAATTCACAGCGCTCACCGTAGCACATACCCTCCCCAATGTCTATCACACAGCCACCCCATCCCTCCCACCCCAACCACTCCAGTAACACTCAGTTTGTTTCCTGAGATTAAGAATTCCTCATATCAGTGAGGTCATATGATACATGTCTTTCTCCGATTGACTTATTTCACTCAGCATAACACCCTCCAGTTCCATCCACGTCATTGCAAATGGCAAGATCTCATTCCTTTTGATGGCTGCATAATATTCCATTGTGTATATATACCACATCTTCTTTATCCATTCATCTGTCGATGGGCATCTTGGCTCTTTCCACAGTTTGGCTATTGTGGACATTGCTGCTATAAACATTGGGGTACATGTACCCCTTCGGGTCCCTACATTTGTATCTTTGTGGTAAATACCCAGTAGTGCAATTGCTGGATCGAACGGTAGCTCTAATTTCAACTGTTTGAGGAACCTCCATACTGTTTTCCAGAGGGGTTGCACCAGCTTGCATTCCCACCAACAGTGTAGGAGGGTGAGAATCTTTAAGCAGACTCCCCGCTGAGCATGTGGAGCTTGACACAAGGCTCCATCTCTTGACCTGAGATCATGACCTGAGAGGAAACCAAGATTTGGTTGCCCAACCGAGCCTCTGTTCCAGGCACTCCTCTATTCCGTATCTTTTAAAATGGTGTTTATGGTTCTGCCACTTACTATGTGACCTTCATGGTTGGTTAGTTCTTTGTCCCTTAGCTTTCTCATCTGTAAAATAAATAGTAAATACTTAACGGAATTACTGTTAGGATTAAAGGAAATACTGTGTGGGAAGAGCTTGCTTAGAACAGTACCTGACTTGTGTTAGCTAATGCCATCATTATCACCACCTCCACTGTCCTCATTACCATCACCGTAAGACAGTTAAATGTTATTCTCAAATGTCACTTATCTCTTTTGCCGGATTGTAAACCCTGAAAATAGATAACATGTTTGAGGAGTCAATGTGATTGATAAGACAAAGCAAAGAGGACTGAGGAGAAGCTCTTGAAAATACTTGGATTTAGATGTTTTTCATTACTAAATCATTTTTTTTAAATGTACTTAAGGAAGATACTACCGTCTTTATTTTAGGATAATTTGGAATAAGGGGGTCAGCTCGAAAGTTCTGTAATGAAAGTGTGTAATGAAGTTTTGGAAAGGGAGTCATGTATACGTATTGCTTGTTAAAAGTCACACATATGTATTGTAAAATCCTAGTGTACAGAGACTATGAGTCTTATTCTAATTTTGTGTAATATTTAGTCCAGTGTCCTTAGCATTGCTATTTTAAGAGTGCCAAGCAAATGTTAGCAATTTCCAAATGCTAGTTTAGTATCAGTAATTACCCCCACTTAGAATTGTGTGGAAATATACTAGAAATGATATAACTCATTTGTTCTCTAAAATTTAGCCACCTTTTCTTAGGTAAACATATGTATCTGGTAGTGATTTTAAGTGCTCTTTGCCTTTTTCCTTTTGCTTTGAGATTGTTAGCCTGTGACTGACATTTTCTCTGTTAACTGTGACAAAGCTTATGCCTGTTGTCGTAGGTCTGTGCTTTAAGTCATAATTTGTATTCCTGGAGTTCTTTATTAAGCAAATATACGTAAGTTATCAACTTGAAACCTGTTTTATTATAGTTATCAGTACAGCTTTCTAATTGTGAAGTGAAAGAACCAAGTATTTTGGTTCTTTCTTTCATTATGCTTACATTTTTCTTCTGACACTTTAAAGTTTATTTTCCTAGATGTCTTTGTCCCCATCCAGCGATACTTAATTACCACTTTTTCTTGTATTTTAAAAATTTGATATGATTATTGCTTCTAGATGTCACTTGTCAGAGTGAACCGTTATGGTCCTCGGGGAGGAGGAAGGAAAGTGCTGAAGGTAAAGAAGAAGAAAACATCAGTGAAGCAAGAATGGGATGTAAGTCTAGATGGGATAATAAACCTGTCAAATTGCTCTGGAGGAATAGATGTGATGACACGGCCCTGATCACTTGAGACAGTGCTCTGAATGTGATAGGGTGGAATGGATTTCTGGGCACGTTATATCCCAGGTCCTGGAAGGAAGAGCAGAATCCTTCGGGGATTTTTTAAGAATCCACACGTCAAGGTCATAACCTGTACCTCTTTTGAAGAGGGAATCTTAAGAGGGTGGGGAGAATGTTTTTTAAAAAGTCCCCCAGTCCTTCACTTTGAGAACTCACTGCTTTAAGGCAACTGGAGCTAACCTGTGTCACTGAAGTCTGAATTTTTTTTGGTACTTTTTAAAGATTTGCCCATAGCAACCAATGACATCATAATCATATGAGTGGCATTTTTGGCTGAAAAAGTGGGTGATTCTTGCTCTCTTATTCCTTGAACTGTTTTGTTTTTCACCTCCAGAAGCTGGTCAGTTTCAGTACAAAGGTTCTCTTAAGATGTAAGACAAGTCTCAAGTACCTGGGACATACGATCCCTGGCTCCCACTCTGATTACTGTTTGGTATTATCAAGGGCATCTTTATCTTTCACAGCTTGGTACTTTAGTTTGAACCATGACACTTTAGGTGCCTTTTCTTTCTGTTGTGGAGAGCAACTAGTCAGGGACTACTTTTGATCTCAGGGATTCTTTTGGACTTGGAAACTTCTGGGCAAACTGACAGCCTTTTTGAAGTGGCTCAGGGGGACTTACCTACGTTTATATTGCTTTGTTGTCATCTGATTGGCTATAAAATATTATTAGGGTGTGATTCTAAGGCAATGAAACTGATTAAAAGGAAAAAAATGCATGTGATAACTTAAAAGTTACCCACTTCAGAGTGGTTACTGTGGGAAGTTTAATATTTATTTTGATTTGCTGCTATTGCTCAAAACATAATCGAAACCCACCGTTTGAAATTGCATTTTCCTCATTTGCTTTTTATTATCTCCAGTGCTGGAATAATCTGTTTTTTGTAGACTAAGCCTGGAAGTAGTTTTAAGTCATTGGGAGTAAATAGTAAATGAAGGAGAGATCAAACTGAATAATACTATTTTGATAAAAATAGTGAGATGGTTTTTGAAATGGCTTGTAAATTACATTTACAAGGCATTTCAGAAGAAAATCATTTTAAGCAGTAGTAGTATTAATGAAATTATATTTTCACCCATGAGAACTAAGTTCAAGCATATCCCTTATATGCCTGAATTTTATTATGATTATTAAAAATCTCAAGATCTTATGGTTATATCTTGTGCTTTTCTAAATTAATATGAAAGGAATAACAGTTTTTGTATAGAAAATCCTTGAGCTAAATATAAACTGTGGCCAAAAAGTTAAGTCTTTGAATATATTGGAATCTATTTTACCAGATCCAGTTCTCTGTATATCTGTTGGAAGTAGAACTCTAACTTGTTTTATTTCCTGCCTTACCAAATCTGTATAACAAAATGGCTGAAGTCACTTTGGAGAGCGCCAAATTGCAGGGCAGCTACTTCAAGCTGTGTAGGTTATGCATTGCACAATCCCCAGGGGTAATGTTTACATGGACCAGAATAATAATGGTAGCTCCTGGAGTTGTGGGGTGTGGTAGATCTGCCATGTTGATTTAGTGCCTTTTTGCATAAGTGACTGTTTCACATTTTATGAAATTATACAGTGCCCTCAAACTTTATCCCTTATTATGTATGATATATTCTATGCTTAAGTTGTTTGCATGCACACAAATTTAACCTCTCTATAGTGATCACAGTTTATCTTTTAGGAATCTTTAGAGGTGCCTCATTCTCTGGAATGCAGTTTGAAAACTACACTTTCAGTTAAACTTACTCATTTTGAATTACATAACTACCCTGTTTTATTCATTGTTTTAATATAATATATGCCTGCTTGGTAAATTTAGTGCTTATTTTCTTAAGATACCTAAAAGTAGCCCGTTATTTTTTAATAAGAAAACTAAAAATAACCCATATTAATATTTAAATTGAGAATACTGGTTCCTGGACAGGAAGTCTTTTTTGTCTCAGGACTTTGAATCTATTTTCAGCCTCTATTTTTTTTATTTTTGTTTTTATTTATTTTTTGTGTTTTTATTTTTTATTATTATTTTTAAAGATTTTATTTATTTGCTAGAGAGAGAGAGAGCATAGGTGAGAGAGAGTGAGTGAGAGCACAAGCAGGGGGAGCTGTGGGCAGAGGGAGAAGCAGGCTCCCTGCTGAGCAAGGAGCCCAATGCGGGACTCGATCCCAGGACCCTGGGATCATGACTTGAGCTGAAGGCAGCCGCTTAACTGACTGAGCCACCCAGGCGTCCCTATTTTTATTTTTTTAAGAGACTTTTTTTTTTTTAAAGATTTTATTTATTTTTTGACAGAGAGAGACACAGCGAGAGAGGGAACACAGGCAAGGGGAGTGGGAGAGGGAGAAGCAGGCTTCCCACTGAGCAGGGAGCCCGATGCGGGGCTCGATCCCAGGACCCTGGGATCATGACCTGAGCTGAAGGCAGACACGCTTAACGACTGAGCCACCCAGGTGCCCCTGTTTTCAGCCTTTAAAATCTAGCGTGTACTCATACCTAACCACATGTAAATGAACAATGTAAGTTCATAGGTGTGACATAACTCTCTGAAGAATGTGAACAAATATGGTAAGAAGTTTGAATAATAAAACTAACATTTTATTTTAATTTAAATAAACACATTTGTTTTATATATTATGAAAAAATAGAAATAATTTTATTTCAATTTAAAATAGCAATTTTATCTTGCTAAATGTGATGATCAGACAAATCCCTTAACTCTTCAAAGAAAGGTTTCTTGGAGGTTAGCATGCTTAGTTAAGTACATAATTTTTTAACTGAGGCCCATTTGGCATGTGGGAGAAAAAAGATATACCAGGCTCAAACTAATAAAAAAAGGCTTTTGAGGGCGCCTGGCTGGCTGAGTCAGTAGAGCATGAAACTGTTGATCTTAGAGCCATGAGTTTGAGCCACACGTTGGGCATAGAGAGTACTTAAAAAAAAAAAAGTTAAAAAAATTTTAAAAAGGCCTCTAAAAAAAAAAGGAAAATGAATTTATCAAAAATAAACTAAAATTGATTTTAAATGTTTTTAACTTAGTTTAAAGAAAATTTTTCCTGTAAGAAAATTACCCAAAGAAAGTGAATAAACATTGAAATCCTATTTTTAAAAAAATCCAATATATACTAATATTTTGTAAGAAAACTTTTTTTTTAAAGAAAGTTCTTTTTTTGCAGAATACTGTGAATGACCTAACAGTTCATCGGGCAACTCCTGAAGATCTGGTAAATTTAATATCAAAAGTTAAGATTTGTTCAATGTTTTATTTGATATTTGGTTTCTGACCTTCAGAATAGAAACCAGAGGTATTTCCTGGAAGTTCTTCCATTGTATTTCATCTTGCTTATGTCTATATGAAATTGAAAAGCATATCATCTGGACTTCCTGATTTTACCTGGGAATGTCACTTAGCATGTATTAATATTTTATTAGATAGGTTTGGTTTCAAATCTCTCTGTTCAAATCTCTCCAGTATTGCCCTGTATACACCTATTGTCTTCTAGTCTCTGTAGGTATCTCTAGCCTTATTTACTGTTACTTCTTGTCAATGTACTCATTTATTCCTTGAATATGCCAGGTATATTTCCACAGTTGAGCCTCAATTCATGTGATTTTCTTTACTTGGAACAGTTTCTCTACCTTCTCTACCTTCTTGTCTACCTATCCAAATCTTACTTTGTTTCCTTATCCTAGTTTAAGTCTTACTTTTAAAAAGGTTTCTGCTATAGACTAAAAAAAAAAAAAAAAAGCTTTATTGAAATACAATTCACATACCATAAAATCCACCCTTTTAATGTGTATGACCCATTGGTTTTGAGTATATTCATATTTTCTAATTTAGAACATTTTCATCACTCCCTGAAAGAAACCCTGTACCTGTTAACAGTCATATGCCCCATATGCCCCTCTTCCTCAACATCTAATCTTCTTTATGTCTCTATGGATGTGTCTATTCTGGACATTTTTTTTTTTTACTTATGTTTTAAAAGATTTTATTTATATATTTTTTAGAGAGAGAGCATGAACACGAGCGAGGGAGGGGCAGAGGGAGAGGGAAAAGCAGACTCCCCGCTGAGCAGGCAGCTTGATGTGGGACTCGATCCCAGCACCCTGGGATCATAACCTGAGCTGAAGGCAGACGCTTAACCAATTGAGCCACCCAGGCACCCCTATTCTGGACATATCATGTAAATGGAATACGATGTGTGTCCTTTTGTGTCTAACATAATGTCTTCAAGGCCCCTCCATGTTGTAGCATGTGTCAGTACTTCATTCCTATTATTGCTGATACTGTTACATTGTATGGATATACCCCTCTGCTGCTGGACATTTGGATTGTTTTCACTTTTTGACTGTTATGAATAAGGCTGTTCTGAACATTGGTGTACAAGTTTTGTGTGAACATATGTTCTCAGTTCTCTTGTTGTATACCTGGGAGTAAAATTGCTGGGTCATATGGTATCTCTACAGTTAACTTTATGAAGAGCTGCCAAACTGTTTTTTAAAAGGGGCTGCACTATTTACATTCTTACCAGCAGGCATGAGGGTTCCAATTTTTCCATATCCTTTGCCAACACATGTTATTACCATATTTTTAGTTTTAGTTTTCCTAAGTGGGTGTAAAGTGGAATCTCATTGTGTTTTTGATTTGCCCTAGTGACTAATGATGTTAAACATCCTTTTGTGTGCTTATTGGCCATTTGTATTATCTTCTTTGGAGAAATGTCGATGCAGATTCCTTAGCCAGTTAAAAATTGGATTACTTGTGTTTTTATTGTTGAGTTGTAAGAGTTCTTTACACATTCTGGGTCCAAGTTCCTTATCAGGTATATGATTTGTAAATATTTTCTCCCATTCTGTTGGTTGTCTTTTTATTTTCTTAATGGTATTCTTTGAAGCACAAAAATTTTTAATTTTGATGAACTCCAGTTTATTTTTTCATCAACTGTGCTTTTTGTATCATATCTAAGAAACCATTGTCTAGCCCAAGATTCACAAAGATTTCTGCTATGTTTCTTTCTAAAAGTTTTGTAGTTTTAGCTCTTATGTTTAGGTCTTTGATCCATTTTGAGTTAATTTTTGTATATAGTGAAATAGGGGTCCATCTTCATTCATTTCTAAATGGATATCCTGTTGTCCATGTACCATTTGTTAAAATGACTGTTCTTTCTCCATTGAATTATTTTGACACCCTTGCTGAAAATCAATTGTCTATAAACATAATGGTTTAGTTTGGACTGTCAGTTTTATTCCACTGATCTGTATGTCCATCCTATGCCACACAACATTGTCTTGATTATTATAGTTTTGTACTAAGTTTGAAGTTTTTTGAAACTGCCCAACAATGGGTATCTCCTCTAAACTGTTCTCATACTTACTATCTATATGAGGCATTGTATATGTGTTGTCTACTACATTTCATTTATCTTTATATGTACAGTTGGTCCTTGAACAATGTGGGGGTTAGGGGTGCCACCGTCTGCACAGTCAGAAATTTCTTTTTTTTTTTTTTTAAAGATTTTATTTATTTATTTGAGAGAGAGAGAATGAGAGAGAGCACATGAGAGGGAAGAGGGTCAGAGGGAGAAGCAGACTCCCTGCTGAGCAGGGAGCCCGATGTGGGACTCGATCCCGGGACTCCAGGATCATGACCTGAGCCGAAGGCAGTCGCTTAACCAACTGAGCCACCCAGGCGCGCCAGTCAGAAATTTCTTGTATAAGTTTTGACTCCGCCAAAACTTAACTAGTAGCCTACTATTGACAGGAAGCCTTACTGATAACATAAACAGCTGATTAACACATATTTTGTGTGTTAAAAATATTATATACTGTATTCTTACAAAAAAGTAAGCTAGAAAAAAGATAATGTTATTAAAATCATAAGGAAGAGAAATTACATTTACAGTACTATATATTTATTGAAAAAAATCCATGTATAAGTGGATCCGTGCAGTTAAAACCCGTGTCATTAAAGGGTCAACCGTATGTGCCCTATCTCCCTGGGCAGATTGTTAATGCTTTTGAGGGATAAGGGCTATATCTTGTATGTCTTTGTGGACTTAGAAATCTTAATCTTAGTAGATACTCATTAAATATTGAGGATAATAATGATGCCCTACTGACTTAAAATTTTTTTTTATGAAAAATTTCAAATTTACGTGAAAATGGAGACAAAAGTATAAAGATCTTCCATGTACTGTTTACCCAGATATAATAGTTATTAAAATTTTGCCATAGTTCTTCATTTTTCATACCCTTTCCTTCCTTCACTATAGCATTTTGAAGCAAATCCCAGGGAACATGTCATCTTGTGCCAACATACTCATTTTGCATTTTTAAAAATATAGACTTTTTTATATAACCACAATGCCATTATCACACCTAACAAAAGTAACAATAATTTTTTGGTATTGTCTAATTCGAAGTCCATATTCATATTACCCCAGTTATCTCAAAAATATCATCTTCATTTGTTTTTTGTGTTCAGAACCCTTAATAGCATTTGTTTGTTGGTCTCTTAATGGACTGATTTCTTATTTACATGGTGAGAACAAAGCAGTACATTTTATTCGTCTTCATAGTTCTGAATACTAGAGTGCTTGTAAAGCCAATATCTGCTCCTATTCCTTAGCCACCTCAGTGAACTCTTCTCCTGCAACTCTTAAGCTATGGCTCATATCTCTGCTTCAGGAATCCATTTTTCTGGAGTTCTGCCTTTCCAGTGACCCACTTCCAAATGCAGCCATTGCAGGGCTATAAAAATACTGCATTGTTAGTTTTTGGTAGTGACGTGAGTATTATGAAATGGGTGTGTCTTTGCCAAAGACGAGTCAGTGGACTTTGTGCCTTTTACATTGTTCTCAGTGTGTGTGTGTGTGTGTGTGTGTGTGTGTGTGTGTGTGTGTATGTAATTGTACAGTACAAACATATGTAACTGAATATTTTAACAGAACAATTCTTAACTTTCTTATGTGTGATTTACTCTTAACATTTTCTACTCTGTATTCTGTTTTATTTAAAAAATGTTGGTTTGACCCACTAATTGATTTTACCACCCATTAAATGAATCCCAGCCTATAGATTGGAAAATAACATTTTATTGGATTATCTTGTACAAAGGAAGTAGAAATTAATATTTTTTTCATTTTGTCTTTTTGCTAGGTCTACTAGTTCTAGATACTTCTTTTTTTAAAATCACTTTTGAAGATTTAGAAGACTGAAAATTTTGGTTGTGAATATGTATGAATATACACATGTTGGACCAGAAAAAATTTTTTGAAGATGAACTAGATTAGGTGGTCCCACCATCTGAATAGGCAACTTCTTTTTTCCTGAAGCATTCTTTTATATTTTTTTCTTTTGTACAGATACGTCGTCATGAAATACACAAATCAAAGAACAGAGCATTAGTACACTGGGAACTCCAAGAAAAAGCTTTGAAGAGAAAATGGAAGAGGCAGAAACCAGAAATCTCTAATCTTGAGAGAAGAAGATTGTCTATAATGAAGGAGGTAATGCTAAACTGCATTATCTTTAGAGTTAGAGAAGAAAATGATAAATAGATTTCTCTCTTTCCCTCACAAATTTGAGTCACATTGGAAGGACTTTAGTAAATGACTGCATCCTTATACAATGATGTACACATGGACTCTGAAAAAAGCAGTAGAGGTATGATTAGGGTCTAGTTTGGAGGTTTGAATTCCTACATGGAAAGTTACTGTTTATGTGACTTGCCTGATTGTACTGTTACGAGATTTCAGTGATATATACTAACAAACTGACTAGTACATTATTTGGCACATAATTAGTGCCAAACAGTGCTATTAGATTGATTACTTTGCAGAAAAAAAAATGTGTGCTTGTCCAACAAGTTAGTTAGTAAGCCACTTGTCTTTGGCTTAATCTTTTGCCAGATGTATGGTATTTGGATAAGTAATCAGATGTGTAGGAATAAATAATATGGAAAATAAGAGGAAACTACAGCAAAAAACCTTTGATTTGGGATGAAATCATTGAAAAAGAAATATACTTCGTAGTGTTGCTTCTTTTTTTTTTTTTTAAGATTTTATTTATTTATTTGACAGAGAGAGACACAGTAAGAGAGGGAACACAAGCAGGGGAGAGAGGGAGAAGCAGGCTTCCCGCGGAACAGGGAGCCCGATGTGGGGCTCGATCCCAGGACCCTGGAACCATGATCTGAGCCGAAAGAAGATACTTAACGACTGAGCCACCCAGGCGCCCCTGTAGTGTTGCTTCTTGTTCATTGTTGAAGCTTATGGCACTTGGCTGTCTGGGTGACCTTTCACTGTGGCTTTGAATCACTCTGTCTTTTGTGGAATTCATTAGGCTTGTTAGTGAAAGGTAAAAGTCTTAATCTTATATCTCATCAGGAAGAATTCTGTCTCCCAAATAAATGTTTACATGGACTTGTAAAAAGAACAGTAGATTGAGACCATATGGTTCTTTACATTTAAGTATCTTTTGATAATCTTGGACAAGGTATACATATTTGAATATTATGTAGTAGTTCTCAGTGACCAGGAAAAAAGGCAGCCGCTTTGAGGCAGCTGGGCTTTTGTGTCCCATCTCTGGTGGCTCCTGCTCATGTCCTGAATTGCTCATGTCCTGAAGGAATGGGTGTGGTTGAAGTAGGGATTGAAGGAGGAGTGGTGGGAGAGGATGAGTGAAGTCTCTCTGCCTTTCCTTCAGTCCCATTCGTCAGGCTCTGATGTTGTGGTTCTCAACGCTGACTGCACATTAGATCAGTCAGTGTTGAGATCTTCCATTAAAAAAATCACTGTATCTGGACTCAGATATTTCTATACTCAGATAATCTGATTTAGTGGACGTGTGATATGGCCCCACTTAGGTATTTTTTAGACAGTTTTTATGTACTTTTAATTCCTTACCAGGGTTGAGAACCTCTGCTATTAGTAAGATAAGTATTTCCATTTAACAATATATTTTGGAGGTTGTCCCATGTCAGTACTTAGAGATCTACCTTTTCTTTTTTTTTTTTCTTTTTAATGGCCAGGTAATGTACAGATGTACCACAATTTATTTATCCAGTGCTTTATTTGTGCAAACTTAGGAAGTGTATTGGACTATAGTTTAGGCTTCTGGTTAAGAATATACAGTGGTTTAAACAAAATAGAAATCTCTTTCTCTCTATGAAGCAGTTCACAGGTAACTGGTAGTTGGTAGGATCTCTGGGTTCCTTTATTCCAGGGCTTCCATCACTGAGTAGAGAATGGCTGTTCCCGCTTCCTTCAGCTGTATCCAGCCAGCATGAAAAGGGAAAAAGAAGGCATGCTACTCCTTTTACATATCACCCAGAAATTCTGTCTTATATCCCACTGTCCAGAAATTCATCACATGACCATTCTCACCTAGTATGATGGTTAGGAAATCTAGCTGTGTACTTGGCTAAAACTTGGGAATCCTGTTGTTAAAAGGAAAATGAAAAGAAGGGAGTTTGGTGGGTAAGTAGCAGGTCTGTCACCCACAGATTGTTACCTGCCTTGTCACTGTAAGTAATACAATGAATATGCTTGAATATGTTTTTAAATACATGTAAAACTATATTTGTAGGATAGATTATTTTTTTAAAAGATTTTATTTATTTATTTATTTGAGAGAGAAAGAGAGACAGGGAGAGCACAGAGGGAGAGTGAGAGGGAGAAGCAGGCTCCCCGCTAAGCAGAGAGCGCAAAGTGGGACTTGATCCCAGGACCCTGAGATCATGACCTGAGCCAAAGGCAGATGCTTAACTGACTGAGCCACCCAGGCGCCGATTTGGATAAATTCTTAAAAGTGGAACTGCTGAGTCAAAGACATGTGCATCTATTGTTTCAATGTTGCTAAATTTGTAATGTCTATGTTAAGGGATGTGATGGGACCAAATGAAGAAGCCTCCTTGGGCATATTCATCTAGGCAGTATCATCGTGTATTGGAGCTACCAGTGCATCCCCCAGAGCTGGACTCCTAGATTAACAAAGTTAAGAGAAAAGCTCTTTGGCTAGCATAATCATTTGCTGTTGGATGCATTCATGTCATGGGAATCAAGCAAATGAGGGTCCAAATTCAGAGAGAGGGAAACTTTGATAAAGTTTTATAAATTCTAAAAATATAATAACTTCCCAAATCTCTCTGTAATTTCCTATTTCTATCTGGTTTTTATTATCAGAGAACAGAAGTGCTAGGATAAAAAGTTTTTGATAATGTTTTTGAAGGGAACTTTGGCTGATCCTTTGCAAATCCAAGATATGTACCACTATTCTCATAAGTTTGATTTTGTGCTCCGTGAACCCATCTGGGGAAGTAATGTATACAGATGGGCTTGCAGAGATTGGTTTACCTATCAAGAGGATGAGTTTTATCAGAAAGGAGTGATGAATAAATCTAGAGAGGGCAAAAGAAAGCCAGTACACTGATCTGTGGCCCCTCAACCCATCTGCCCCAAGAAGGCTGGGCAGAGACTGGCAAAGTGCAATAGGGTAGCGGCTTTCCTGGAGACCTCATTATATTTGATCATCAGGTCTTGAGATGATAAAATTATTCCTCTTCAATCTGCTTCTGTCAGTTATATCTCTTTATTTTGATGGAAGGTCAGTGATTTTTTTTTTTAATTGTAAACTCAAAACTACCATTAGGAAATATTCTGTGTTATTTTTTCTAGTTTAAATGATAGATTATAATGCTCCATTTACTCTCTTGCCTAAGTTCTAATTGTGTGTACTTTGCAAGATCACTAACCAGGGATAGAAATTTGGTTCATAGAATAATATAATTTAAGTTGTAACAACATTCCAAATATTTCTAGAATGGTACATGTTTTCACTGTGTCCACATTCTTATAACACCTCTTTGGGGTGAGGGAAGGTGGTGGTATCTTCATTTACATATTAGGAACCTAAGCTTAAAGAGGTTGGATTTTGCTTAGTATCCCTTGACTGGGCCTGGGATCCCAGTCTTCTGTTTCTGAATGTGCTGTTTGCCTTATACCATTCCAAAACTTACTCTTTGTGGAAGGAACAAATTCAGGACTTGATTCTCAGCAACTGAGCCAGCCAACCAGATTGGCTACAGCAGAAGAAAGGGAAAATGTCAGAATATGATTCTTGTTACTTTTCTCAGTGTCCTGAAACAGTAACTGAAGTCATATTATATACTTGTTTCCATGGGCTAGAGAGATTCCGGTAAGAACATTTGTTACCAGATGCTCCTCTCTATTGCTTTGAATCAGTGTTGGAAACTGGGGAGTTTCTAATTTTGAGCTGCCTCTCAATTTAAGAATGCCATCTGGTGGTGGTGGCTAGAGTTGACTTGCCTGTGTCTCCTTGCTTATAATTATGAAAGTTCCTAAGTTGAAAGTGCCTAATTAGAGGCACTACTGTAATGGTATTTTTTGAGTTCTCATCCCTCCAGGATAAAAATCCAGCTTGTTTGTAAATACAGAAGTGTTACTTCTTTGTTTGATGCCCCCAAACTCACATCTGACCTCATATTCTCCTTAAGTTGTTGATCATGAACCATTAGCAGATTATGAAATCACTTTAAAGGTTGAAACACCTCTGAGTTTATGGCTCAGAGATTTATATCTTTAATCAGTGTTTTTCAGACTGTGGATCACAACTTGTTAGTGGATTGTGAAATTGAGTTGGTGTGTTGTAGCCATTATTTTAAAAAATAGAATAGAAACTAAAAGAATATCAGAGTGGTTCTCAAAAAGTAAGGTTAAGTAAGACTTTTATTTTGTTATACATTTACATTTGTGTGTATGCTGGGTCACAGTTTAATAATATATTTCTTAACTTGGATTGTAGCCAAGTATATGAAATCTAATTATTGTAATAGCCCCACCTACTGGTACTTATGGATATTGCCCCTGAAGGATTTTAGGAGGATAGTGGCCTATGGTTATTTTTATGCTCTGTGCCTTTGTATGGACTTTTCCTTTGTGATTTCATAGTATATATATAGATTTTTTCCTGAATAATAATATTTATCATTAATACATGTCTAGATTCTTTCTGATCAATACCAGATGCAGGATGTATTAGAAAAATCTGATCATTTGATGGCTGAAGCAAAAGATCTGTTTGTTGATTTTCCCCGTAGGCGCACAGGTAACGTATTTCATTCAAACAAACGCTTCTTTTTCTTATTAATCATAGCCCACAATGGCTGTTTGGAAGAATTTTAAATCTTTTTTTGGGCATCACATTATTTATAGTACAAGTAGTCTGGAGTGGATAGCATACAGGAGTTGTTCGGCATAGATTCATTATAATTTGTTTGCTTTTCACTAAGAATATTAACGATTACAAATTACAGAGCTAAGCAAAGGTAAGTTGTTATTATTTACTAGTATACTTTATGGTGCAATGTACAAGATTTTATTGTAAATATGACTTAATTTCCAGTTTATTAATGTTAAGTTACTGCAAAAGTATCTATCTATATAAAACTTGAGTAAAGCTTAATTTGAAGCCTAAGGCTACTTCAGTCTCTCTCTTGTCAGATACATAGCATTATTCACTTTAATGTGTATATAATCCATTGTTTATTTTAATCCCTAAAAACAGATCATTTGTTTTAGTTTAAGGTTTATTAATGTGACTCTGGGCCATTTGCTTCATGTCTCTGAGTTTCAATTTACTGATCTATAAAATAATAATAGTAACAACCTCATCAGATTTTGTGAGGGTAAAATGACTTAATATATGTAAAAGCATTTAGAACAGTGCCTGGCATATAGTAAGCATTATCTAAGTGTGAGCTGCTATTATTATTATTTAAGATTTTTATGTGCTAATACAAACCTGCGGCAGTGTATAGTACTTGTGAAGTCAATTTAATTAAATGAAGTAAAATCATCATGACTTCTTTTCCTTCTGCAGGGTTTCCGAATGTAACTATGGCTCCTGATTCCTCTCAGGGTCCTATTTTGGTAAATCAAGACCCTGTCACTCAGGCCATTCTTCGTGAATCCATCATGGAGCCTCAGGTAATGTGCTGTCCTTATAGCCATCATGCTTATGTTGAAATTAAGTTTATGTAGGTATTGTGGTAAACATTTCAAAAACTTAAATATCAACAAATACCAAGTATGGTTGCTACAATTGTTCTTACTCAAGCATATTGCACTTTAGGTGAGTAATGTTTGTACCAAACAAGATAGGACTGGATGATAATACCTAGGAGGTAGGTACTATCATGACCTCCATTTAGCAGATTAAAAAAACTGAGGTTCAGAAAAATTAAGTACCTTATCCAAGATCACATAGCTAGTTAGTATCAGAGATGGCATTCAAATTGAGGCTCCATCTGCCATTATGGAAACAGTGGGGAGTCTTTTCACTTCCACTGTAGAGTGAGGCGGATCTGTGTTTACATTCTGTTTGTCCTAGTTGTTGGATCTTGAGTTAATTTTTTGTTAAATGGGAATAGAATATACTTACTATGGTTGTTGTGAGGATGAGCAGAGGTAAGTTATGTAAAGTGTCTAGTGTAATTCCAGAGACTAGTTCTTCATTAAATGTTAGTCTCTTCTAATAGTGTGTTTAGAAAGTAGCTACCCAGGAAACTTGGAATTTATTGACCAGTTACGTGGGAAAACTATATTATTGTAGTAAAATGTTAATTAGCTATATCCTAATCTAACTGAAACTCTTAATTAAAATGTTTAGAATTTTGAAATGGGAAACATCTTTTAAAAGCTCATGAAGAATTTAATATTAAAATAAAACAACTTCTGAGGACTGACTAGGACTCAATACCTGTTTAGTGCCATTTCCTAAGTTATTTATATGTCCTATGAAAAAAGGAGAATCATCAATTATAGAGGGATGATCCTAGGGAATTACAAGGTCCAGAATCATTAAAAAAAATCTTAAGTCTACTGTTTTCTGCTTACAAAAGGCAATTAAGTAGAATGTTACATGTTTTAAATAGCCAAAACCCATTAGACATATCTCCAGCCAAAAGCCATTATGTTTTGGCACTTAATTAAAAATGTTAGCTTTCAGATAATCATAGTCTCTATTATGGGAATGGGGGAATGGCAAGAGCTGGGGCTAGAGCGACAGAGAGGAGCTAGGTAATGAAGGGCTAAAGAACCAGAAAGTGAGAGGAGGGCCACCAAAGGATTTTAGGAAGAGTAGAGTCATGTTGAAATCAACTGTAGAGTGGAGGCAGGGTTTGGGAAGGACAAACTGGTGAGAGGATCTGGTTAGAAGACTAGGTTAGAATTTTAGTGGAAGTGGTGAGGGCCTGACCTAAGCAATGGCAGTAGAGAAGGAGGTAGAGGGGAAGAGGGATAGGTTTGAGAGATTAAAAAGGGATAGAATTGACAGCATTTGGTAGCTGATTGGATGTGACAGATGAGAAAGAAGCATAACAGTTTGCTGGCTGAGCATCTCAGTAGATGGTAATGCTGTTCATGATCTTAGGTAATATGGCAGGAACAAGGCTTCTAGAAGAATGATAGGAGAGGCTTAGGAAGATGACCAGTTTTGGACATGTTGAGTTTATGTGTCGTAGGATGTCTACTAGGAATATCTTTTAGGCAGTTGGATATAATTGTCTAGGACTCCTGAGAAATCTGGGTGAAGATAGAAATTTGAGAATTCACAGCATTTGACTTGTAATTGCAGGTTTGGAACTAGATACGATCATTCAGAAAGGGAGTCAGATGAGAGGAGAAAAGGTCCAAAGGGAGGACCTTGAGTCCCACCAGATATTAAGAAAGGACAGAAAGAAAAGAACCAATAAAGGAGATTGGGAAGGAAGAGCTAGAAGAAGAGAAGAAAAACCAGGGAAATATGGTATCTTGGCAGTTAAAAGGAAGAATGTTATCAAGATGATCTTGAAGGAAAGAAAGGAATGGTCATTAATGTCAAATGAATCAAGAGAAGTAAGGGAAGGCAGATACTGAAAAATATCTATTTTATTTAGGAGCAAATCAAAAAAGGATGTTGACCTTATAGACAGCAGTCTGAGTGTATTGGTAGGGCAGAAGCAAAGCTGTAGGGCATAGGTGGTAAATGAGAAGTGGGGGATGACTCTTTCAAGAAGTTTGGTGGTAAAAGAGAGAAGATACAATGAGAGAGACTTGTTCACATTTAAATGCGGATGAGCTGAAGCCAGTATAGAGAGGTTGAAGATGCAGGAGAGGGAAGGGGCACTTGATGGAGTGGAAGGAGGTGAGAGGGTTTAGGTCCTAGAGCACTTGTGGAGATGTTAGTGGTAGTAGGAGGGATCTCTCTATTATAATGACAAGAAGAAACAAAGGATGAGTGTACATATGACCAACTTGTGTTTTTATTTTTATTGTTGTGTTGAGAAAGGCTCTTAATGAAGTAGATGATGGTGAAGAAGGAACTGGTAACAGCCAGTCCGAAGAAAGTGAGAATGAATTGGATAACTCTCTAAACTCTCAGTCAAATATGAATGTAGATAGGTATGTATATATGGCATAAATATCTACAGGGCTTCCCTTTTTTCCAAGGCCATTTCTTGTGTTTCCCAGCTTTATTGAGATATAATTGACATATAATGTGTAAGTTTAAGGTGTACAATGTGCTTATAGTATTTCTACTTGTGGAACTTAATGATGTTTTCTTTGTGACCTAATTTATGATTAAATTTTTGTGAATGTTCCACTTGTGTGCTTGAGAAGAAGGTATATTCTATATTAACAAGGTATAAAATTTTATATGTATATCCTTAAGATCTACTTCATTGATGATGATGTTTACTTCTTCTCTGTCTTTACTTATTTTTGTCACTATCTCATATTGAGAGTAATGTATTAAAGTCTCTGTTAGTGTGTTTCCATTTTTCTTTGCATATGATGTTCAAGTATATTTAATTCTGTTTGAAGTTAAATATCTCCATCCTGATTGGTGTGTTTTTTGGAACATGGATATCCATAAGTATTGTATTTTCATTGTGAATTATGACTTTTAGCATTATAAAGTATCCTTTGTCACATTTAATGCCTTTGGCTTCAGTTCTACTTTGATAATCAAGAATAAAAGCTCTGCCTTCTTGTTTCTAATTGCTTGGTTCATCTTTGCTCATTCTTTTATTTTAGCTTTTCTGAATTACTGTGTACTAGGTGTATCTTTTGTATTCAACATAGAATTGGGTCTTGTCTTTTCAGCCAGTTTAAAAATCTTTTTTTTTTATTGGTGAAGTAAACTTGTAATATTTATTGATACAGTTGATGTGTTTGATGTCAACTTTGTCATATTATTTTATAGTACTATGTATATTATACTATAATTATAGTTTTCCTTCTCTATGTAGTGTTTTCTCTGTTCTCTTAAACATTTCTTTTGGTATTTAGGAAGTAATTAATTTTGTTTTGACTGGTTGCCTTTATATCTACCATTTATAGAGCCATTTAGTCTCCTATTTTCTTTAACCTTTTGCTCTCAGGTGTGTTGGCTTTAAATGGTATGCTTTGACTTCCACCTATGGCCTGTGCAACAAATAATTTATTCTATATTCTCATTCTTTCCCTTTTTCTCTCTGTCCTTCTCTTTTAGCTGCATTTTTTTTTTGCTTTGACAGGACATAAAACATTTACATATTATTCTTTCCTGTGTATTGCTATTTTTGTTTTGGTCTTGGAGCTACAGTTAAATATATTAAATGCTCATCATCAGTCCTTTTATAATGTTTCCCTAGTTAACTCTTGGTTGGATCACTCATTTAGACAAACTCATGCTGTAGGGTTTGTGAGTTCTATTCTTTGAGTTCTTGAAAGCTTACAAGTTTTTCTGTAGCTTTGATATTTGAAGGACAGCTTGGCCGGATATAAAATCTTTGATGCTTTGTTTCCTTAACTTTTTTGAAAATGGTTCTCCACTCTTGGTTTACTTTGAATGTTGCTTTGACGAGTCTGATGCTAGAATAATTTTCTTGCCCTTATAAATAATTTGGCATTTTTATGTATTGATTTCCTTTATATTTAAAATTTATTTCTTTTATCTTTAAAATTTAAACATTGCTAAGCTGTGTCTTGAGTTTACCTTTTCAGGTTGGTTTTTCCAACACAGTTGGCTTTTTTTGTGTGTAGATTCAGTTCTTTTCTTTCTTTCTTATTTTTTTTTTTCTTGGAAGTTTCCTTGGGTTATGGTTTCAAATATTAGTTTGATATCATTGTTTTTTTTTTCTTTTTCAGAGATTCCTTTTATTATATAAAAGTGATGTTTCTTGTTTTCTATTTCTTTTTTTTTAAGATTTTATTTATTTATTTGACAGAGAGAGAGACAGTGAGAGAGGGAACACAAACAGGGGGAATGGGACAGGGAGAAGCAGGCTTTCTGCTGAGCAGGGAGCCCGATGTGGGGCTCAATCCCAGGACCCTGAGATCATGACCTGAGCTGAAGGTAGACTCTTAATGACTGAGCCACCCAGGTGCCCCTTATTTTCTATTTCAAGTACTTTCTCTCTAACCTTTTTTATTCTTTACTTTTTGTTGTTGTTTTCCTGTAATTCTTCAGTCTTCCTTATTAAATGTTTATTTAAGAATTAGCCATTGGGCACATTGTAATTTAATCTTTATTTCTGAGTTTTTCTTTTTCTTTGTATTCTTTCCTGAGTCCAATCAATTCTTATTTTGTTCCTGCTTTTTTGTCCACCTCTGCTCTTAGGTTTAGAACTTCTGATTCAAGATATATATCTCCAAATGCTTGTTTAAGTATATTTAATTCCATTTAAAGTGTTTGTTACAGTTTTCTTCTGCTTTTTCTTGGGAGGGGAGAAATTTTTATTAGCTGGAATATTTCAATTAAATTTTCTATTTTGTTATATTGTCTTGTGTGGATGTAGACTGTTTTAGTTTGTACATTTTGTGGGAGAGGGTGGGAGTTTGGGGTAGGTCTTCTCTCAATTATAGTGAAGCACAGTTATTTTAATGGATGCCTTTTTTTTTAAGTATCAGTGGGTGAAATTTGGGTTTATCTTCCAATACTGTTGTTTTTTTTTTTTGTCTTGAACTGGTCTCCCTAGTTAAGCATGTTAAGATAATACACTTTTTTTGCCTTCAGCACTCAGCCTCCTAAGAACTCTTCTTTCTTCCTGTTCACATCAAGAAGTGGTGCTTTTCCAAGACCTACCACCTTGGGTTCTACACACTTCTTGGTAGTATTTTGACTGCCCAGGTTTGGGGTTTGTATGTGTGTGTGTATGTGTGTTTCCTTCCTTTTTAAGTATTTGCATACTTAGAGTGGACTTTTTCTTTCTGGAGGTGATTTTGTCACCATTAGGCTCTCTGCTTTCTTCCCTGTTTATTATTTTCAACTACCCTCAATCCCTGCTAGGGCTTCTGACAGGAGCTCAAGAAATATCTTGGCTGGAGTTCAGTGTGTATTTTTCTACTTACAGATAATTTGAAGTTAGTAGTATTTTCTGTCTTCCAATAATGTAGAAGGTATGGGTTATGTGCTATTTTTGCTGTTTTTGTTGCCCTGTCTAGTGGGTTTTGGAGGATGTGTGGAGTGATTCAAATTTAGCTGGTCACTGTTTCCTTAAGGACACTTGGAAACATGTATCATCTTTTAAGCACTTTTTCTTTCAGAACCCAAATATAACTAATCTTGTGCCAATATTGCTTTTATTCTTTACATTAGAATCAAATTTTTGTTTTTTTATTTGGTTGGGCAAATTTAGTTTTATCTCATTAGTTGTGTGAATAGGTGGTTTCCAGTTTTGAATACCTTATGTCTCAAAATGTTACTTGTTAACTATTAAACATGAGGTATCAGAAGATGCATTAGACTTGGGATCTGGAGACTAAGTGCCTTCTGGTTTGAAAATTTCTATGAATATATATTCCTGTATAACCTAAAACAACAGAAATTTATTCTCTCACAATTTTGGAGGCAAGAAATCTGAAATCAGTTTCATTGGACCAAAATCAAGGTTTTTTCAGGGCTACACTTCCTCCAGAGGCTCTAGAGGAGAATCTGTTCTTTGCCTCATTCAGGTTTTGATGGCTGTTGGTCTTCCTTGGCTTGTGACAGCTGCATCATTCCAGTCTCTGCCTCTATCTTCACATCACCTTCTTCTCTGTGTATGCTAAAGTCTTCCTTTGCCTCTCTTTTATAAAAATATACATGATCCCATTTAGGGCCCACCCAGGATAACCTCACATCCCAAGATCCTTAACTTAATCATACCTGCAAAGACCCTTTTTGGCCATTTACAGGATCCAGGGCTTAGAACATGGACATATCTTCAGGTTCTACCATAGTCCACTCAGTGACCCACCTGCAAAATTTATATTCACCCCCATTTCAATATTCCCCAGTGTCTCAGCATGAAACTCAAGTTCAGAATCTCATCTAAATGTCATCAGCCCAAACCAAATCTTATCGTCTCAAGCAGGTATGGGTAAGCTCTGAATAAGACCTATCCTGGGCAGTATTCCTCTCTATATATGATCCTGTGGAACTAGAAAACAAGTTATCTGCTTTGAAAATGCAATGATGGAACAAGCGTAGGATAATTTATAGACATTCCCATTTGAAAATCCAAGGAAGAAAGGGGTCACCAGTCCTAAGCAACTTTGAAACCCAACAGGGCAAATTCCATTAGGTTTCAAAGCCTGGTAATAATCTTCTATGTCTTGAGGCTTCACCCTTTGGATCCATGGCTCTGTCCTTTGTGCCTGTGGCTCTGGCCTTAGCCTCTGTACCTGTGGATTTGGCCTCTACATCTGCAGCTCTGGCCTTGAAGTCATTCTTCCTTTTCCTTGAAGCCCATGTTTATAGCTGAGTAATTTTATCAGCCTGTTTGCTGACTGTAGAATTTTGGGAGTCTGACTCTTCCTTCATTTTATACTATCTCTGTCCTTTTCAGTCCATGCTGCAGTATTTCTGCTGGTATAACATTCTCAGAAGACCTTGTGTGTCTCCTTTCTATGTTGTATGCCATTAGACAAGAGTCCCTCCAGAGATCTTCCCTGGATAATCCTATATATGTTGCTGGCTTCTGCTGAGATCATTGAGGGGATCCATGAGTCAGATGCCTAATCTCTTCAGATTAGCAAAACATTGTCTAGCCATACACATGTCCTCTCCAGGGCATGCTTTCCTAACAGTGTAGTGTCTCATAATTTGAGCATCTTTTGCATTCTGGGGAGGCTGAAAATTTCCCAAATCATCAAGTTCTGGTTCCTTTTGGCTTAATAGTTCTTCCTGCAGTATATCTCTCTCCTCTTGCATTTCACTCTAATCAGCAGTAAGAAAGCAGGCTGCACCTTCAACACTTTGCTTGGAAATCTCCACAGCTAAATATCCAAGTTCATTGTTTACGAGTTCTGCATTTCACACAACTCAGCTATGTTTTCCGGCACTTTTTATGGTTGTGTGAATGTAGTGCATTTTACTTCTCCACGCATCAATTGGTGGATGTCTGGGTTATTTCCACTTTTTTGCCACCTACCTCTTTAAGTCTCAGTCCAGTTGAGGAATAGATGAAGGAATCAAGTGGTTGGAGATTAAATTATCAGCCTTATCAATGAGAAAGATGATAATAGCCAAAGGTTTAACTCCCTACACTGCAGCCCTTCTTCCCATTCCTTCTCCCTGCTCCCAGAGACTCAGGGTAGAGTCTGCTCCAGTCACTTTACTTCAGTGAAGTGTTCTGAGGACAGCCTCCTTCACAGGAGAGAGAAACCAGTAAGGACCAAGCCATGTACTTTCTCTGGGAAAGAGAGAGGAGAATGGGGCCCCTATCACAAAACTCAGAAAGGGGAAATTGCTCCTGCGAGTAGGAGCCAAGGTAGGTGGGAAACTGGGAGGAAGATGGAATTAGTTCTTCTAACACTAAGAAGACTGGCATTTTAGTTATCTGTCTTATCAGTTAAAGCAAAATGTATTTTTTCTTTGATTATGAATTACTAAAAGTGCCCTCAATCAAACATGTAAGCAGTTGAACAGTTTAAATGATAGCATTTATTAATTCTAATATAGCTTGTTGCCCCATAATTTATAGATTTCTCCACCAACTAAAGGAAGATAATTCTGAGTTAATTAATAAACTGTGGACTGATATTCAGCAGAAAATAACAACACAGTCACAAACCCCTCCAGGAACTCCATCACCTGCCGCTCCATCAGGAGAACAAAAAGGTTTGTTTTCCCCCATTGTATTATTTCTCACAGAATAGTGACTTGTTTTATTATGTTCTTTCTTAAACACAGTAATTTTTAAAGGACTATTATTTGAGTTTTGACTGACTTTACCTAATTGAATGAAATGCTGATTGATCTATTAATTGGAATGCTTAAAACTGTTTTTGTTCACTTGAGATTCTTTTGGAAATATTTTTTTCTTTTAGCTGCTCTGAATGCTACCAATGCTGTCAAGAGAATCCAGACCAGGCTTCAATCTGAAGAATCTACTGAGACTCTAGACTCAAGTTATGTTGTGGGACAAGTGCTGAACTCAAGGAAGCAAAAACAGTTGTTAAAGAAAGGTTCAGTCCCTTAGTTTACAAAGATGAATTATTAAACACATAACTTGATACAGCTTCCTTAATCTTAGTAATTAGTAAAGTTTATTAGTAATTAGTAAAGTAATTAGTAAAAATTAGTAAAGTTTTTTTCCCTTAAACTCATCCAGTTGGAGCTAATTAAGACTTTGTTGAACGGTAGCTAAGAAATGCCTCCAAATATAACATGTACTAGATGGTTCTAGTACATTCATTATAGATAGTGTAAACCTGGTTGAAACAGTGTGAATTTTTTATGAGAAATGGTGATAACTTCTATAAAAACCTTTTATAAACTGTGAGTAACAGTCAATGGTTTTTCTAGTAGCTTGCTGGTATAATTTTTCTTGGTCTTCTAATAGAATGACTTCTGTCATTATCAGTGAAAGGAAAAGTGGATTCACATGCTCCTTCCAAGCAGAAGAAGAACGTGTTAACAGCTAGCACAGCCTCCACAGACTTACCAAATAGCAACAGTTCCAGCCTGGATGTCCTCAAACACATGATAAATGAAGTGGAACATGAAATGGAAGAATATGAACGATGGACAGGACGTGAGGTCAAGGGACTGCAGAGCAGTCAGGGCCTTACAGGCTTCACTCTGTCACTGGTGAGCTCCCTCTGTCGCCTGGTTCGGTATCTGAAAGAGGTAAGAGCAAGAGGTTATTAGAGTCTCCTCTTCAGAGTGTTGATAGAAATGTTTGGGGTTTTTTTTTTTTTTCCCTCTACACTTAAATTATTGTAATTTCCAAATGAAATATAGTCAGGTTGGAATAGCTTTGTTTAAAATACCTCAGCTCTAGATTATCTGCAGTAAAGCTTTATCGTCTTAATTTTCCTCTACATGCTGATTTATGTATCATCTAGTATAAGTGATGTTGATTTTAATTTGAGTTTTAGTAAATTGTAATTGGTAAGATAAATCTGCTATAAATGAAATCATTGCTGACATTGAATATTATTGTTTGGCAGTATTAAATTCAATAGAACTACTAAATGTGTCCTCATTCTCGTGCTTTTCTCTGTGTTCCTACTCCCACTTCAGCTTGGAGAGTGGCATGCCTGTAATTTGTAGACACAGATGGGGGAAATTCTTCATGTTATCTGTGTGACTACTTGGGCTTTGTCTGAAGTGGAAGATCTTTTGTTGTGAAAATAATTTATAAGAGAAGCAAGAAGTATTTCTGTAATTCATTTTTGAGTAATCAGTCTTCAGAATGCTGTGGGATTAGAGTTAGCTCTACATTTCACCTTTCAAAAAATCTATTTAAACTTATTTATTTTTTATAAATTTAAATTTGTTAAACAAATACAACAAAAAATGTTCAAGGAAATTTTACTATTAAAATAGTTGATTCAGGGGCGCCTGGGTGGCTCGGTCGGTTAAGCATCTGCCTTTGGTTCAGGTCATGATCCCAGTGCCCTGGGATCGAGTCCCACATCGGGCTCCTTGCTGAGCAGGGAACCTGCTTCTCCCTCTCCCTTTGCCTCTCCCCTGCTTGTGCTCTCTCTCTCTCTGTCAAATAAATAAATAAAATCTTGAAAAAAAATTCTTTAAAAAAATAAAATAGTTGATTCATCACTCTAATTCAGATGTTTCAATTTCTCTGGAGCTGTCTTCCTAAAATTAATTTTTAGTGAAATATTTATTGTACTGTCAGACTTATAAAAGTCTTATCATTCTTCCATCCTTAAGTTAGGAGTCTCCAGGAGTGTACTTTTGGCTCTCTGAAAGTATTACAAGTTTAGTAGCTTCCACTTTTTAGCTAATCACTTGCTTTACAAAGTTAAAACCATTTAAGTCTGTTGTCATTTATTTTTAATCTTATTTTAACAAACTTAGTTCTTGAATTGGTGATTATAATCACATGGCATAAAATTAAAAGAAGTAGAAGGATATAGTTGAAAATTCTGATTCCCACCATTAACTTCCATTTAACCGGTTTGCTTCCCTGTAGCTAGCTATCATTACCAGATACAAGTGTATCCTTCTAGAGATGCTCTGTGTATATTCAAGCAATATGTTTATGTCCTTCCCTCCACTTTATTCGACAAAAATTGTAGTTATTTAAGTCTTTATACCATTCTGTTCATTGTGTTCTATATAAAGAAAGGAAAAGAACACAGCATTTCATTTTAATGCAATATAAACCTTTTAATAAAAATATGTAATTCTCATTACTGTCACATAATATATACTTCATAAGTATTTTCTTTGACAGTTTTGAATAGAAACTCTTAGTTTTCAGTATTTTATGCTGTTGATGGGAGTTTATTTTTGGATGGGAATTTTATCTTATTATTGATGGAAGTTTTTTTTTTTTTTTTTTTTTTTGTAGAGCGAGGTCCAACTGCATAAAGAAGTAGAGACGAGGCAGCAACTGGAACAAATGTTAGGTGATCATCGAGAGCTCATTGATGCTCTTACAGCTGAAATTCTTCTTCTTAGAGAGGAAAATACTGCTACCCAGGTACTTAGATGAGATCCCAAACTTTTCTGTGTTTAGTAGAATAAAACATCTTCAAGAATATTTCTCTTTTAGTTGCCTTTGGTTTAGTTGTGCTGATGTGATTACTTACCACTTCTTTATTATCAATGGTAGCTTTTATTGAACATTTATTATATTGGGGGTACTATAGTAGAAACTTGGACTACAAATAATATGCAGAATAAGTCTGCTATCTTTAAGAAACATACTATTTAGTGGGGAAGACCGAATCTACATTTAAATGGTAACCAGCAATATTATAGCAGTTTATCCAAAATGTGAAGTAAATGTCGTGATAGCGGCTTTTAATTTCAAAACAGCAGAGGATACCATTTAGGAAGCTTCCTGTAATCATATGCCATTTAAAGTTGTTTGCAGTATCTTCATATTTATTAGATAAGTCCTCTTTGACACTTGTCTAGCTAATTGCTCCTTTTTTTTTTTTTAAAGACTTACACAGTATTTCTTCTAGAAACTAATCATACTGCCTCAGTGCTGCATTAAATATTCTTTATTTGTGCCCTTTTGGTACTCTCTGGATAGTGCTCTCATTGCATTTACCAAATTGTGTTACACATACATGTATACCTGTCATCAAGACTGAGCTGCTTGAGGGACACCTGGGTGGCTCAGTCGGTTAAGCGTCCGCCTTAGGCTCAGGTCATGATCCCAGTCCCGCACTGGGCTCCTTGCTCAGCAGGGAGCCTGCTTCTCCCTCTGCCTGCTGTTCCCCCTGCTTGTGCTTTCTCTCTGACAAATAAATAAATAAAATCCTAAAAAAAAAAAAAAAAAAAGACTGAGCTGCTTGAGGGCAGAGATGGTTTTATTCATCTCTTTGTTCTCCAATGACAGTTATTATTACTTTTATTTATCAGCCAAAAGAGACTGGAAAAGCAACAGTTAGTAGGCAAGTTGTGTTGTATCAGTGGACATTAGATATACGACATGCAATTTTTTATTGATCTATACAGTTCACATACCATTTAATCATCTTATTAAAGTGTACAGTTCAGTGGTTTTTACTATTCACAGAGTTGTACACCAGCACCATTATCTAATTCTAGAATGTTTTCCTCACTCCAAAGAGAAACCCCAAGCTTGTTCTTCATTCTGTTCCCCCTGCAGTCCCTGGCAATTAGAAATCTACTTTGTGTTTCTATAGATATGCCGAATGTGGATATTTCATATAAGTGGAATCATGCAATATGTGATCTTTTGTGTCAGATTTCTTTCACTTAGCATAATGTTTTCAGGGCTTAACTATGTTATAGCACATGTCAGTACTTCATTCCACCAATGAAGTGGTGGAATGTTGTCCACCAATATTCCATTATATGGATATACCTCATTTTGCTTATCCATTCATCAATTGATGGACATTTGAGTTGTTTCTACCTTTTTGTGTATTATGAATGAATAATGCTGCTATGAACATTCATGTACAAGTGTTTTTGTGAACTTAGGTGATCAATTCTCTTGGGAAGATGAGCAGCTTTAAAATGTACTAATTGATTCAACAAATCTTTATTGATTTGGGCCTGGCACTGTTCTTGGTGCAGAAGATACAGTCGTGAACAAAGAAGAAATCTTTGCTCTGTGGAGCTTATTCTAAATAAATCCTAAAAAGAAAGAAAAGTAAAGTATATTGTAAGTTAGATGGTGATATGTACTGTAATGAGGAATAAAGCAGGTAAGAGGCACAGGAAGTACCTGGGGTGGGGAATTGAAATTGGGATGGGCCATGCCTGTTTGAGGAAGTGGCATTTGAACAAAGGCCTGAAGAAGGTGAGGAAGTGAGTGTGCAGATAGCTAAGAGAAGGGCGATCTAGGCAGTCTAGAATAGCAGGTCCAAAGGTCTTAAGGTGGGAGCATGGCTGTTGAGCTAAAAAACCACTGGAGTGGAATGTGGGAAAGGGAGAGTAGTAGGCTGTCTTCTGGGACAAGCTGGCACTGGTCACAATGCAGGGAGACTTTCCTCCAGAGGATCAGTGCCTGTCAGTGCTGTGGGGGGGGGGGGTCTCTGAAGTGTGGGGTTTTGAGACACAGCCGAGCCTAGGATAAGACACAAGAGTGCTGCACCATTTGGCAGTGGACAGCTTGGACACACACAGGGTGAAGGCAGGGATCTGACAGAAACCACGAACACAGGAGGGGTCGCTGTTTTAGCGTCTGTGAGGGCTTACTGAAGAGGGGTGGCCTGCGTTTCCTGCTCTGGAGATGAGAGTAAGGGGTAGAACCATCTTCTCCCCATGCCCACTGGCTTGACCTCAGTGAGCTAAACAGTGCCACCAAGTGGAGAACGGAGCTGCTACACCAAGCTCCACCCTACTGCTCCCTGCAGGCACATCTCCACTAGGGCAATTCTACCTGAGAATCTGAGCAGCAGCCCTTCCCCCAGAAGACCAGCACAAACTCCTCACCCACACCGAGTCTACTGATCATAGAGTGCTGCTAAGCTTCAGCTTTAGGGGAAAAAGGATCTAGCGTCCTTTGGGGTTTTGTGTGTGTGTGTTTGTTTTTATTTGTTTTGTTTGTTTTTTAGATACAGAAAGCAATTTATTATTTTATTTTATATATATATAAATTTAAAATTTTTTTCTTTTTCTTTTCTTGCTTTCTACCTTTTTCTATCGAGCTTCTCCTAACAAGCAGACCAAAACACACCTAGCATCTAGCTTCCTGTATGTATTTTATTTTTTTAATTTAATTTTTTAATTTCTTAATTTTTATTTTGTTTTATTTTGTTTTTTTTCTCCCACTCCAAAATGACAAGATGGAGGAATTTACCCCAAAAGAAAGAACAGGAAGAAATGACAGCCAGATATTTATTCAGTGCAGATATAAGTAAGATGTCAGAACTAGAATTTAAAACAACAATTATAAGGATATCAGCTGGGCTTGAGAAAAAAGCATAGAAGACACTAGAGAATCCCTTACTGCAGAGATAAAAGAAATAAAATCTAGTCAGGCAGAGATTAAAAATGCTACAACTGAGATGCAGACCTGAATGGATGCCATAAAAATGAGGATGGACGAAGCAAAGGAATGAATCAGTGGTATAGAAGATAAAATCATGGAAAGTAATGAAGCTGAAAAGAAGAGGGAAACAAAGGTAATGGACATGAAGGTAGACTTAGGGAACTCTGTAACTTATTAAAATGGAGTAACATTTGTACCATAGGAGTCCCAGAAGATGAAGAGAGAGAAAAAGAGGCAGAAGGTTTATTCGAGCAAATTATAGCTGACAATTTCCCTAATCTGAGGAAGGAAACAGACATCAAAATCCAAGAAGCACAGAGAACTCCCATTAAATTCAACAAAAGCCGGCCATCGCCAAGGTATAGCATAGTCAAATTCACCAAATACACAGACAAGGAAAGAATCCTGAAAGCAGCAAGGGGAAAAAAGTCCTTAACCTACAAGGGAAGACAGATCAGGTTCTCAGCAGATCCGTCCACAGAAACTTGGCAGCCAGAAGAAAGTGGCAGAATATAGTCAGTGTGCTGAATGGGAAAAATATGCAGCCAAGAATACTCTATCCAGCAAGGCTGTCATTCAAAATAGAAGGAGAGATAAAGAGTTTCCCAGACAAACAAAAACTAAAGGAGTTTGTGACCACTAAACCAGCCCTGCAAGAAATATTAAGGGGGATTGTTGGGGGAAAAAAAGATCAAAGCTCGGAATCATATTGGATACTGTCACTCTTATTTCCTATTCCACAATAATTTTTACACAGTGTTGCTTTTTAGCATAGCAGCTAATGAAAACCCAGTTCCATGAAGATATGACATCATCAAAAGAAATGTATTTTGATCTAATGTTGAAGCTGTGAGCTACCTCAAACTGGTTCACTGGTTCACTGGTGCCTGACAGATGTTGAACAGCAGTGTTTTCCTCAAAAATTTAAAATGTCCTGTGGTGCCCCTGTGAGTTCACTGTAGTGCCCCAAGGTGCTTCAAGCTTTTTTGGGAACAGTATAGGACTAGACTGTAGGTGGTTAGACATAGAAGCAGAGTATTACACATAGGAGTTATTGAAACAGTTTAGGTGGGCTGGCAGTCTGGTCTAGGTTGGAAGTGGGAGAAGCTATGAAAAGTGACTAAATTATGAATATATTTTGAAGGCAAGCAGTAGGATTTGCGAATGGGTTGGATATGGGGCGAAGGAGAGGATGTGAGAGGAGTCAAGGGTGATTCCACAGTTAGGGACTGAGCATTTAGAAGGATGGAGTTGCTGTTGATGAGGTGGGAATGTTCAGGGGGAGTTTGGTTTTGTACATGTTAAGTTTGAGAAGCCTATGTGAGTTCTCCATCTCTAGATGGAGATGCTGAGTAGGTCATTGGAGATGATTGTGGAATTTGGGAAAAATTTGGACTGGTATGAAATTGTTTAGTATATTTCATTCAGTAGTCCCTCTAATAATCCTTCTCACTTCTGACCATCTCTGATTTTTATCATATGTCTGTACATTTTGGAAATATATATAGATACATGGATATATATATACACACACACACACACATATGTGTGTATAATATCTCTTATCACTATGTATATATTTTCTCTTAACATTATTTTATATACATTACATAAATTCTTACAGGGTTATGTTTATATATTCTATTAAATTAGCTTGGCTTAGTTGATATCATTTATCTAAAAAGGTTTTATAGATCAGAAGCCCTGTAAAAAGGTTAATTCTTACTGTTGTTGTGGTGTATTTAGTAATTAATATTATTCCATTTAACCATTCCTCTGTCATGGGACTTTTAAAACATTTATGATTATGTGTTCTTACAAATGCATGATTTTAGTATTTGAATGAAAGTCCGAAGTTCCTGGAGTAGTTAAAGTAATGATACGATTCTACATATCTAGGTGATGATCTGATGTCTGCTATGCCAGTGATGTTATTTCATTCTTTTTTCTCCAGGCAAGACTTCAGCAATACATGGTCACAACAGATGAGCAACTTATATCGCTCACACATGCCATGAAGAACTGTCCAGTGATAAAAAGCAACAAAGAATGTCAGGCATCAGAAAGGGGATCCACGAGTAGGAAAATTATAGACAATCCCGGTGAGTGTGGTCTTATTATCCCAGGTTGGTATTAAAACACAGAGCAAACAAAACTGTAAACTTACATGTTATTGGTCACGTATACATATATAGCATTGTCACTATGACAGTTGCCATCACTATTTCCAGCTAATATTTATTGGGTACTTGCTCTATGCCAGGCACTTTTTAAGTGTTTTATGTGTATTATCTCGTTTAGTCCTCATAATAGTTTTATGAGGTAAGTATCACTGTTATCCCTACTTGCACGATGAGAAAACCAAGGCTTTGGGAGGGTTGGTAGCTTAGCAAGATCACACAACTAGGAAGTAGCAGAATTTGCCTCCTAGACTAGTGGGGCTTTAGTGCCAACACTTTTCATCACTGTACACCAGGTTCAAGAGGAGAGGAGATGGTCTTGGAAAGAAAAAGAAATTCTGAGTTTTAGAAATGCGCAACTTTTGTTCATTTGTGGTGATGTTTGGAAAGCCTTTCTTCACTTCCTGTGCCATCCTATGTCAGAGCCTGAAAAGGACAGTTAGGCTTTTTCATGTTTTTTGCTTCTAAGTAATACTTTGATGAGTGTCTATGTGTGGTAAGTATTTTATATATTTAGCAGTGTTTTCTCAGGAGGGATTCTAAGAAGTGGCTGACTAAAATTTAACTTGCATGAGAGAAACTCAATGGCTGGGGCAGGTCTCAAGGACTAAGTGCCTTTCTCAAAAAGAGCCTCTTCTTCCCAGTGCTGGCCGCTTGGGAGCCTTGGGTGTGAGTTACAGCTAAAGGAGGATATGGCCTAGAAAGTGAAGGCTCTAGAGTTCATGTGATTTTGCTTTCTGTGGAAATGCATGTAAGTATAAATACCTGCAATGTATCCATGGTTGTAAGTGCTGATAGCCTCTCATCTTCTTCAGAGGGCCCTGTTGTAAATGCTAATGTCTCCATGCCATTGGTGTTCAGAGGGGAAGAAGTGGCTGAATTCGCACAGGAAGACTTGCCTGTTAAACTGTCTCAGGTGCCAACTCCCACAGATAGTGTGAATCTGACTAACAGTTTTCCAGCACATATATTTGAACCGGCTGTGTTGTTAACACCACCCAGGCAGAAGAGCAACTCTGGATTCTCTCCCTTGCAGGACGGTAAGCAGGCTTCCTCTAAGCTGTGTGACAATTGTTTTTTTATGCTTTATATATGTAACATATGGTGTCCATTGTTACCCTGTAAATGGAATTCTGGAAGATACTGATTGCCACACATAACCTTTGAGCTAAAGGAGGATTTTTCAGGGTTGTTTTTATCATGTGTGTTATACCTATGGTTAAATGTCACATTAAATTTCATTATATACCTGTTCTATTAGACGTTGTAAATACTAAATCAAACCAAAGGATCAAAGTCCTCAGCATTGAAATGTGGAGTAAGGGAAATCTTCTTTTCCCTGTGTGGTCCAGGAGCATAAGAAAGGGTAAGAGACAGATTATACTCCAGAGAGAGAGTAATAAAAGTTTAGCCAAGGAAAGATAGGAACTGTGACTATATAAGGATTTTGTAGATCAGATTTGGTTATTAACCTCTTTCTCATTGAAACTTGTTTAGCTTAGTCAGTTGAGGTAATTCTATAATGAAAGTTGATGAACAATTAAAAATAGCTTTCAGGTCACTTTTTGCAGGACATATATAGAGTTTAGAATAAAATTTAAAAGATTTATTGTTAATCCTTAGCCCAGAGATTCTTAACTTGGGGGCTCATGGATGGTCTTCAGAAGTACCATGGAGTGTTTCAGTGTTTGGAAAATTATGTTTATTTGTCCACCTGTGCATTTTTCTGGAGCTATAGAGCCTTTTTTTTTTTTCCATTTTCAAAACAATTCTTCAGTCAAAAAACTACCTTAGACTCTCCTCCATTGTTTTTAGAAAAATGTTATTCAGCCCTGATTTGCATACATTTTTATTTCTTTATTTTCTTTCTTTGTTTACTTTCTTACATAGGGGAACAGAATAATAACTAAATAATAACTAAAATAATAATACTGTCATTGGAACTTAGAAAATTTGGTCAGATTTTCTGTACCTTTTCAATAAAGGACATGAAGAGGCCATAAGGGTTAAAGAAATGACAAGTCCTTGCCGTTATAAAATTTGTTTTGGCATTTATTATGCAAATGTAAAGTCTGTCAGATCTTTGTGGTGTAGGGAGGCAGTGCTAGGCTGAGGGTCGGAAGTGCTAGAGTCTTGGCCCATCCGATGACGAGCTGGGAGGCTTAGAGCTAAGACACTTACCTTCTCTGCATTCATTTTCCTAGCTCCAAAATGAGAGATTTTTCTGTTATCTTTAATGTTCCTCCAGCTCTACAGTTCTGTGATTTGGTATTTCCTCTTTAGAGGCTAGAGAGTATTACTAACTCTGGCTAGGAAATATTTAGGAAATATGATTTCAGTTCTGATTTCTGTTGAGGTTAGATTTTCATTCCTCAAAGTAATCTTTCAAATGTTTACATGGTATTAATAAGCTTGTCTAATGATCTCTTTTGAGGTATTGTAAATTATTTCCCATTGGTGATAGTAAGATAACTTGAAGTTCTTTTTTTTTTTTTTTTTTTTAAACTAGGCTCCACTTTCAGTGTGGAGCCCAGCACGGGCTTGAACTCACGACCCGGAGATCAAGACCTGAGCTGAGATCAGAGTCGAATGCTTAACGACTGAGCCACCCAGACACCCCTAAATTTTTTTAAAGAAACAGTTACCACAAATATTTTTACTCTGATTACAAATATGCTAAATGTTCACTAAAGCAAATTATTTGGGGACTGTTATAGACACCCCTTTGTTAGCAGGTTTGCATTGAAAATAATGCCACGGGCGCCTGGGTGGCTCAGATGGTTAAGCATCTGCCTTCGGCTCAGGTCATGATCCCAGGGTCCTGGGATCGAGCCCCACATCAGGCTCCTTGCTCCGCGGGAAGCCTGCTTCTCCCTCTCCCTCCACTTGCCGATCCCCCTGCTTGTGCTCTCTCTCTGTAAAATAAATAAAATCTTAAAAAAAAAAAAAAAGAAAATAATGCCACACATTTCTTTCACAGTGTGTAGATGGAATAACCTTTGAACATGTATTCTTAGTTGGTGAAGTTTTGTCATCATATTTTTCAGCATTTTATTTAGAATGCTCACATATAAAGAATTGTTGAGTTAAGCTGAAGATGTGGATAAAGGTGGGAGATACATCGGGCCCTTTATCGGTATTTGGTTATGCTCTGGAACAGCTCTGTCCAACAGAACTTTCTGTGATGATGAAAATGTTCTGTGTCTGCTCCATTTGTTGTGGTAGCCACTAGCATCAGGGGCACTTGAAATGTGGCTAATGTGACTGAAGAACTGAATTATTAATTTAATTTAACTTTAATGAATTTGAATTTGAATGACTGCGTATGGCCAGAGACTGTCATAATGGCCAGCATTGCTCTAGAATTTCCCATTATAGATCATTTCCTTTAGCTACTGATTGCCTTCTACTTTCTTTTACAGCCACACTTTTTGAAAGAATAGTATATATATGCTGTTTTCATTTTCTTATCTCCCATTCATTCATTTTCAGGCATCAGTTCTAATTTATATTTTCATGTGGTTAAAAAAAACACATGCAAAGGTCTCTTCCTCTTTCATCTTTAGGCCTGCCCTAAGAGGGATGCATTTTTTCCCAGTTTGATTTCTACTTATCTTGTGGTGGTCGCCATAATTAATAGAAAATATTTTTATATATTTTTTCTTAAATGTTAACTTTACACAATAATTACAGACTATCCTTTATTAAAGAAGAGGGTTTAATGAACATTAACTCCTACTTCCCTTCTCTATCCAATTTGGATGATTATATTATAATGTTTAACTCTTCTGTTGCTTAACTTTGTGACTTCAAATACTTTCTGTGTCTTCTCTGTTAACTCTATGCAGTATCTCTTGGCTTTCCTCTATGAGAGCCGCTTCCCTTCTGGCTCTCCTTTGCTTTCATTTCGCACCTTCATTCAGCCTACATTTCCTTTTACCATATCAAGTTTGGTGACGTTTACTTTGTTCCATTACCACAATTATGTCTTCTGTGTCTTGTCTATAGATGGATACTGAAAGTTGAAAATAAATGACTGTTTTGTCCTATCAGTCTTTGTGCCACAGGAAGGAAAAAGTTCTTAGTATGAAGATCAAAGTGAATGTCCTTTATTTCATTTAATCAGTTGCTCAGAATATTTAAATTTGCTGTATATTTATACTGACTTTCTTGTTCAATTTTTGTTTTGCCTGGAGTTTCGAATTGCTTTTCCCCTCTTGTTTACACAAGAATAATGTGCTTTACCCTCTTGTTTACACATGAATAATATCTTCTGGTCCTTTAGTTACTGTCTGTGGCATGGAATCCACTTTCATTCTAGAGATAATTCCCAAAGCTCTTCCACCCCTACTCCGGTCGGCACTGATTGCTCGCCGGGCCCACTGCACACCTCTTATCCTGGGACCTGCTAACGTCACACTCCTGGGTTGTATCTACTATTTCCTGGATCCCACTTCTTCCTCTTTGGTTTTCTCCCTCAAGTTTCTGAAAGAAATCATCAGAATGGGTGTATAGAAGGTAAACCCTAAGTTCTTAAAAATCTGAGAATATTTTTACTTTTCTATTACACTTGGTTGATAATTTGGCTAGATATAGAATTCTAGGTCCATAATCCTTTACCCTGAGAGATTCGAGGCATTGTTCTATTGATTATTAGTATCTGGTGTTGCAGTTGAGATGTATGATGTATTATCTAACTTTCATTTCTTTGTATGTGATGTACTTTTTCTCTGTGGAAGCTTTAGGATTCCTTTATTTTTATTCTGACCTTGCATAAGGTGTGTCTAAATATGTTTCTTTTTTTTTTCTCATTGCACTATGAGGCACCAGTGGGACCTTTTGGACTTGAAGACATGTGACTTTCTGCAGTTTTAGAAAATAGTATATTGACCTGGATCATTTTCTTACAAGCCTTATATCTTGCTTCTTATATTTTGGAAGATTTTTTTCACTTTATAGTCAGGGCTATCTTTTATTTTTTTTAATTATACCAAATTATGTTTTTAATTTCTAAGCAAGAGCCCTTTCTTGGTGTTTGATTGTCCTGTTTTCTTTTATGCTTATTACAAATGCATTATCTTGGGGCTCCTGGGTGGCTCAGTTGGTTAAGTGGCTGCCTTTGGCTCAGGTCATGATCTCAGAGTTGTGGGATCAAGTCCCTCTCCCTCTGTGTGCTCTCTCTCTCAAATAAATAAACAAAATTAAAAAAACAAAAACATTGCATTATCTTCCAGAAACTCTCTGCTGAGTATACCCATTAGAATTTTATTAAATTATCTTCTGTATCTGAATTTTCCTTCTCTTCTTAGTTTTTTGTTCTGTTTTCCTATCCTGGTTCTTCTCTTTTGTGCTGTTGGTTTTCCTTGTATGTCTGGTGATCCTTTATTGCCCATCATAGTTAAGAATAAATGACTAGACTGAATGTTATAGGTGGTTGGCATAGGTCTTCTCTCCTGGGGTGTAGGTTGATCTAGGTCTGTTTTCCCAATAGGCTTTCCCTTCAACAGTTGCTTTGTATATATGAACATGCTCTGTTAACTGCAGGCTTCCTTTTAGGGTATGTAAGTAGGATCCAGCGATTTCACTGGGGCTACCACATTTGCTCTCCCCAGTGCTGTTTTTTTTTTTTTTTTTGCTTTTGAGAATGGGTGGGGCAAGTAGTGAGCACCGCTTGACCAACATAACTATAAAGTAGATGAACTTTCAAGTTGTTCTGCAATTTTCAGCCTACTTCTCACTTTTTCCCCTCTGTACAGTCAGCTTTGAGCTAGCAGCCTTTTTCGGGTTCTCCCAGAAACACTGGCTTTTACCTGTAGCTCCATTATAACATATACATGTTCAGAACTGTGGCTTCTGTTCAATTCATTATTTCATACACTTCCCATCCACTTTCAGTCTTCCAGAGAAATGTGTCTAAATATGTCCTTTGCTAATGACTCTCTTCCTAGACCATAATCTTTACTGATGTGGATTTATTTATTTTTTAATTTCCTTGTTGTCAGTGAAAGGAGGTGAGTCTGTAGTCTTGAACTAGGAGCTCTGTCTCCCCAATTCTCTCCCTGATAGGTCATTTTGCCTAAACTACTCCTGCTAAGGGCTTCGGTGGCCTCCAGGTTAGTAACTCCAGTGTACTTTTCTTCTGTCTTTGTGTTTCTAGGTCTTACGGTAGTATTATATATGGATAACCACTCCCTCTTGGTTTCCTTCATACCGCATTCTTGTAATATTTCTCTAACCATTCTGGCTGCTCCATTTCAGTCTGCTTTGCTAGCTTCTCCTCTCTCTGAAGCTCTACATGTTGACTTCCTCTTGTGTCAGTATTGATTTCTTTTCTCACTTGATTCTTTTTCTCTAGGTAATCCCAATCATTCTCATTGCTCCCAATACTGTCTATATGCCAGTGACTTCCAGTTTTGTATCTTCGCCCAGATGCCTCTCTTTGAGTTTCTGACCCACGAGTCCATCTGCTTAGACGGATATTAGGATAAAGCATCAGGCACTTAAACTTATCCTGTTCAAAGTGGAATTCTTGGTAGCTTACCTTCCCCTAAATCTGTTCTTACCTTCTCCATCTCTATAAATCACATCACTGCCCACTCAGTTGCGCATGCCATCTTGATCTGTGTGTTTCCTTTACTCCCTACTTCCAGTTCATCACTCTTAGTTCTTTTGCCAAAATAGTTCTCAAATTTACCCACTTCTCTCCGTCTCTATAGCCAACATACCTTCATTGGAGCTATCATCCTCTTTCTCCGAGACTACCACAATGGCTTACTGGTCTCCCTACTTCCATTCCTGGATCTTCCAATTAACACAGCATTTAAGAAATATAAATTGAGTCATTGCCAAACCTTCTCCATGTTTCATTGCTCTTGGTTTAAACTATAAAATTCTTAACATGGCTTAAAAAGCTCTGTAAGAAATAGTTTCTGTACACCTCTCCAATCTCATATTTTTCCAGGTCTCCCTTATTGCTGTGTTACACTAAATTGGCCTCATTTCTTTGCTTTTTCCTATTCTGGGGAGTTCACATATATTGTTCTTCTGCCTGTAATGTTCTTTGCTCTGCTTTCTGCCACATATGTAATCATTTTTAAATTTTGCCTCTTCAGAGATGCCTTTCCTGGTCATCTTCAGTTTACAGTAGGTATTTATATTCCCTCCGCCCCCAAGATTCCCAGATATGAGTTAATACATGTATTAAAATGTGAACTTGGCAGACTTTTTTACAAGGATACCAGTAAAGCCTTAAGGAATATAAAGGTCTCTGTATTTGATTGTTTGAGGTGGCATTGCCGGTGTATTCCCTGCTAAAATAATTTAGGCCTTCAGAAGCCAGACCCTTCTATTGGAATACATTTCTAACTACCATGATGAGTAATGAGATGATTGTAGTGCCAGTCTGTGGCTAAATGATGCATGTTTATTCTGTTTTAATTTTCTCTGCAGTATTGAGGAGGACTGTTCAAACTCGTCCTGCTCCACGAATTCCTCCCACTGTGGAAATAATTGAGAAGGAACAGAATTGGGAAAAGAAGACCTTACCTACCGACACAGACAATCAGAATTCAAGTGAAGAGAGTCATCTCTTCACTCAGAGGTGGAGGGTGTCTCACATGGGGGAAGACCTGGAGAACAAAGCCCAGGCTCCCTTCGTTAACTTCTCACAGCCCTTCTGTAGTTCGCATTCAAACACTCAGCAGGCCAGAAGCCCCGAGTTCTCAGAAGAGCCCCTGGTACTGGGAGACGGGCAGCAGCTTAGGACAAATGCGGCATTAATACAAAGCAAAGACGTCATGGCACGAATTGCTGAGTTGACACTGCAGAATTCAGCTATCAAGGCACATCTGAATAATATTATCGGGCCAGGAGGAGAGCAAGGGGATGGAGTTCGGGAATTAAACAAACAAGAGACGAGTCACGTGAGCGACATGACTGCAGTGAGTACCAGTTAAGGGTTGACTAGGGACATTTAGGAACTTAAGTACTTTGCTGGAGCAAAGTGATCCTGGATGTCTTCAAGGCTGCTAGTAGAAGGCTTATGGTTTGTCATGTCCTCATCACGAAATAAGAAAAGTTGTTTATCAGTTTATTTGACACATACAGTAAAAGAGGACAACATAAAATAGAAAACGAGGAAAATGAATGAGAAAAATAGGACAAAGGTAAAATGTGTAGGAAAGCTGAAATTAAGCTGCAAATGAAGTTATAAAAATAAAATGCAGAATTAGTATGAGATGAAAGCCTGCCATACAACTACATTTTAATTGAAAGCATTTTTACTCTTACAGGGGCTCATATAACAGAATTAAGTGTAGCTGGCCCTCAATTCATAAGGAGTTAATTTTTTAGGACACAGAATGCATTTTCCTATAGAAATGATGTTTTAAAGGATTATTAAAGTCAGACTTTAATGTATGGGTGAATCATCTGGAGATCTTGCTAAAATGCAGTTTCTGATTGAGCAGTTCTGAGATAGTACCTGTGAATTTTTGACAAGTTCCCAGATGGTACTGGACCGAGGATTATACTTTGAATAGCAAAAATCTGCTTATCATAGTGAAGGAATTTTGTAGGCTAACCTGGTAACTTAAATCTTCATTTTCTTGTTCGTGGGGAGAAAAGGGATTCTAAATTCCAGCTGGGGAGTGTTTATAACACACGTTCTCATACTGGTCCCAGGGATGGGAGACGCTTCCTTTTACCCCTTTGTGAGCCAGAGTGGCTCCTGTCAGGGTTCTGATAGGAGATGGAAGAGTGTTTTAGCAGTGGGAAGGAGCTGGGCAGCTTTATGGATTAGGGGTTCCAGAGGTGATTGCTTCTATAAAGGGCTTTACCAATGATAGATTGAGGGCTTTCATGAGGAAGTTTAGGAAGGGGTGGGGGTGGGGGATAAGGGCCACCTCTGTCAGCACAGGCTCATAGGAAGTAAGGGCAGTATGAGTGTGGAGTCACAGAAGGGACTGGTAGTCTCTTACCAGGAAGAAGTCTTAGGAGTAGGCAGCAGCCGTCGGTGTAGATGTGTGTAAGTACAGACTGCCTTAATTTTGAGTCATTGGAGGCATTTCTGTGTTTGCAGAATTTTGACAGTTATTCAAAACAGGTAACTAACTCTTGGTTTTTAAAAAGGCAACAGAGTTAAAAATTGAGCTTGCCTGCTTTTCTAATTCGTATATAGATCAGGCTAGTGAGGACAATTTATTATTATTGTCCTCACCACCCTCTTTGTCATAAGCTGAATTTCAGAGTGATCTTTAATTTAAACTGTTTAGCTTATCTCTTTTTTATTAATGCGCATAAGTTATAAATCAGTGATTTCTATTAGGAATTGTTTTATCCCAAAGGGATATATTTAACTAAATGAAATAATCAAGAATGACACATATATTCCTCTCAGGAATCTCCATATTAAACTTATGTTATATTCCTTGGGTGGCTTTTTTACTCTACCTCTCATATTCCTTTCCAGTCACCACATTTCTCAAATTAGATATCTGAGGCCAAACATGGCTTGGGGCGGCTGACCCCTGGTCAAGAAGAGTGATAAGATTCCTAGAAATCTTTGCCAAATAACTCATGGTACGTGTATGACGATTAGGCTGATAGAAGCATCTCTCGAGTACAGCAGATCCTCTTTTCTATATTGAGATTCAAACCACAGATCTATCATTAATAGACCTGTTACTTAGAAGTCAGGTCGCTAGCAGTACTGTCTTTGCTCATGGGATCTTTTGTGTACCTCAACAGACCCGAAGAGATTCGGGGAAGCTTTGTCCCACAGACGTTCTCCGTGGACAAAGGGACTAGAGGGCTTATGTGGTACCAGTATCAGAAGGATTAGTATCCCTTTCCTTTAGCCCTAATTGTTCAGTTAAATGACTTTTATTCTTTGCCTGCTATTCAAGGTTACATATAGTAAGGGCTGTGAATACCAACTAGCTGGCTCTTAGTGGAAGAGTTAATTTTTACAAAAAGTCAAAATTGTTTGGATTGTTTTTAATGTGGAATTTGTGCCTTTTTTTTTTTTTTTTAAGACTTTTCCAGCAACACAACCTCTAACACCAAGTAGCATGGAGGAGCGGATTGCAGAATTGAATCGGCAGAGTATGGAGGCTCGTGGAAAACTCTTGCAGTTAATAGAGCAGCAGAAACTTATTGGTCTGAATCTTTCCTCTCCACTGGTGTCACCCATTCCATCACCTCTCAGAGCATGGACTGGTTGGTCACAAATTCATGATGTAAAAGCCAGGCACATGGGAGTTTTCACTTTCTTGATTTTACGAGTATATATTGAGCTGAAAGAAATCTCAAAGCATGTATTTCAGTGCCTTCAATTTTACATGGAAGGAAACAGACCTAAGTCACAGAATAAGTGACAGAAATAAGGCTAGATAGAAGGCCAATCTCCTGGTAGAAAGCTATTCCATGGTGCCTGCAGTTTATCTTTGGTGTCTAAGTTCTTAAGTTGCCTGATGTGTAAATGGGATTCATTACAGTGTATGATTCACTTAGGACCTATGCAGTGGCTGAGTACAAAACATTAGCATCAAAATGATAATTTAGAATTTCATCAGCAACAAATTACAAGTTATTTCATTAAAACCAGTTAAAACATTTTCATTTGTAAATTAAACTTCCCATTCTGTTGTTTTCTTAAGAATGTGATAAACTAGAGGGGATTCTGAATAATAGAATAGTAGCTGAAAAATTAGTTGTCATAATATTTACATACAAAAAAGTATTGATGAAATGAAGTAGATCTTAAGTTGTTCTTTGGCAAAAATTGAATTACTAAGACCCTAAGTGATAGAGCTGTATGAAGGCTATAGAGAGACTAATTTTGGCCCAGTATAAAAGAAGGTTCTAATTGTGAGGGATAGAAAATAATTATATCAGTAAGGAGTATGTTCCTTGAGGTGCTCAGGTATTGGTGTTTTAGAGGTATTCATCTGTCCAGAGGCTGGCTGAAGTAGGCTATCTTTAAGGTATCTGCCAGTGAGACTTAAAAAAATTTTTTTTATTCCAGTATAATTAACATACAGTGTTATATTAGTTTCAGGTGCACAATATAATGATCCAGCACTTATATACATTACTTAGTGCTTACTTAGTGTGCTCTTAATCGCCTTCACCTGTTTCAACCGTCCTCCCACCCACCTCCCTCATGAGACTTTTTCTCTCAGTTACAAATCATTCTTTTTTGAAACTTCAGACCTAGAAAGTAGACTCTTAAAAATTACTGGAAAATGACAGATAATGCATTTCCCCAGGGCCCTTTCTCTGTGCTATTCTAGGCTTCTTCAAATGACAGCTTCGTCTGCTGTTCTTCATAGTCACGAAGCGTAGAGGCAACTTCTGATTAAAGCACTCAATACGTTTGAACATCTACTACCTGCTGCCCTGTTCTGGGCCCTGGGGAAACTGCTTTGAACAGGACAAATCCCTGTCCAGCATTATGAGATAATGTTAGGTGGCACTAGGTGCAATAAAGAAGAATAAAGCAAATTGCTCTTAAGAGTAATTTTGTAATTACATTAGACATCTTCTGTTTCAATTGTTCTTTAAGGTTAAAAGTACCTCATTTCTATTATCTTAGTTAGTCCTCAACACACCCTGAGAGTAGACAGAGCTGATGTTATAGCTTTTTGATACGTAAGTAAACTGAGGAGAAAGACGTTAAGTGATTTGTCTGAAGTTCTAAAGCAAATTGGTAAATTTGCAAACTGTGTTCTTTTCATTCCAGTGGTTATATCTCCAGAATATTCTTTTTTGGTAATATCTCCAAGATATTCCTTTTTAAAAGTAAAATTCTTGGTTTCACGGGTACCTTTGTGCGCTATGATGATAAAGATATAATCATATGCCATACAAAGCCTCTTTGGTTTCTAGGGTAATGGAGGAATATCTTATACAATTAAATATGGTTTCATTACCCACTAAAGCCCTGAAGATCACTGATTTTAAGTAGTGATTCATAAGAGCCTCTGTGAAACTGCCTAGTATAGACATTGTCTTTCATTAGTAGATAGTAAATATTTGTTAATTGATAATCTAACTTTTGAAATATTGAAAATGAACAGTTATACAGTTATACTTGCCATTGGCCATATGAACTCTTCAGCCAACTTTCCGCTCCTAAGTTAATGCCTTCAGGAATCTAATAATATAGTAGATTTAGAGGATTTAAAGTTTTATTGAATGACTTCAGAAATTTTCCTTTTTCTTTTTAATTTTTTTGAAAATTTTAGATAAGCTGTTTTTGACAAAAATCTTAAGATTTTTTAGGGCTAGCTCTTAATTTCTGTTTTTCACTTCCAGATCTGACATGATACCACTTGTCTGAAGATTCTGGCTTTCTATGAACTGGCATGCTACTGAATTGACACTAGTAACTAAAGTTTCTTGTCTCACAGTTCATTTTGAAAAAAATCCTTCAAGGGTGTCTGTGGGCCATAATGAAAATATAGAAAGAAACTCCAAATTTGTAATGTGAAATTTGCAGTAAGATAGACATCAAGTTAAATTTTTATTTTATTTTAATGAAAGATAATGAAACTAATATTTATTTTTATATTTTAGAAGGAGGAAAGAGGACAATTGAAGTATCTATTCCAGGAGCTGAAGCCCCAGAAAGCTCAAAATGCAGTACTGTCTCTCCTACCAGTGGGATAAATACAAGAAGGTAGGGTTACAACGTGCAGTTACTTTAAAAAATCAAGAATGTGGTGTTTCTTTCTCTTTGTGAAAAAAGGAAGTGCACAGTATCTGACTTAGGTTCAGACAGACTCACTCCTGTAGAGAAAATAAAGCAATTGGAGAGAAGAATTTCTGGGGAAGAAAAAGAGGAGTGAGGAACAAGCCTTAAGTAAAACAGTGTGGGTTGGCTATTGAGGACAAAAATAGGATAATGGCACATATATAGAGTGCTTTATAGGTTATAAAATTAGGAGATAACATATGACGGGGATAAATTGATCAGTAGTATTTTTCTCCTTTACAAGAAATGAAACTAAAGCTCATTGAGCTAATTGGGTGGTTTGCTTAGATGGGTCACATGATTGGTAAAGGGTGGCACTGAGGATGGACCTGGCTCTTCTGTCTCCACTCTCTGTGCTTACCTTGACACTGTGCTGCCATTCAGGGCTCTTTTCCGCTGCCGGGCCTTCCCCCCGCCCCTGCACATGCATCTTTCCCCTTAAAAATGTTACAGCATGATACTGTAATGGTGGGTATTGTCATTATACACTCGCCAAAACCCATAGAATGTATAACAAAAGGTGAACCCTGATGTGAGCTATGGATGTAATTAATAATGTACCAGTATTATCTCATCAGTTGTGATAAATGTAGCAACCTGATGCAAGGTCCTAATAATTTGGAGAAACTGTGTGGGGGAGGTGAGGGCTATATTGAAACTCTCTGTTCTTTACACTTAATCCTTTTGTAAACCTAAAACTACTCTAAAAAAGGAAGTCTAATAATTAAAAAAAAAAAACAACTTAGGGTGGTAAAAATATGTTACAGATAACTTACCTCATTTGGACCTAACTCAGCCATTGCCAATACTGAGATTTGTCAGTCTTATATAATTTTTTGAAGGTAAATGGTGATAGATCACTCTCCCACTCTCTTTTATTTCTTGTAAATAGATCTTCAGGGGCTACTAGTAATTCTTGTTCTCCATTAAACGCTACCTCAGGAAGTGGGCGATTCACACCTGTTAATCCAAGAGCAAAGGTATGTGATAAAATGTAATTGTGAAATGTGTGTAGGGGTCAGGAGAGTGGGGTGGGGGAGGGTGGCTGATTTAGTGATTTCCATTCTTTTTTTTTTTTAAGATTTTATTTATTTATTTGACAGAGAGAGAGAGAGAGCAGGAGCACAAGCAGGGGGAGTGGGAGAGGGAGAAGCAGGCTTCCCATGGAGTAGGGAGCCTGATGCGGGGCTCGATCCCAGGACCCTGGGATCATGACCTGAGCCGAAGACAGATGCTTAACAACAGAGCCATCCAGGCGCCGCTAGTGATTTCCATTCTTAATTAAATTCTTGTTATCCTACAGGTGACATAAAATTCTCAGAAGAAAAGAATTCCTAATTCACCTTTACTAGAAAAAACCTTTAAGCCATATAGTCTCTTTTGTGTTCTGGGGTAGCTAAGGAATAAGATAAAATTCAATGGGATTTCAACATAGACTGGAAATTACTGGCCTCAGGCAAAGCATTCTAATAATGTGGCAGGACATACAGGTGTGCCTTGAAGTAGTAGTTACACTGAGATATTGGTTCCCTCAGTGCTTGCTGTGGCTGTGTGGGATTGGGTTATCCAGAGCCCTGGGGCCACTTTTCTTGTCACTTAACCTAGTGTGCTGTATCTGAGTGTGCCACTGGTTAGAGAAGTTGTGGTTAATCAATGTCATACATATTCTTCATATGTTCTGATTTGCTGTAGATTAGACCAAATAGTGAGTGCTTCAGTAAATATTGAATATTTATAGCCCAGATTAATTTATATTCTCAGATATCCCCATTGTCTAGCACTAGAAGATTTGTCCTTTGCTGTTTCTTATATCCTAAAAAAGTTTTTTTAATAAATAAATAAATAAATAAACAAATAAATATTTATTTATTTATTTATTTATTTGAGAGAGAGAGCGCACACGCATGCACACAGACAAGTGGGGTAGGGACAGAGGGAGAGGAGAGAGACTCCCTGCTGAGTGTGGAGCCCAGCCTAGGGCTCCATCCCACAACCCTGAGATCATGATCTGAGCCACTTAACCAACTGAGCCACCCAGGCACCCCTAAAAAGTTTTAAAGAGGCTGTTTTATATAATTTGCCCTTAGTTTCTGGAATTTAGTAACAATTTTAATTTACTAAGATCAAATAACTTTGTTATTTTAAAAAGTTGTACCTATAATTTGTATAAAATACTGGATTTATCCTTTATTTAAAAATTAGGTTTCCTCAGTCAATCAGGGTATCTGTTGACCAGGGAATCAGTTATTTGGGAGTGGCTCTTTTAGAGAATAAAAACGCCAGTAGCAATTTAATTTTCAGTACCATTTGATGACATAGGGTAACTTCTGTGTACTTGGTCTAAATAATTATAAACCTTAAATGGGCTCATGTTTCTGATTACTTTCTAAATCCGTCTTGCATCTTTGTTCAACAGATTGAGAAACAGAATGAAGAAGGCTGGTTTGCTCTTTCTACCCACGTGTCATAAGTGAAGTTAGTTGTACAGAATTTTTTTTCAGTAGTATATTCTTGAGCTTCCACTCCCCTTTCCCTGCTCCTGCTTTCAAGTTTTCATGTCCTTTTAGATAAAACCTACAAAGATCTTGTAACTTAGTACTTATGGAACAAAGAATAAAGAAATTATTTGAATCTTGGATCTTTTCAAATAAATTTCCAACAACTAACCAATGTACAACCTCCTGTGAATAAAATTTTGATTATAGGGAAATTGAAGTTTTATATTCTAATAATCCCATCAGTATTGTAAAGTTTTGCTGAGTAACACATTTTTACCTTTATCATCTTTATTCAGGTTTTTTTTTTTTTTTTGGTCTAGTATATCTTAAATGATGTATTTCTTTTATTTTTTTCTGAAGAATTAAGTTGCTTTGCATATAATTTACAATAAAATGGCTCTGGGTGATTAAAGTCTGGCTTTCAGAAAAATTTAATACTCCCTTTGATTTCTTTTTGGGAGGGAAGTTATTGTTGTCCATGGCTTTTTCCACCGAGTGGAATGTATAGCTTTAAAAAGTAGGTGTGGGAACATCTGTTTATATTTGTTTATGCAGATAAGAGTGGTTGTATATATCATAAAATTCTTATATAGGCTTTAAATGTGAAAATGTCATCAATAATGGTAATGTACATCAAATAAATAATGCTCAAAGAGCTCGTGTCTAAATGCAGTAACATTGATTTAGTGTTTGAAACAGAAATGAGTACAAAAGGTTGCTGTCAACTTTCCCGCCCTGAATCTACTACACATTCAGGGTTGTTTTCTTCAAAGCACCTGTTTGGCTCTCAGACACTGGCTTTTATTTTAGACTTGCTTTTTAAATTATCTCTACCCTTTCACTGTGGGATGGAAATTCTCAACCTGGTGTAGTGGGAGTAGGGCAGGGGAAACACATTGAAACTACTTGGGGAACTTTCTCAGACAACACTGTCCCTCCTCCTGGAGTTTTTCGTATTCTACGAAGTGTCATATGCAACTTTCATTTGGGCCTCTTCATTGTGGCGGCAAAAATACAATTTTTCTCTGGTATCACTGATTTTATTTACGTGAAGTCATCTGTATTCATTTGCATTATTGAAGATTCTTCCATCTGTATTGTACTTTTTTGAAGCTTGGTTTTTAATAAATACTATCCCTGTGTGGAATATAAGACCGTTTTGATACCATTAATGTCAAGTTTTCTGCTTGGCTTGTGAATGCATTCTCTTTTTTTAAATTTTTGAAGTTTTTATTTAAATTCCAGTTAGTTAATATGCAATGTAATATTAGTTTCAGGTGTACAATACAGTGATTTGACACTTCCATACATCACCCTGTGCTCATCACAAGTGCCCTCCTCAATCCCCATCACCCATTTCACCCATCCCCCGACCCTCCTTCCTGCTGGTAACCATGTTTGTTCTCTATAGTTAACAGTTTGTTTCTTGGTTTGCCTCTCTCTCTCTCTTTCTTTTTTCCCTTTGCTCATTTGTTTCTTAAATTCCACATATGAGTGAGATCATAAGGTATTTGTCTTTCTCTGACTGACTTCTCTTAGCATACTATTCTCTAGTTCCATCCACGTTGTTGCAAATGGCAAGATTTCATGTGAATGCATTCTTTGGACTTAAATTTTTCTTAATGTTCTTCAACTGGTTGGCTGTTTACTTTTTTCCCTTATATTCCTTTAAACTTCAAAAGCCATGATTCTCAACTTTGAGAGCATTGAAAAAAAGACCAAACGCTACCTTGAGCCCTTGGCATGACTATCTATCTATCTATCTATCTATCTATCTATCTATCTATCTATCTATCTATCTATCTATCTATCATCTATCGGAGAGAGAGAAAGTGCGTGTGAGCACAAGCAGGGGAAGTGGCAGGCAGGGGGACAAGCAGTCTCCCCGCTGAGCAGGGAGCCCCATGCAGGACTCAATCCCAGGACCCTGAGATCATGACCTGAGCTGAAGGCAGATGCTTAACCAACTGAGCCACCCAGGCATCCCTTGTCATGACATTTTAAGAAGCTGCTTAAGGTGATTTAATGTGCAGCCAGAGTTGAGAACCAGTGCTCGCTGGCAACCTGTGGAACTGACATTTAAGTGTCCATCCTGCTAATATTTGTTTTTGTTGATAAACTTCAAAAGTAGGTTTAAAAAACTCCAAGAATAATAGATACAGAGAAAAGAGCTTGCGTTCTTAGGCTTTCTAAAGCAGTGCTTCTCAGCTTTGGCTGCCATTAGAGTCACATAGGGACCTTCTAAAATTCCCAATGGCCAAGTCTCACTCCAGACCAGTTAACTTAGACTCTGGGAGTATGACACAAACAATATTTTAAGAAACTTCCTCAGGTGATTCCAGTGTGTAGCCAAGCTTGGGAAACGTTATGAAGATATTTATCATCCCCATATCATAAATTGGTGCATGTTTGGTTTTAAGTAACACTACTTTGGGCCCTCTTTATCAGCTTTCAGAGCCAGCTGCACCAGTGGGTCTCAAACTATGGCCCTGACCAGCAGTGTCAGGATCACCGAGGTACTTGTTAGAAATGAAAATTCATGGGCCCTACCCTAGACCCATTGATCAGAAAATGTCTGTTTTAATAAGCCCCTCATGTGATTCTGAAGCATACTCCAGTTTGGGAACCATTGATCTTAGCATCACAGAGGGGTGAACTCTGCTATATTTGATGATGTACTACATTTGTATTCACTTTTCTAGTCCAGACTCAGATTACTTATATTTCTTGTGTTAGGACTCAAGTTTTTGGCTAACATATGACTTCTCCAAAATGCCCCAGGGGCGCCTGGGTGGCTCAGTCCATTCTGCCTTTGGCTCAGGTCATGATCCCATGGTCCTGGGATGGAGCCCCGAGTCAGGCTCCCTGCTCAGTGGGGAGTCTGCTTCTCCCTCTCCCTGCCCCTCCCCTGCTTGTGCTCTTTCTCTCTAACAAATAAATAAAATCTTAAAAAAAAAAAATAAATGCCCCAGAAAGCTGCTAATCACTTGCTAAACTTTAATAAAATTTGCAGTTTTCCATATTACAGCTTGGGAGAGAAACTAGATTGATAATCAGATCCATAGTTAATGGTACAATCATTCCTATGCTGTATAGTGAGATCGTTTAAATTAGCAGAATTTAATAGTAATTTACTGTTTACTAAGTGCCAGGCATGGTTTTAGCCACTTTTCATGATTTTAAGACACCTTTATGAGGTAGATACTATTCCTTCTTTTGCAGATGAAGAAACTGAGGTACCAGGAGGTAAGTACCCTCTCAAAGTCACACAACTTAGGTGTGAGGGCCCTGGGATGGCATAGAGGAGGTCTTTGTACAAAGCCTACACTATGCTGCCATCTTACAGTGAATATGGTATGGAAGCACAATAATCATAACAATAATAATAATAATTATAACTATCCTTATTGAACCATAACTGTGGTTATCTCATTAAAATCTCACAGTAAAACTGAGTTAGACATGTTTGAATGCCACCCACCTCCCCTTTACAGATGAGGGAATTGAGCCCTGGAGGTGAAGTAAGTTGCCTAATGTCAGGGTGTATGAGGTAAAGCAGGATTTGAAGCTCTTTTTTTTTAGAAGAGAGAGAGCACAATAGCGGGGGTGGGGGGGCAGAGGGAGAGGAAGAGAGAGAATCTTAATCAGGCTCCATGCTCAGCACAGAGCCCGATGCAGGGTTTCAATCCCATGACCTTGAGATCATGACTTGAGCCAAAATCAAGAGTCAGATGCTTAAATGAGTCACCCAGGCACCCGTCTTTTTAAAAAATAATTATTGGACTCCTCCTAACTTGATCTAGCACAGTGGCTAAAGCTGCAAGTATTGCAATCAGAAAGCTTGGATTCAAATGACATTTCTGCCACTTGGGCTGTGTCCCTGAGTAAATTATCTCATTTTTTCCCATTTGGGTGAGACATGATATATCTTAATAGGGTTGTGAGGAGTAAGAGAGGTGAGTATATGTAAATATGTTAAGAACAGGGCCTGACTCATAATAAGCATTCAGTAATGATGACTGCCAGTTTTTTGGTGCACAAATACACTATTTCCAGATTTTTAAAGATATTATGTGCTGAATTCTTTGTGGTTTTCTCAGATTAACAACTGGACCCAGTGCTTTAAAATTAGAGATATTTGGAGGTTGAAAGAAAACATGTTGAGAATATTATTTGAAAATGTACCTAACAGGCTGTTTAAAAATAAGTTTATCCTATGTTTTTTGACTTTTCAGACACCCTGGATATACCATTTAATAATTAACAGTAAAGATAATGTTTTAAGTCAGGAGACTTTAAATGTCAAGAATACTTGACTAAAGAGAACATTTCAATACTACCAACAAATGCATGGAATGAAGTTTTTGGAAAATTGTGTAACAGAAACCAATAAACACAAAATATAATATGACCTTTTTAAAATCAACTTTATTGAGAAATAATGTATATATAATTAATTGCATCTAAATTTAAAAAGAACAATTAATTGACTTTTGGCAGATGAAACTACTGCCACAAGACACATTTTTGTCATCTCCAAAAGATTCCTGCTGTCCCTTCAGTGCATCCCTCGGTTTACTCTAGCCCTGGGCAACCACTGATGTGCTTTTTGTCATCATAGATTCGTTTACATTCTATCTAAAAGGAATCATACATTGTACTATTTTGTGTCTGGCTCTTTTACTCACCATAACTGAGATTCATTCATGTTATGTGTTTCAGTTTTTTCCTTTTTACTTCTGAGTAGTATTCCATTGTATGGATATTTATCCATTCACCTGTCAATGACCTTTGGGTTTCTTTCCAGTTTTTGGCTATTGTGAGTATAGCTGCTATGAACATTCACAGACAAGGCTTTATATGGATATATGTTTTTGTTTCTCTTGGGTAAATGCTTCAGACATGGAATGGCTTGGTATATGTTTAACTTTTAAAGAAACTGCCAAGCCGTTTTCCAAAGTCATTGTACCATTTTACATTCCTAACAGCAGTCTATGAGAGTTCCAGTTGCTGCATATCTTCCACACTGGGTGCTGGCAGTTTTTAAAGTTTTACCCATTCTGGTGGGTGTGGTGTATGTGCATTGTGGTGTGCATCTCCCAGAGGACTACTGTGTTTACTGGCCACTCATACCTCTGATATGGTGAAGTATTCAAAGTCCTTTGCCTGTTTGAAAAATTAGGTTGTAAGTTTTTTTTTTCTTATTCAGTTGTAAGAATCCTTTATATATTCTGAATGCAAAGTCCTTTGTCACTTATTGCAATAGTGTACCCTTTTTTTTTAAGTTTTTATTTAAATTCCAGTTAGTTAACAGACAGGATAATATTAGTTTCAGGTGTACAAGATAGCCATTTTAAAACAATGTTTGGTAACCAGTGACTTCAGGTACTTAAAATTCAGTACTGACCGCTGGCTGCATCACAGAGCAGCTGAAGAGCAAATTGCTAGGGGTGTCTGGGTGGCTCAGCTGATTGGGCGTCCAACTTCGGCTTGGGTCATGATCCTGGGGTCCTGGGATCAGTCCCTGCGTCGGTCTCCCTGCTCGGTGGGGAGCCTGTTTCTCCTTCCCCCTCTACCTGCAGCTCTGCCTGCTTGTGCTCTGTCAAATAAATAAAAATCTTTGAAAAAAATCTTAAAAAAAAAAAGCAAATTGCTAAACCGAGAAATCTGTCAAGGTAGGCCTATACTTTGTGCGCCCAGCGACATGAGACCAAGGATCCCACAACATAAAATCACTTCCTTGTAAAAGCCAACAGAGATAACAGAGGAAAATAAACAACTCAATAGAAAAGGCTCCCGATGTATCCTTGCGGATGATAGTGTGCAATCTGGGTCCCTTTGGGCCATCGCTTATTAACCGGCAGGTATCTAGGTACTCAAAAGTCATTCTGTTTATCAATATAACATTCTTGGGATAATTATAATAACAAACTGTATATAAAACTAAAAGGGGATAATAACCTGATAGAATGTTGGGCTTTTCTGTTTGGCTCGAACCAGAGTCACGTGCCTGGAAACAGCCGGGACCAAAGGCCGAGTTAAATTAGAGAGTCGGGTCTCAGGGCCCCCGCCGGGGGATTTCCCCCGAAAGCCACCTCCAGGCGGCGCATGCGCCGGGAGGCGGGGCGGCGTTGCCTGGTGACCGCAGTAAACCGAGACCTGGGCCTGAAGCTGCGACTAGGAACCCGCGGCGAGGGCGGTCGGTGCCTTGGGTAAGTTTGGAGCGGGCAGCAGGGCAGTTCCCACAGCCTCCCCCTCAAATCTTTTAGCGAGTCAGGGAGTAGGGAACCCCGCTTGGACTTCTCGTAGGCTGAACCAGTGTTCTCCAGGCTCTCTGAGAAGTCCGTCTTTCCTACGGATCAGTTCAACAAACACTGAAGTGACTAGCATTGGCAGGCATAGAGCTAGACGCTGTGGATACAAAGTGGACACGGTTCCTGCCTGCAAGGAGCTCCTAATCCGGTTAGGGTGGAAGACAGCAGACCCCAGGAGTGCCAGTTAGACGGCTCTAAGCCAGGAGCAGGGAGTCTGGTGGGAAAGTGCCTGGGTTCTGGGGTCAAGCCAGCCAGCTCGCCCCACACTTAGCTGTGTGACACCTGTCAAGTTGACCCCTCTGGACTTCAGCTTCCTAATATCTAAAAAGAAAGATCATAATGCTTACTTCATGGGGTTCTTGTTACAATTAAATAGGATATTGCAGGTAACGTAGGTAACATATTCATGGCACGCAGTACATGCAGAATACTTTTTGCACACAAGTAGATATAGTAGCGTACACGTACTCACTATGTCCAGTCCATCGTGAGTTGTCTCAGGTGGCTACTAAGGCTTTTGAGAAGAAGGGACTAAGGAAGGACTAGGAAGCAGGAAGTGACTGGAGATGAGCTACAGACCCAAAGATGAGGGACCTTTGTGCCATGCCAGGGAAGCTGAATTATTCTGTGGCAATGAGGAGCCATTATCGGTTTCAAACAGGAGTAGCACACTAAAAGCTGTGTTTTGGAACTACAAGAGGCAGGGTAGAAATGGACTAGAGAAGGGAGAGACAAGGTATGAGGCTGTGGTAATGGTACAGGTGAGACCACGTAAGCAGATGAAGGTGGTGACAGTGGGAGTAGGAGGGAGAGGATGAGTTCAAAAGGTTCAATGACTGTTCACTTGGCAACGGGACATAGAAACCACCTGCATGGGTGAGCGAGAGGGAAGGATTCAGAGTAATTGCTCTGCTTTCTCATCTGGAAATTTTGCACCTAATCATAGAGTTGTTTTGAGAAATATGTGAAACAGTATGCGCAGAATCTTTAGAAGTGTGTTTGACACATGGTAAACATTCAGAATACATGGAATATTATTCTTTGCACAGTGGTGTTTCACATTGTTAAGTAAAAACTGAGCATCTGCTTTATACGACAATCTCTGAGTCTTAACATGGCCAGCTCTGGCACACAGTGTCCGAGTTTGTGAGACTGAAGACTGACCCTGGAATCTCGGGAATGAATCTAAGTAATGTCAGTTTAGGGACCACTCCGTCTGGTTTCCAGCCAACCTCCTTCAAGCAACACATGCCTTTGCACCACTGTGTATGATTTTTTTTTTCTTTATACTTCCTCAGGGTTGACTCAAAACTTGATAGTCTACTCAGTGAGTTGGTTAACGGAATTAGCCATAGGCTGGATCAATGAATCTGAATCTAATAAAAGTACATTTAAGATAGTTCTGCAAATAGAATCCAAACCTAGCTAGTTCAGTTGTATGAGATGGGACATGGTTGGGAACACACAAAGTATGGTGTAGTCATTCTGGTTGGTTACAAGCTGATTATGATGAGTCAGTATATGATGAGCCTACCACCCCCCAACCCCGGAAGATAATAGTCTGCAATATTAGTCTGCCTTAAAGGAATATAATGTTCCCAAGAGGTAGAATAACAGTTCATCTCTTTTGGAAAATGCCTAGATCCTTAAAAGAAGATACAAAACTGGGAGGGATATTTAATGCATTGGGAATGAACTTCTTGAGCTATCAGGATGCTGAAAAGAACTGAAACCAAGTTAGTGAGGAGTAATTGAAAGAGTTGGGTTGCTGTAGCTGGAAAAGAGAGGATCTAGGGAGAAAAGTAAAGTAGCTACAATTATTTGAATGGTTATGGTACAAAGGAAAACTTGTTGTATATGTCCCCAGTAGAACAAGGGCCAAATGGATCCAAGTTGCAGGGAGGCAGATTTCAGCTTAGTATAAAATGAATGAAGAACGAGAGCCGAGCATTAACAGTATGTGCTTACTCGCTAACTTGAAATGTTTAAATTGAAGCTGACTGATCGTCTCTTGAAGTGTTCCTTCATTTGTTCATTTACTGAGGAATGAATGAATTTATCCTTTCAACCATTTTACATACTGAGTGCCTATGGTGTCAGGCACTGTTCTTAAAGCTCTACTGTATTAACTCAGTGAGATCTCAGAAAAACCTTATGAAGTAGGTACTGAACTTTACAGATGAGAAAACCAAGGCACAGAGAGGTTCAACACCTGTTTAACACCTCACAGGAGGTGTAAGAGGGAGAGCCAGGCTGTAAGCACAGTCAGGCAGACTCTAGCCACTTCCCAGCCTAACCAGCACACTAGACTGCTTTTCTAACGGTGCTGAGCTTAATGTTGTCGATGTGTGACTTTCACTGGGTGGGAGGTTGGACTAGATAAGAACTCTTTCAACTCTCTGAAGATTTCTGTCACATTTATTGAACCCTGGCTGTATTGCAGAGAATTTGTAGTAATTATGGTAAGAACAACTACCATTTTTGAATATCTACTATGTGCTTTATATAAACCCCTAGTCCTTAACCCCGGTTTCTTATCTTTGGCTTCACAAAAGAATTACCTAGGGAGTGAGAGCCTGAGAATGGTATGCTCTGAAAGTTTTCTGAGTGATTCTAAAGTGCAGCTGGTTTTGAGAACAAGGGGTATAAAAGATCTCATTTAATACTTAACAATGACTCTGCCAGACAACCTTATTTATCATCATGATTTTACAGATAAAAGGACAAAGGGTTAAGGGATGCTAGGGACTTGGCCCTTGGCCAAGCTAACCTTTATCCTTGGTCAAACTAGGAGGTGAACTCAAGCCATTCTAGCTCCAAAACCTCCCCAGGTTACAGTACAACTTCCCAATCCTTTATTCTAAACAACCTAAACCTAACCAACCAACCACACAAATAAAAACCACCTTATTCCATCTCACCAATTATATTGCTAAGCTCCAGAAGATCAGGAGCCCCTCCTACCTTACCTGCTCAATTGCCTTTCACACGTTCTTCAGCCACCCTTTCTGAACCAGAAAAGCTGAGACAAGATCGCAATATTTTTTGTAGAGTATTGCTAGTTCAGAACACTGGGAAAATTCCTTGGGTTCCAGTATTTTCTTCCATAATGCTCACAACCTGATTGTAACTGTGTTTGTGATATTACAATTTATTGCATGGTCATATTAGCCACTTGAGGAATATATTGTTTATCATAGTGTGGGATAAAGAGTATACTTTTGTCTTGACACCAGTTTACCTTTGGTTGTGGTTTAAACCCTTTGTTTACAGAATGGTGTTACCATAATGGTTACCATATTTGCTACCATAATTTTTTACTGTAATTGTTTCTTATTTACTTTATAATAAAGTTATAAGTAAATTTATTAGGTCTTACAAGCTCTTTATTAGAATATATACATCCTGTTAATGTTTAGTTACAATATGTTAAAAATAAATGTATTTGGAAAAGAGAAAACTAAAGGATAGAAAATGATCTCATGAAGCTTTTATTGGTAGGAAGCAGGAAAGAAAACTCTGAGATTGAAATCATTGAGAGGTACTTGACCTACCATTGCTGGCTTTGAAGGGGGCTGTGAGCCACGTGGCCTCTGTAGACTTAGAACAACTCTGGGCCTACAGCCAGCAAGAAAACAGGAACTTTCGTCCTACAACCACATGGAACTGAATTCTCCCAATAATCTAAATAAGTCTAGAAATAGAGTTTTCCCCAGAGCCTGCAGAAATGAAAATAGCTCAGCCAACACTTTGTTTTGACCTTGTGCAACTCAGAGAACCAGCTGAGTGTGCCTGGATTTCTGACCCACAAAAGTGTGAGATAAGAAATGGGTGTTATTTTAAGCTGCGAAATTTGTATGATGGCAATAGAAAACTAAATCAATACTGGTTTGTAGACTGAGGTGTTACTGAAGTTTGCAGGCTAACAGTTTTCTCTCAGTTCTTAACTGATTAGTAACGGCAGAATATCAGTTTACTTTGATTGGCAAACCCAGGGCCTACTCTGGCTCCACTTATTTAGGGCCTGCATCATGGCAACTTAGAGAATAGTGTATTTTCTTTCCAATAGTTTACATGTTGATTTTTATCAAGGAAACCTTTAGCTATAGTTGCTCTTTGGTCAGGACTTTCAGACCATGCTTGTTCTGGTCAGCTTTGGATCTGGATCAGTGGTTTAGAAAAGCTGATTCTGAGACTATATTAAAAGAGAACTGTCAATTTCTTCTTCCTAGATTGTGAAGTATTTAAGATCAAGGACTCTCTATTGCTCATTTTTGTATCCTCTGCAATGCCTGGCATAATACCATTTGATGTAAGTGTGCTCAGTAGTTTTAAGAATTGAATTGGTAAATGGCATTTAGGTATGTTCGTAGCTACCTAAAAAAGTTTACCCACGGTATAGGATAATGTGCAACCAAGGTGCAGTAACTGATATTAGATTGCAATATCGATTTTTAAAAATTATTTCATGATTACAATTATTTAATTATTTTCAAGTCAATGACTTGTATAAATGTAGAAAGTAAGTCTGCATATCCAAACTGGAAGGAAAAAGAAATATGCGGGATAGTATTGGGATTTTTAAATTAAGATTTTTCTATCGTTTGATTCCTACACACTTCCCAATCCCAGTGGGCATGTATTTTACAGTCAGGTGAGAGAAAGGAAGGAAGGAAGGAAAAGAGGGAGGAAGAAAGAAGAAAGGGAGAACAACTAAGGAAACAACAACAACAGCACACTTTTTAAAAGGGAAAACATCATCTTGGTAACCCAGAAAAATGGCCCCAAAGTGCTAAACAAAATGTAATAACCTAAGTGTCATTTTAGGACCTATCTTTCCTGCTAATAGCTTTTAAGAAAAACATTTGGACCCTGCACTGTTGTCCCCCAAATCAAGACCAGGCAGCGTTATGATGTGACTGCAAGAAAGCAGATGGAATGACCCCCAAGGTGGGGGGTGAAAGGAGGTGGTGGTCACACCGCCCTCTCTGCTGACCATATAGTGTGTATCCTATCTGCTCTGGGCAAACTAGCCTTTCTGCAGAGACCAGGAGGGGGTGATAATGCGCTAGTTCAATTAATTCTCACAGCAGCCTTGTAAGTTGTGTTTACTTCACTCCCATTTACAGCTGAGGGATTCATGTAAAGGTTATGCGGCAAAACCGAGATTCCAACCTGAATCGCAGCTCGAATCTGAGTCAGATAGAACTGCTGTCCTCTTCTGCCTGCCCGCCCTGCCATAGGAGGGTGAGGGTATGAGGATATATGTGGTCAGCGTGGAGAAGCAGAGACTTACAAGGCGGACACAGCAGGCGCTTTCAAACACAAAGACCTGCACTAGAGGGAGGACGCGGAAAATCTGCTGCGTCACTTCCCTCCTCAAAACCTTTCAGTGGCTTTCAGTTGCCATAGAAATAAGTTGTAAACTCCTTAGCAATAGCGTAGAGACGGTTCTGTAATCTGCTGCCGGCCTCCTCTTCACCGCCCATTTCCCTCTCACACTCACAACAGACTGCTTTCAGCCCTTCACAGGTACAGCCCTCTCTCTCAAGTTCCCTCTGCCTAATACACTCTGTCTATTCTAGGCCTGGCCAACCTCTACTCATCACGCTTGTCTCAAACACCTCTTCCTGCACCCGAGGACATGGGTTAGTCATCTTGCTAGACCTGCCCACAGGACCCTATTCTTTCCCTTTTGTAGCCCTTATTGTATTTTAATTGGTCATTTAATATCTATCTATCTAAACAAGCTCCACAAAGTTAGGAATCACATCTCTAGTTCAGTACCATAATTTAGCATCTACCATAAGACTTGATACACAGCAGGTGCCCTGAACAAATATTTAAAAATCGAAATTAATTAGTAACACCGAGGAACTAAATGATGGAATGATGGGAAAAGGAAATGGAGGGGATGAACCAAAAGCATGGCTGGGGGTTAACTTCAATGATGGAATGTTTAGAGAAAAGATGGACTGGAATGGCATTTCACTGCGGGCTTCTGGAAAATCAGAGGGCACCACAGTAAGTTGGCCTAGGAAAAGGGACTATCTGACGACATTCTGCCGTTCTGCAGAGGTCTCTGCTGGTGGCTGTACCTCCTGCTGGTGGAGTCATCTTGGACACTGTGCGAACATACCATTAGCAACACACATGGTGTTTGCTGCCTGTGGGATTTCTTAGAGGAAAAATATCTGTAAATGATTTTTATTTCACAGCTGTTCCCTTTCTCGGTCTCAGTTTTATGCTTATAGAGGAAATGAAGGAACCAGGTGACCAGGATACTGAGCGGGGGAGATTAGACAGATCAAAGAGTGATGGGAAGCGGTCTCAGAGCTCCTCGAAGTCTGCATCAAGATGTAAGTAAAGGTTAGAATACACACTTCGGTTTTTATCATTAAATTTAGGTAAAATCGCTGTTAAAGAGTACTTATACAACAGAAATAGTTGTTTAACTCTATTACTAAATTCTAAGTTCTTTAAGAGCAGAGACTGTGTTTTAACCATTTAATCTCCAGTTCCTGGCCCATAGAGGTTACATGCAAAAGAATGAAACTGGACCACTTTCTTACACCATATACAAAAATGAACTCAAAATGGATTAAAGACCTAAATGTGAGACCTGAAACCATAAAACTCCTAGAAGGAAATATAGGCAGTAATTTCTTTGGCAGTGGCCATAGCCACATTTTTCTAGATAGGTCTCCTCAGGCAAGGGAAACAAAAGCAAAAATAAACCATTGGGACTATACCAAAATAGAAAGCTTTTGCACAGCAAAGGACAATGTTAACAAAACCAAAAGGCAATCCATTGAATGGGAGAAGATATTTGCAAATGATATATCCAATAAGGGATTAATATCTGAAATATATAAAGAACTTAGGCAACTCAACACCAAAAAATTGAAACAACCTGATTTAAAAAATGGGCAGAGGACCTGAATACATATTTTTCCAAAGAAGAGATGCAGATGGCCAACAGACACATGAAGAGATGCTCAGCATCACTCATCATCAGGGAAATGCAAATCAAAACCACAATGAGATATCTCCTCACACTTGTCAGAATGGCTAGAATCAAAAAGGCAAGAAACAACAAGTGTTGGTGAGGATGTGGAGAAAAAGGAACCCTTGTGGTCTGTTGGTGGGAATGTAAATTGGTGCAGCCACTGTGGAAAACACTATGGAGGTTCCCTAAAAATTTAAAAATGGAAAATACCATTGATCCAATAATTCCACTACTGGGTATTTACCCAAAGAAAATAAAAACACTAATTTGAAAAGATCTATGCATCCCTATGTTTATTGAAGCATTATTTACAATAGCCAAGATATGGAAATGACCCAAGTGTCCGGTGATAGAGAAGATGTGGTATATATATATATATATAAAATGCATATTATATATATATGTAATTCATATTATATATATATATATAATAGAATAATACTTAGCCATAAAAAGATGATAACTTGCCATTTGCAACAACATGGATGGACCTAGAGGGTATTATGCTAAGTAAAATAAGTTAGAGAAAAACAAATACCATATGATTTCATTTATATGTGAAATCTAAAAAGAAAGTGAATGAATAAATAAAAAGCAGAACCAGCTAATCATGGGATTACTATAGCTACAAGGTATAGCTTTTACTGTCTTATTTAAATTTCATGAATTTGAATGTTTTTAACACTAACTTTTCCCAGTAAAGTCCATTATGAAACAAAAAACTAAATAAATAATTAAAAAGCAGAATCAGACCTATAAATATTGAGAACAAACTGATGATTGCCAGAGGGGAAAGGAGTGGGAGGATGGGCAAAATGGGTGAAAGAGAGTGGGACACAGGCTTCCAGTTAGGAAGGAATAAGTCAAGAAATAAAAGGTACAGCACAGGGAATATGTTGTAATAGGGTTTATGGTGACAGTTGACAAACTTGTAGTGAGCATGGAATAATGTATAGATAAGTTGAATCATTATGTCATACACCTGAAATAAATGTAACATTGTGTGTCAACTATAATCAAAAAAAAAAAGAAAGAAAAAAATAGAAGAAAATTTGAGGAATTGTGTAAAAGGATTTTTAAAAGATAGCTTGCTTTTTCTAATGGGGCATCATGGTGTTAGGTGTCTTAGTGGAGTCTTGACTTTTGTAGTTCTAATCCTAAATATAGTTTGAGATAATTTTGATTATTCACCTAGAGGAGACCTGGGGAAATGAATTCATTTACAAAATTTACATTAAACTATTTCAATGTATCTGAGGCATATCTCTTAAACCCATAATTTCTCCACATCATGTTTTATTTGAGATGTTTATCTCCTCTTGCTTGGACTCTTACAACAAGGATTTCCACTCAAGCCTTCCTGTTCAAGTCTCTCCATACTACCACTAGAATTATCTTTCCAAAAAATATGGTTATATCGCTGTCCTCAAAAATGTTAGTTTGCTTCTCTCTTGATTTTCCATTTCCACTTTTCTCCACTCCCTAATTTCTGACACAGGATTATCTACTTTTTGGTTTCCAGTCCTTTGCTGCATTTTCCTGAATGGATGGATTTAATAATAATGACCCTTTGTCTAGCACTGCCTCAGGATCTCCCCTTCTTATATTAGACCCTTGTAGGGGCAGGCCTGGCCTGGTCCTGTTGCTCAGCTCATAAATTCACACATTGTGGTTCTTAGGCTCCCAAAAGATAATGTCAAGTAATTTGCTGGTATCCTGAAACTTTTTATCTTGGTGCTGTGAGCAGAGGTCTCTCTTCTGCTTTGGCCACGTACCTGGTAGCTCCCCCATCCACTCTCTCTCTTTCTCTCTTTTTTTTTTTGGCCTGGAGACCTGGAAAGATTTTGGTCTCTTCTACTTTCAGAAATGTCTTCTGTAGACTTCATATTATTTCTTCCTTAAATGTTTGGTAAAATTCACCAGTGAAGTATGTTGGCCTGTAATTTTCTCAATGGGAAAATTTTTAATGAATTCAATTTTTTTAATAAACAGAAGGTTGTTTAGTTCTTCTTTTGTAAGTTTTGTAACTTTGTATGTTTCATAGAATTGTACATTTCTTTTAAATTGTAAAATTTGTTGGTATAACTCTAGGGTGTATTTTCATTCCTGATGTTGGAGATTTGTATGGTCTCTCTTTCTTCTTGATTGGTTTAGCTAGGAGTTTCTCCATTTGGTCGATCTTGTCAAAGAGTAAGATTTTGGTTTTGCCAATTTTCTCTGTTGTTTGTTTGCCTTTTATTTAATTGATCCTTGCTTTCACTTTTGTTATTTCTATCATTTCATTTTATTTTCTTTTTGCTTTTTCTAGATTCCTGAGGTAGAGCTTTAGGTCACTGAGTCTTGACTTTTCTTCTTTTCTTACACGTGTCCAAAAACTAGAAATTTCCCTCTAAGCATTGCCTTAGTTGCATCCCACAAATTTTGACATGTTATATTTTAATTACCATTTAGTTTGAAATATTTTTAAATTTCCTTGTTGATTTCTCCTTGACCCATATATTATTTTTAAATGTTCTTTGATTTCCAAATATTTGTAGGTTTTCCAGATATCTTATCATAGTTTATTTTTAAGTTACTTCTCTTGTAATCAGAAAATATTAGTTACTTTAGAAATAAGGAAATGTTTAATTCAAAATGTAGAAATTATTAAAACAAATTACTTTTAATAGCTGCTGCGAGAGAGGATGCCACAGATGAAACATTTATTGAAGGGGGAGAATCATATTTAGAGGATGATGATTATGATATGGAACATTTGGAAGGAAGTTCAAGTTCATTTCAAGATGACTATGTGGATAACATTGGAAGTAAGTATTATTAGTTTCCTATCAGTAATAGTAACTGTTTTAAAGACAAGCCCAAATTGAATAGTTACAAATTCATAGAAATAAAAACTTGCAGGATGTGTCGGGGTGATAAAAGGAAAAGCATGGAACATACTTTAACAGGGTGATTTAGCAGCTCTGTAGCTATGTATTACATTTCTGAGGATCACATACAAAACTCTCAGACTTGGTTTCCTGGGGAGTAGGATGGTCTAAGGAGTGCTCCATCCCAGACTGGTGAATTATAACTCACCCTTGAGACTGATTAGGAGTTGCTCTTTGAGACTGCGGGGACCATGACTAGAGATCTGCCTTCACCCTGCTGCACACAGGCAGGTTGGGTCTCCCTCCCATATGCTCATTGGTGGGTGGCATCCCATGTTCAGGCCACTGCTAGTACTTCCTGCTCGAGTATTGCAGGCGAGGTACATTCCTCCTGTCTTTGTGAAATACAATTTTAGGATTCACCAGATGCTCTTCTTAGTTAAAATATTTTAACTTTTTAGAATCTCAGTATATGGAAGCCCCTGCTCCAGCCTCAGAAGAGGCAGAGGAGAAAGTTAAGAAGAAGATCTCGGAGAACTTCTTCTACAATTATACGGAGCTTGTTTCGATGCCTTTTGTGACTCCGGATTCGAACGTACCACTGGATCTTCTCACACTTGTGTATCCACTCCAGTTATATGTGTGTAATTTTTGGTTTTCAGCTTCTTAGGTCAGGGGTCGGCAAACTAGCCCTACATGGACAAAATCTGGCCTCTTGTCTGTTTTCGTGAATAAAGTTTTATTGGAACACAGCAATTCCTATTCATTTACATTTTGTCTGTGGCTGCCATCACACTACAAGGGCAGAATTAGGTAGTTATAACAGAGGGCACCTGGCCCACAAAGCCTAGAATATTTACCGTCTGGCCCTTTCCAGAAAGTTTGCCGATCCCTGTCTTAGGTGATTCTAAGAAGCTTGGCACTTAGAGAAGTTGAGACAGAAATACATGATTTTAATTTAAACAAGCTTTTGTTGATGCCGAATAACCATAAAGAGAAATGATGCTTTTCTGGCTGTTCTTTCATGAGACATGATGTGAAGGAGACCAGAAGGCCTCTTCTCCTGGTTTCTCACCTCTACCAGCCTGGCATCCCTTTCTCAATGCCTACCAAGTTAAAAATCATTGATTTCTTAAAACATTGATGTCATTGGCAGGCAGTGGTACTTACACATTATTTATCAGATGAATATCAGAGAAGACAACCCTGAGGAAGTAGGGCCTCAAATAACAAGTTTTAAATTGGTCTGGAGAGTAAGAGTCCATGAAAAAATTTAAAGGTGGGGATAATCAACAAGAAGATTTAGGGTCTGCTCTCACTGTACGGTGTTAGGTTTGTCAGGTGGAGTTGGGAGAAGATTTCCATTCATGCCCTTGGCTGGCAATTTAGTACGCTTACCTTCAGAGGGGTGGTGGTGATGACCACATGGCCTAAACCACAGACTGGCCTCTTAGACAAGGTGTGCTTAAAGAGGAGGGCCATGTACTTCCTGACTCCAGTTTTGCTTTTTATGTAAAAATAGAACATGTTATTATAGTTTTCTGTTTCATTCCCAGGTGTACCTAAAACTAATTCCCCCTGAATCTTATAACTTGGAGTCTTCTCTCCTGAGGACTTTTTTGCATATGTGGTCTTTGGACAAGTTGCTGATAAAAGTTATGCTCTTGCCTATTTGTTTTAAATGAGGTGGTTTATCGCCCTGAAGCTTTTCCTGAAATACACATAGTCTGGTACCTTTCCTGGACCTACCGCATCATATCCGTGGGGAGAGGGACTTGGGGACTTGTAGTCTGAAAAAGCTTCTCAGGTACTTTTGATTGTGTTATCTTCTCCCAGCCCCCAATACTGGGGACTTGCTGCTCCAGGATACAGGGATCTCAGTATTGGAGAGATATGCCTAGATTCCAAATAATAAGAGTCAGAGTGACCTTGACTTTTGACTCAAGGTATGAATTGCTTATATTTATGCTGGATGAGTAGCTATATAAGCTATAGACTTTTTGTGAACACTTTCAACACCAGGGAAGTCACAAAGTACCTTATCCCATTTTTGAATAGCTTACATTATTAGCTTTTCCAGACCTTGAATCAAAAGCTGCCTCTTTGGAACATCTCTCACTCCCCCTGCTTGTGTTGCCTCTCTCGCTGTCTCTCTCTCTCTCTCTCTCTCTGTCAAAAAAAAAAAAATCTTTAAAAAATATCATCTAAACCATAGCGTAATTTATATAAGATATAATTAAATGCAATTTTATTTTTTTAAAGATTTTATTTATTTATTTGTCAGAGAGAGACCACAAGCAGGGGGAGCGGCAGGCAGAGGGAGAAGCAGGCTTCCTGCATGAGCAGGGAGCCTGATGCGGGGTTCGATCCCAGGACTCTGGGATCATGACCTGAGCTGAACGCAGTGGTTTAACCAACTGAGCCACCCAGGCGCCCTGCCAGCAGACATTTACTGAATGCCTAAGGCTCAAGACACTGCACTCGGCACTCTGGGAAATAGAGATGACCTACGAGAAGAAGCAGGCTGTGATTTGGAAGGGGAAAGTCTGGGAAGTAACAATCTTACCCATTCTGCATCGGAGAGCAGCAGCAAGTAAAAGGGAGTCGTCCCCCACCCCGAAATTAGAGATGATAATATCAGATAAATGATCACATGTGTGATCCCCAACCGCCACCCAAGTTACTGAAGAGATGGTAGCCTACTTGTACTCTTCCAGCTATAGACCTAGCTTTTAGCCTTCCAAAGTGTTACACTGGCACCTGGGAACAGAGAAAGGAGAGAAGGAAGGAAAGGTGAGAACAGCAGTTTGGGGAAAGGGAAAAGGAGGGTAGGTGAAGCCTCCTGCCCCATACCAGGCTCTGTGAAGATAAAGAGCCTGTGGTTCCCACTCTTTATTTGTAAGGAGGCCTCAGATAGTTTCCTCGAGGCCTGAATAGCTTCAGCAAGATCTTTGGATCCCAAATTTATTTGCGCTTTTATGTAAAATTCAGTTTTAGGTGTTTATATCTTTATTAAATTGATAAAATTCCTTTTTCTTGAACAGATCAAAAGCCCTGAAATGTTCTCTCTCTCTTTCAATTTAACTCTTAGGCAATGAGCTAAGTATAGTTATGTATAGTTGGTTGTAACTTGTATATACTTCACAATTCAAATTGCATTAAAATTTTCTCTTTTTTACAATTGTAGATATTCTTCTTCTTAAAAATCCTACATAGTTTCTCTAAAAATATTCACTTACAAAAAAATAAATAAATAAAAATATTCACTTACAAATAAGGGTAAACCTCTAAAGTCAGAATTTGTTTTTTAAAGAAGGCCCGAGAAATAAAGATTTCTCCAATGATCCTTTAACTTTTGTGTTCAACAGTGAGTTCTTAGAAAATACGAATCCATCTACTTAAGATACACTATGTAATATATTTCTTTTGCAAACTATATTTTTTATAGATTAATCTCATTTACTTATTACATTTATATTTTGGGTTATATTAATTTGAACTTGAATGTAGTAACAATGTACATTTAAAAGATGTTTTATAAAAACTTAGATTATTTTAACCTCTATTTTGAATTAGTTCAGATTTACTCTATAGCATAAATGTGCGCGTGCACACACACACACACACTCATCTACACACCTATACATACTAATGAGCTCAGAAAGGAAATGTTAGCATATTTATTATACATATTTATATACTATATATTATTTATCCCATTTTCATAATTTGTTCATATGAATTAAATTTCAATTACATTTATGTGGATTTATTATATTAGTCAGATTGTCACTGGTTTGTCAGAACTTCAAAACATTGTCAGAATTTTAAACATCTCGCCTTTCAACATCAAGGAAGAGGCCTATATAATACTTTTATAAAATTAATCTGCTTTCAGGATCTCCCTAGGAAAATTAAAATATTGATTAAATCAGAGTATAAGAATTTTCACCTCATTTAAAAACAAAGTTGCATTAGTAATAAATAAAAACTCTGGGTTTCAAAGTAAAATTCCACTACTTCAACACTGAACCTTTGTCTAATGTCACAACTTTTAAAAATGTATTTATTTCATTACGTTTCCTATCTCTAGGATGTTTACTTTGTTTCACTTCTTCCCTTAACAACTTTCCCTCAGTCATTCCTTTGGTTATGACTGCAGAAAGCGGGCCAACCTACAACTTCTGGACAGCAATACTGTGATGTACATAGCTGGGAACCAGCTGATCCTTCTGAATTTGAAAACCAAGGAACAGATGTACCTGCGAAGTAGCAGTGGGAGAGGAATTGGTGTCATTGGGGTATGCTGGTAATGATTTAGGACAAAAAAATCTATCCTTTTGTATTTGTTTCTTCTGTGGACCAGCCAGGCTGTTAGGTGCCAATACCATATGCAGTACTGCAGGATTAAGGCATTTCCAATTCAACGATTACAACCACTCCATTCACTGACATGATCTCTGTGCAGTATTACAACATTATGTTGATGATACTATCATCTCATTTTGCAGATAAGGAAACTGGAGCTGGTAGAGGCTAAGTGGCTTCCCCCAGTCCTGCAGGGTTTTCATATTGAACTCCCATGTTGCCATTCTGCAAAAATACTCAGATGAATAGCACCAATGATAATCCCAATAATAAATAGAGATAAGTGCCAGATAAGATGTAGGTATAGAATCGAACATTAAGAGATCAAGTATAGGTTGTACATTCAGTAATTTTGAGCAGTCGACAAAAGGATTTGCATGTGATTTGGAGGCTGTCTCTTCCTTCCTCCTCAGGTGACTGTCTCCATCAGTCACCTTCTTTCTTGTATCTTTGGCCTCTACTTCCTTAGACTTTTCATCCTCAGCATAAAAGCACACTAAATCAACTTGTTCTCACCTTAAAGGGCCCCTCTCTAACCATGCCTTCTCTTTACCTGCTGACTTTTCCCTTCAAAGCCAAGCTTCTGCTGTTTTTTTCCCTCCCACCTCACTGAAATTGCCCTTACTAAAGTGACCAATGGCTAGCTGATTTGAGTAGCCAAATCCAAAGAATACCTTTCTAACTATATCTTACCTGACCTCTCTATAGCACTTTGCCCCATACCTGAGTTTTTACCTTGACTGTTTTTCTACTCTGTGAACCTTAAAAGCAGGTGTCCCTAGATCTGCTCTCACCAATAACAATCCGGGAAACACCTCTTGGTGTCTTTAGAGTCATGAGAGGGGCCCCTGTTCAGAGTAGGCTGTGTGAGACAGGGAAAGGAGGAGAAATACGCAGGATTTGGGGTACATATAAGCAGCACTTCCATAGCAGATGCTCAAAGGGTTTTTTAGAAGGATCATGATCTAAATAGAAGTCTGCCCTGCTCTTACCCTGCCTGTCAGGTGTGAGTAGCCCAGACCGAACTGGGAGGTGCAAGGCCCACATCACCACACCCTGCAGAGGTGGAGGGCTTCCAACAGAAAGCCTGGTGCAGCTCCAACAGAGAGACTGGGCCAACCTAGTAGGGAGTGGTGGGAAATACTTTTGATTAGATTAGATGGGACCTGGTAGGGTATTTAGATTAGAAATGGAGGTGAGTGGAGAGGTTTTGAGGATTCTTGCTCTGAGAAGTGAAATAGGGACATGAATGGAAATGGAGAAGGTAAGGAAAATCTGAGATCCACAAATAGAACTTGGAGTGGTTGTGGAAACAGGGTATGGTGAGATGGATGAGTGGAGATAGTCTCATGATTATTTCTTTTTTGATCATCTATCTATACATAACATGTGTGCATGGTAAAGTCCCTGTCCTCAACAAGAATTAAATAATTATGATTATTTTTAAAAGATTTTATTTATTTGAGAGAGACAGAGCAGGAACGGGATGGGGTAGGGAAGGGGAGAGGGACAAGCAGACTCTCCACTGAGCGTGGATCTGATGTGGGGCTTGATCCCAGGACCCCAGAATCCTGAGGTCATGACCTGAGCCAGAGTCAGATGCTCAAATGACTGAGCCACCCAGGCTCCCCAACAAGAATTTATTATATTACATTGTGTGTCCAACAGTACTCAGAACATGCAGGGATTTAAATGAAGAAGGGTTCAGGACCTCTATGAATTCAGAGAGTTTAAAATCCATCTAAAGAGGCAAGACTCATATTAAAAAGCAAAAAAACAAAAACCTAGATCCATACAAGTACATGATACTGTGGCACCAGCTGTGTACAAATATTTACAGTCCCAACGTGAGGGTCACGGGTTCTGTGGAGGGAAGTCAGTCAGGGGCCACCCTGAGGTGTCATGAGCCCTGAGGTCCACATCACCTGCAGAGTACTGGGAAACAGGTAGCTATCACTGTTTTTCCTCTCACTTTATGGCCAATAGTAGTTTTGAAATTTCTATTTTGTTGTGCAATAATTTGGTCTGAGGTCAGTAGGTAGAGGTGTACTGTGGTCAAGAAAGCTAATCCAAATCCTCATCCCCCTGGGCTCTGGGCATTTGCATGTCCACAGGGCTTTTCTCCATGCATGCTGGAGCTGTCAGTGCCTGGACAGGGCCTTTCCTCAGCTGTCCTCATCACTTCATTTTTTCCTGAAACAGTTATCCATTTGTGGATGAGAAGTGTTCTTGCAGGGCAATAAGAAACCTGTGAGAAATGGGTTTTGCGGGCATATCAACTATCTTTCAGAAAAGATAGTACGTTGAGTGAAAAGTAAATGACTCATTAATTCCAGGTCTCCACTAAGAATGAAACACCATACTCAACCCCACAGAGCTTCTGATCTGAAAGGGCTGAAACTTTTTCCCTTACTGGAGGCCAAACCTAGAGGGGTAAAAGATTTGCCTGAATTCCTATACAGATTTCTGTGACCGCATATCCCACACAATATTCTTCTGTAAATGGGCATCTAGAAAGATGTAGTCGTAACCTGTTTCCCCCTAAGTCCTTCGTAGCTCCTATTTTCTAGTTCCCCTTTCTTCTTGGCTTCCAACACCTGGCTTGAATCCTACCTCTGACATTTGCAAGGTGTATGACTTTAAGTTACTTAGCCTCTCTGTGCTTATTTCCTGATGAAAAAGATGGGAAGGATAAGGGTATCCGAACTCACAAGGTTGATGTAAAATTTAAGGGAATTAGTTCATATAAAACGTACACAGTGTCTGGGGTACATAATAAGCATGCAATAAGCGTTTTTCTCTCACTGAGTGTCCATCCTATAAAGCCAAGCCTGGTTTCAAGCTGAAGTGATGGGTGTTTACTTGAATGGAAGAGGTGTCAGCAGGAAGACCTTATTATAGGTCTTATGGCCCCATGTGTGGGGAGAAGAAAAAAAGCTACGATGTTATTTTGGGTACCAAAACCTACAGTGCAACCTATATCCTCTGAGGAAAGCTCCTGTTCCACAGGTATAAAATCGGGAGTTGCAACATGGTAACCGAAAATAGAATTTTCTAAAGCACAATATGTGTCTTAGTTTACTTTTGTAATAGCCTATTTTTATTTGTAGGCTATCCATTTACTCTTCCTGCACCTTGGCTTACCAATGAACAAAAATAACAGGAATAAACATATAATTCTATAAGATTTATACTGCTATCATTTGAAATGCTGACCCAAATAGTTTACCCAGGGCATATTTACTATATTTTCCTCTGCATCTGGCTTAGAAATATTTTATCTTTCTCACTTCTAGTAAGTTTATATATATTTGTGGTGAATTTGTCCAAGGTGAATTTTTTTTTTAAATTGAGCTGTAACCTACTCTGGAAACGTGAATTTTTTTGTACAAAAATTTAGGCTGATTTATATATGGAGGGTAAACAATTCATCTAACTTAGTTGTTCTCAAAGAGTGGTCCCTGGGCTAGCAGCATCAACATCACCTGGAACTTGTTAGAGATATAAATGCAAATTTTGGGGGCCCAGCCCTGATGTACTGAATCAGAAACTGGTGGTAGGGCTTGCCCTCTGTGCCTTAATAAGCCCTCCCTGTGGTTCTGATGTGTGCTAACAATTGAGAACCAGTGTTCTAGCTCTTCTGATGGCAACTAAAAAAATTGTAGAGGTAGAGGTGACTCTATTAACAAAAGTAAAACTTAAAATTTTTGAGTATTCCCCTAGGTTTCAGTTTAAATCACATCCATCACCATGTACTTATCAGATGCCCATTTTTTTGTTTTCTATTGGAGTGGATCCTAATAAATTATAAAATCACAGATGCTAAATACTACATTAATAGAACTATTTATAAGAAAATTCTCCTTTTACTATTTAAGTGAGATTTTACTTTTTATAGGTTCATCCTGATAAAACTTACTTCACTGTAGCTGAAAAAGGTGTTTTCCCAAAGATTATCATCTATGAATATCCTTCTTTGAAGCCCTACAGAATCCTTCAAGGTGAGCTCAGTATATCCTCTAAAATATTACATGTTCAAGGTTAACCACATTCAGGGTCTTCCAGAGACACAGAGCTAGGAGGAGGTAGAAAAAAGATTCATTTAAAGGAATTGGCTTATGTACTTGTAGGGGCTGGCAAGTCTGAAGTTTGTAGGGCAGGCCAGTAGGCTGGACATTCTTGGGATGGGGCTGATGCTACATGTTCAGGTAGAATTTCATCTTCCTCAGGGAAACCTCAGTTTTGCCTTTAAGGACTTTCAACTGATTGAACGAGGCCCACCCAGATTAAAATAACCACACATGAACTTAATCACCACAGTTCTCTTATGAATTTTGCTTTCCATATAATTAATTTTAGTAGTTTTGTAAACAGACTACTTTTCAGGGCAGTTTTAGATTTACAATAAAATTGAGAGGAAGGTTCAGAGATTTCCCATAGCCCTCTTCCCCTACACATGCATAACATTCCCTGTTATCAACATCACTCACCAGGTACATTTTTTACTGAGGACCAGTCTCTGTTAGCACATCATAGTCACTCAGAGTCCACAGTGTCCCCTGAGGTTTACTCTTGGTGTTGTATTCTCTGGGTTTAGACAAATGTCTAATGATGTATATCCATCCTTATAATCTCATATGGTGTATTTTCACTGTCCTAAAAGTCCCCTGTGCTCTCCCTATTTATGACTGCCTCCACACCGGCAACCGCTGATCTTTTTATTGTCCCCACAGGCTTGCCTTTTCCCGAATGTCATATAGTTGGACTCATACAGTGTGTAGCCTTCTCAGATTGGCTTCTTTCACTTAGGAATATGAATTTAAGGTTCCTCCCTGTTTTTTCATGGCTTGATAGCCCATTTCTTTTTAGTGCTGAATAATACTCTGTTGTCTGGATGCACCACTGTTTATTCATTTACATATTGAAGGGCATCTTAGTTGTTTCCAAATTTTGGCAATTATGAATAAAGCTGCAATAAACACCTGAATACAGGTTTTTGTGTGAACATAAATTTTCAACTACTTTGGGTATATACCAAAGAGCATAATTACTGGAGCATGGTAAGGGTCTGCTTAGTTTTGTAAGAAACTGCCAAACTGTCTTCCCAAGTGGCCATACCACTTTGCATTCCCACCAGCAGTGAATGAGAACTCTTGCTGCCCCATATCCTCATCAGCATTCAGTGTTGTCAGTGATTTGGATTTTGGCCATTCTAAATAGGTGTGTAGCGGTATCTCAGTCTTTAAATTTGTGTTTCCCATAGGATGTGGAGCGTCTTTTTAAATGTTTATGTGTTAACTTGCATGTTTTTGGTGAGGCTGTCTGTTAAGGTCTTTGGCCCATTTTGTTAATTGAGTTGTTCATTTCTTATTGTTGAGTGTCAAGAGTTCTGTTTGTATATTTTTGGTAACAGTCCTTTATCACATATGCCTTTTGCAATATTTTCTCCGAGTCTGTGCCTTGTTTTGTCATTTTCTTGACATTGCCCTTCTCAGAGGAGTTTTTCATTTTAATGAATCTTGGCTTATCAGTGATTTCTCTCATGGATCCCGTCTGTCTTTGGTGTGGAATCTAAAAAGGCATCACCATACCCGAAGTCGTCTAGGTTTTCTTCTATGTTATGTTCTAGGACTTTTATGTTTTCACATTTTATACTTAGGCCTATGACCCATTTTGAGTTAATTTTTATGAAAGGTATAAGGTCTATGTTTACATTAATTTATTTGTTTGCTTGTTTGCTTATTTGTTGCCTATGGACGTCCTGCTGTTCCAGCACCATTTGTTGAAGAGACTGTCCTTGCTCTGTTATATTGCCTCCATTCCTTTGTCAAAGATCAGCTGAATATATTCCTGTTGGTCTATTTTTGGGCTTTCTATTCTGTTCCATTTATCTCTTTATCTGTTCTTTCCCCAGTGTCACACTGTCTTGATTACTGTAGCTTTACAGGAAGTTTTGAAGTCAGGTATTATCAGTCCAACTTTGTTCTTTTCACTTAGTATTATGTTGACTATTCTGGGGCTTTTGTCTGTATGAACTTTAAAATCAGTTTGTTGATATCCACAAAATAATAATCTAATTGTTTTTGTACATTGTTAGATTCAATTTGCTAATATTTTGTTGGGGATTTTTGCGTCTATGTTCATGAAAGATACTGTTTTGTAGTTTTCTTGAACTATTGTTTGTTACATTAAGAATAAGAAAAACAAGTTTTTTATTTTACTTTCACTTACTCCTTCAGTCCTCTTCATCCCTTTATGTATATCTGAGTTTCTGACCTATGTTATTTGCTTTCTGTTTAGAGAACTTCTTTTTAACATTTCTGGCAAAGCAGGTCTCCTGGCAACAAATTCCTTCAGTGTTTGTCTGAGAAAGTATATATCTGTCACTTTTGAAGGATAATTTCACAAGGAACAGAATTCTAGGTTGGTGGGGTTTTTTTTTTCCTTCCTTTCCTTTAAATATTTCAGTCCATTCTTCTTGCTTATATGGTTTCTGAAGAGAAGTTGGATATAACTCTTCATTCTTCTATAGGTAAGGTTTTTTTCCCTGTTGGGCTTTTTTTTAGGAGTTCTTCCTTTATTTTCATTTTCTGTAGTTTTCTGGGCATTATTCTAGTTGGTGTTCTCTGAGCTTCCTGGATCTGTGGTTTGGTGTCTGATATTAATTTGTGGGAAATTCTCAGTCATTACTGTTTGAAATATTTCTTCTGTTTCTCTTTTTCTTCTCCTTTTGGTATTCCCATTATACATACATTATACTTTTTGTAGTTGTTCTATAGTTCTTAGATATTCTGTTCCATTTTTATCAGTCTTTGTTCTCTTTGCTCTTCAGTTCTCTGAAGATTCTATTGATCTATTCTTTAGTTCAGAGATTATTTCCTCAGCTGTGTCCAGTTTAATAATGAGCCCACCAAAGACATTTTTCATTTCTGTTATAATGTTTATCTCTAGCATTTCCTTTTTGTTCTTTCTTAGGATTTCCATTTCTTTGCTTACATTGCCCATTTGTTCTTGCATATTGTCTATTCATTAGAGCACTTAGCATATTAATCATAGTTGTTTTAAATTCCCAATCTGATAATTCCAACATCTGTGCCATATTGGGTTCTGATGCTTGTTCTGTCTCTTCAAACTGTGTTTCTTGCCTTTTAGTATGCTTTGTAATTTTTTCTTGATAGACAGACATGGTGTAGTGGGGAAAGATAATTGCTGTAAATAGGCCTTTTATAACTTGGTGGTAAGGTGTGTGGGGGAGGGGAATTGTTCTTTAGTTCTCTGATTGAGTCTCAAATTTTTAGTGAGACTGCCTCTGAACTGAACTTCACAAATGTTTCTGAATTGTTTTCTCCCTCTTCTGTGGGACAGGATGATTATGATGAGGGAATAGAAGGTAAGCTGAGGACAAAGCAGAAACTGACACCCCACAAACCGCCTCCCCCATGGGATATATGTGACATTCCTCAGACACTCCTGGCTTCCCTAAAGCTAAGGAAAGGAAAAACAAATCGTTAACTTATAGAGATCACAGTCCTGCAAGACCTGAGTCTCCCTCAGTTTACAAATGTCTTAGCAATCTACAAGAACAAAGCATTTCTATCAATAACCTAGCTTCTGGAAGGAAATGTAGATACAATTAAATGTCCTTATAACCTGCAGCCCATTGACAGATACTTGAAGCGGCAGAGTGTAATGTTCCTCGAGGAAGCTCCCAACTATCTTAACGTTGATGCCTTGCTAGAAGGTAAAACAACCTTAATTTGACAATGGTGAGGCCTCTGGTGTCTTGTAGGTCCTCTTTAGCATATGAAAGTTCTTTTGAAAACCTCCCTTTTTCCTTACCTCCCCCAGCCCCATGGTATATAATCAGCCACCTTTCACAACCCTGGTGCAGCTGCTCTTTCTGCCCACGGGTCCTATCCCTGTGTTTTAATAAAACCATCGTTTTGCACCAGACATCTCAAGAATTCTTTCTTTGTCGTTGGCTCCGGACCCCACCCACCGAACCTCACCTATACTCCAAAACCACATCAGTTAGAGGGGGCTAGAGTTGGGTATTTCTTTCCCCAGGTTAATTAGGCTCTGGTTAATTAGTTTCTCCTGAGGGCAGGCCTTATTAAGAAGAACGGAGTGTTCTGGTGTGTTTCAAAATGGTTCCTTTCCCCCCTCCCCCTGTTGAAAGCCTGAGTTGTTTTTCTAGTATTTACTGTGGGAACCTGGTCAAGCTCCTGGGGATAAATCTCACAATATTGTTGGGGCCCACTTATGACTGGGTGCCCCTGGAGTTTTTAACTCTCCAACTTGTCCACACTGAGCTCCAGCAATTCTTCAGTTATAACTGTTCAGGTTTTATTACCCTGGCCCTGGTTCTCTCTGCTGTTTTAGCTGTTGCTGCTTGTGAGTTCCTGCTGTGGTTAAGTTGCAAATGCACCTCACCCACCGGTCTCTCCAGTCTTGGGAGCAGCCACTTGCCCTGTGTCCTTCCTTCATTTATGAATCCAACAAGAGTTGTTGATTTTTCAGTGTGTTCAGCTTTTTATTTGTTGTTAGGATGGAATGGTGACTTCCAGGCTCCTTACATGCATAACCAGAAGCCTGAAGTCCTCAATTTTTATTTGATGAATATTCCAGTGGCAAATTTCGAATTACAGATTGATACCTTTCTGCCATCTAACAGGATTTTGTACCTCCCTCCCCCACTCCATAAAATGAAATGTGTTCTCAAGGTGTTTTTCTCATGCAAAATCTCATGCAAGATTTCTTCACTCTCACCCCTCATGTCATGTAATTCATTCTAAAGCCAAGGGTGATGCATGATTTTGGATTGTTTCTTTGGGAATTCTTGGCATTCTTTCATCAATAGTTATCACCAAGGGTACTCACTCTCTTTCCCTCTTTTTTTTTTAATAATATACTTTTGAAAATGAAATGTTGCCTTTGTTCATTAGACTCCCATTCATCCTTTCAGATGGGACTGAGCTGGGTTATGCTTATGTGGATTTTAACTACAATGGTACCTTGCTAGCCTCTGTTGGCAGCAACCCTGATTACACACTGACCATCTGGAATTGGAAAGAAGAACAGCCCATACTGAGGACAAAAGCTTTTTCCCAGGAAGTTTTTAAGGTTACTTTCAATCCTGAAGATGATGAGCAGCTTACTACATCGGGATCAGGCCACATCAAGTAGGTTGTATGACTGGTACAGGTGCTGGTAGATTATCATTAAGGATATCGTCTAAGAGGATCAGCCATCTGGAGACATTTGTGCTGATGTTAACATTAGGATAATTTTTAAATGTGTTATCTTCAAAGCTAACTGTAGTGTGCTTTGCTAATTGGATATGGGGCTTTTATTACTGAAACCAGTAGAGATAAAAAGAAGGGCTTTTAAATTTAGCCTGCTGCCTTCTTACAGGCTTTACCACCTAAAAGGGTTTGTATAATGCTTACTAACATGGCATATTGAGTTTTCAGGTCCACTTTTAAATTTGTGGCAGCAATATTGTATGATGGCCAAGTCATTTTGACATCTCTGAACTCAGTCTTCATCTGTAAAACATGAGTTATAACAGAATCATTCCTAACACAGGACCCTCAGTACTAAATTGTAACAGAACCTACTCTTGATCTCAGGTATCTGGCTCAAAATTCCATGTCCTTTTCACTCTTTCATACTCTGCTCTCTTTTTCAGGATGGAATGATTTTGTCTTTTTTGGTCTTCGTTCTACCCTATCTTATGCATTTATTTAACAACCTTCTACCACCTCCTTCGAGCTGCTCATAACTAGATTTCCAGTGTCCTTTTCGAGAAAGACATTTTTGTCCTAAGTATCTCTTATTCCAATTTAAACCTGGCTCTCTTCTTATTTATTCCTTAGAAATACAGATTAATTGAATAGATTTTAAAATGGAAATTTGGGGGAATTCTCAAGTAATCTGCTAGATGTCGGCTAAAAATTTCCAATTCTTTACATTCTCCCATCATTTAGTAAAGTGCATATTTTCTTTGCATTGTATCTTTGGAGAGAGAAATCGAATAATTTCATGTATGAAGTGCTGTAGAAGAAACAGAGTATATGGAAATGTATGATCAGGGGACCTACGAAAGCCTTGGAGAAGGATGTTGGTTATTTAAACTTTTGGCTTCATATTACTGGCTTGTTGATACCATCCATTATCTATTTTATATCTAGTTGGTAGGCCAGATTCTTTTTTCTACATGTTTTTCATCATCTGACTGTTCACTTGCTTAAACTATTAATAATAAATGCTAGTAATAACCAACCTTTATTCATTGATTTTATGTGCAAGGCACTGTTCTAAGAGTTTTTCAACAATTTTATGAGGTGGGTTCTACTAGTATTCTTATTTTATTCATGAGAGATTGAGAGCACAATCACTTTTAAGCTACACAGCAAGTAAATTAGAATTTTTTGAAAACTTTTACATCTTTTTACATGCCAAGATGGAAATGTTCTATGTTGTCCAGTCTAGTAGACACTAGCTGCATGTAGCTATTGAGTATTTGAAACTGGCTGGTCTGACTGAAACAGAGTTTTTAATTTGATTTAGTGTTAATTACATTAAGTCTAAATTAAGATAGTCAAACTTGGCTCGGGCCAACTGCATAGGACAGCATGACTCTAAGATAAAATATCCTGAAAAGCAGGGAATTTATCTTGTCTATTTTGCTCAATTCTGAATTCATATTACCTAGAACTTTGCCTGACAGGTAGTTGATACTTAATACATATTAGTTAGATGAATTAATAAATGAAATAATATATGTGACTCTGAAACATGTAAATGCTTGAGTGATAATAAAAATAAAGCCTCCTTGAGGTACATTCAGTCTCTTTCTTGTTTGCAGGTTCTGGGAAATGGCTCTAACATTCACTGGTCTCAAGCTTCAGGGCTCATTGGGTCGATTTGGCAAAACAGCCACTACTGGTATAGAAGGTTACATGCAGCTCCCGGATGGGAAGGTGAGTACAGCCACTATTCTACAATAATAAAATTATGTTTTCAAAATGAAAATATATGAAAGTATATTACACATTCTAAAAACCATTGCCGATGTTAGTAATAATGGATACTATCATTGTAAATATAATGAACATGTAATTTTGCCTCTTCAGATTATCAATTTTAATTACTATAGTTCTAGGGAGTAGTCATAATCCACATGTAAATACCTTTTTTATGCTAAATATTATACATGCATATATAAAGTATGCAAGCATTTTAATATATTGACATAGTGACATATTGTCACTTATTGTCATGGATTATTATGTTTATCTGTCCCTCCTCTTTTGTCATGATGCTCCAAGAGGACTTACTGGTTCAAAGGTTGTATCAGTCTTGTGGCTTTCTCTTTTATTGTCAGATTATTACTTAGGAAGATTGAGCCACTTCACAGTGGCACCTACAGAGGCACTCAACTTTAATCTGTTAATTTATTCTTTAACGTTAGTTTATTTTCTCTCTTCTTCTTGCAAAATTTGTGGGCATATTGCCTAGAGGATTAGTTCTCTATTAATATTGTATTTGGCTTCCTATTAGGATGAGTTATATAGTATTGTGAACATCTCAGTTATAATTAAATGCCAGCATACAAATATTACTTTAAAGGGTAGTCATCTACCTAGTAGATAGTCTCAATTTGGAATCATGTTGTATGGGAGGAAATCAAAAGCCTTGCATTCTGGTTAAATAAATATATATCCAAAACTATAAAATGATAAATAATTTTGGCTTCAAATTCTGAATAACCTAAGAATTAAACTAAGATAAAGATTGTTAAAAACATGCCACAAGGGGTGCCTGGGTGGCTCAGTCAGTTAAGCGTCTGACTCTTGGTTTCTGCTCATGGCATGATCTCAGGGGCCTGAGATTCAGCCTTGTGCAGGGCTCTGTGCTCAGTGGGGAGTCTGCTGGAGATTATCTCCCTCTCCCTCTGCTCCTGCCCTGCTCTTTCTCTCTCAAATAAATAAATAAAATCTTTAAAAAAAAAAAAACAAAAAAGCAAAACATGCCATAAGATATATCTTTAAAAGGTTCAGTAGGATTTGTGTGTATGTAGGGGAGAAAAGAAGCTATTTTAGATGAGAGACATGAAAGGATATGTTTAGAGTTAGGAATAATGTCCTATATTTGAAGGGCTACTCAAGAAAGAGCTTTCATGTTGGCAAAGAGTGGGAAATTAGGTTGAGAAATATAGTTGGGTCCTATGTATAAGGAGGTTAACAGCCAGGTAGAACTATTAGACATTGGAAGAGTAGAGTTGCAAATGAAGTTCTATATCAGTCTGGCCACAAAATGCCAAACAAATTGGGGGAAGGGAAATCTGGAGTCAAGGGGATGAGCCAAGAAGGAAGATGTCACTTTCATTTCATTTTTCAGGACAAATGGAAAAAGAAAACTAAGCATGCATGACCTTTCAGAAGGGAATACCTGGCAGGCATGGGTGGTTTCTGGTGGTTTTTGTCACCGGACAGAAGAAAGCAAGTCTAAATAAGACTATCAAAAGTGAGCTGAGGTTCAGTAATAGGTCAAACAGGTAGAAGGGATAATATAAGTAGACTGGGGAGGTAGAAAAGACTGAGTGAACTAGTCTAGGTGAGAGGGAACTGGGATGCCCATGAGGAGCGGGCAGGCAAGAACTAGATCCGAGTTTCCCAAGGGTGTTTCATGGAACATTAGTCTGCACAGAAGCTCTGTGAAAACAAGACTTTCTTGGTCAAACTCCTTTGTATCTAGAAATTCCTCTCAGTGATTTCCAGTGAACATTTCTATGTTAAAGTTTCCAAGGGGTCCTAGAGAAAAGAAACTTGTTTGATTTTGTTTATCCAAGCATCTGTCTTTGGAGGCAGTGTTAGGACAGGAACTTTTGAGTGAAGTTTCCTGGTTTAAGATCCTGACTGCTATGGGTATTTGTGCAAACTATTTAACTGTTCAGTTTTCTCCTTTGTAAAATGGGAATAATAATAGTTAGGGCTCCTATTGGCCTGTCTTTTCTGGGAAAATAAAGCACCCAACCTGTATAACTATACATGGTACCCCCAATAAATGTACCTAGTTCATATGGGTTTTTAGGATTAAATAACTTAATGTATATAAAATGCTCAAGCAGCACTTGGCACAAAGTCAATACTTACTTAGTATGACTTATTATCTAATACCTGTTAAACATCCTAAGAACTAGTGTTTGGTGGTACACACTTGGGGAAGTGCTGGATTAAATGGATTAATAGGAGCTGGTTCCAAATGATTATTCTTGTTTGAAATTGGATATTATTATGCTATAATCTGCTGAGTTCAGTAATGGCCTCACAATTTTTGACACATCTTATAACATTTAATATTATCACTCTTAAAAACTAGAATCTACAATGGAATATAACTCAGCCATCAGAAAGGATGAATACCCACCATTTGCAATGACAGGGATGGAACTGGGGGGCATTATGCTAAGTGAAATAAGTCAAGCAGAGAAAGACAATTATCATATGGTTTCACTCATCTGTGGAACATAAAGAATAGTGTGGAGGACCACAGGGGAAGGGAGGGAAAACTGAATGGGAAGAAATCAGAGAGGGAGACAAACCATGAGAGACTCTGGACTCCAGGAACCAAACTGAGGGTTACAGAAGGAAGGAAGGAGGCTGGGGGGATGGGGTTACCGGGTGATGGGTATTGAGGAGGGCACATGTTGTGATGAGCACAGGGTGTTATATGGAACTAATGAATTGTTGAACACTACATCAAAAACTAATGATGTATTATATGTTGGCTAACTGAACATAATAAAAAAAAGGAGAATCTCGTCTATCAAGAGTTTACACACGTCTCTAATTTTTGACCCAGTAATTCCACTCCTGGATTATGTCCTTAAGAGATGTACAAAGAAAGCTATTATAGATATATTTGAAAAATTACCAGCAATGTACAGCGTAATCAATGATGTAAAATTATTCATAATGCTAGGAAGAAATACATACAAATGTGATTAGTGGTTGTTTCCGAAGTGGTGAATTTTCATTTCTATATTTTCTTATTTTTCTATACTTATTTTTTTTACTTTCATAATCAAGAGAGAGAAACTATAAAAATAATTCTCACCTGCTATTTGAGGCATAAATACCCACGTTTGTCTGTTTTAATGCACATTCCTTCCTTTCTGCATACTTGCCAGGTGCTCTCGGGCTCAGAGTGGGGCAACATGCTGTTGTGGGAAGGCGGCCTCATCAAGGTTGAGCTCTGTCGAGCTGGAAGGAAGTCTTGTCATCAGGGTCCCATTAACCAGATAATGCTGGATGAGGGCGAAGTTATCACCGTTGGGGCAGATGGATGTATTAGGGTAAGTTTTCTTGACACTTGGTCAGTAGCACCCACACGAAAGCCTTCCAGGTCACCCTTTTGGTTTGATCAGATTTTTCCTCCTCACAAAGTTCACTTTATGAAAGAGATCAGTGGTCATTGATTCCCAGGGACAATGCATTTGAGATAATGCTTTCCTTATGGTAAATATTTAAATTCTAGTCAAAATTAATTTATGCCATCTTAGGAGTGCATTTTCTGAGGGAACCTTTTGTTATTTTGATTCTGTCATTGAAATAGTAGTTTCAGAAAATGAAAACCTATTTTAGCAGAACGTAAACAGTGGATACAGATGTCCTTTCAAAACACACAGTATGAATGGGCCATTTTCTAGGGACAAAAGTACTAAACATTTCTTATTTTTGACTAAGGTTACCCATTAGAAATACACTGAAAAGTGAGCTGATGAGGTTTGCCTGTGGATGCTCCCCTCCCTTTGCTCCTTACATTGGTGAACTCACTTGTCCTCATCTGCAGACACTATCCAGTCCATAGTGTGGGCTAGCCTGGAACACTGCTCCAGCATCTAAGTGCTCCTGGTTGTTGTCATACCCTGCTGTTGCTGGCAAAGCTGGAGGCTGCTGATTTGCCTTGTGGTCCTCTTGGTACCTATTCCTACTTGCCTTTCAGAAGAAAGTGGTAGTATTCTCTGGGTGTTCCTTAGGAAGTATTATTATGAGAAGTAAGACTATTTTTGAAAATAGTCTGGTCATTCTATGATACCTGTTGTACTTACTATGTCTAATACACTGTTTAAACCATCTCTCTCCCATTCTTGGCATTGGCTTTTTGAACCCAAGTATACATTTTTACATTACCACATTAAATTTAATTTTGTTAGATTTTACTCATTGTTCTGGGAAATTTTTATGTCCTTTTGTTTGTCATATAGTATATTCACTATGCTTCCAAGATATATGTCACCCAAAATGTCAAAATACCAACTGGAAGGAAACCTCAAGAGAAAGGAAATCAAATACTTCACAGAGTGTCCCTTCATGAACACCACTAATTTCTAAAGTGGCTTCTTTTAAAAATTTCATCCTAATCTCTTTAGTCTTTTACACAGTAAACCTCTACATCTAACCCTTTGGGAAAAACCTACCCCAACTCCCAGGAGTTAGTTCTACCCTAGGATTTGGGCCTCTCCCCCATGAGGCTAGCCCTAGGTGACAACATGAATCCTCTTTGAAAGTTACCTTCCCAAAGGCTGAGTTATTGAGTCTAGGTTAACAGGGTGGGGTGTGTCAATAGATCCATTCAGGGTAGGCTTTGGTACTTCACAGAAGAAGTCCTTCTCAATCTGTCTTCCTCCTGAGGTGAAACTGTGCTCCCTCATGCTTTCCATAGCATTCTGCTCTCCTGTCCCAGAACAATAATCCTTAACTGAATGGTATAATCTGAATCAATAATGAGAACCATTTTCTTGTGAAGACATCATCTACATCCATTTTCTCCTCTTATAATGAAGATTGTGCTTGAATCATTAAAAGGCCTATTTCCCCTTTCCAGGGGCCCACTGGTAAATTCAAAACAGGGCTCATTATAATGTTTCACCAAATAACGGGAACATTTACTCCTTAGGGCCACTTTATATGCAGAAAGACCTAACAGATACCTTGACATAAAGTTTACATTGGGCAAATTAGAATTCTTATTCAGGCTGTATTCTCTTACTAATCTCCATATATACAGAGGACATTATGATAATTTATTATGCCCCAGTTGGGAGCAATAACCCAGGGGTCAAATTTTGGCTGGTGTTCTCATTACACCTACTTGCTAATTTGCATGAAGCAAGAAGAAATGACTTTTGGGGAAAAAAATCAGGGCCTTTTCTTTCTTTTTTCTCAATTTTTAAAATTTTTAATTCAATTCAATTAACATCTAATGTATTATTAATTTCAGAGGTAGAGATCAGTGATTCATCAGTCTTATATAATACCCAGTGCTCATTACATCACATCACATTAATGTCCATCATCCAGCTACCCCATCCCATGACCCCTCTCCCCTCCAGCAACCCTCAAGTTGTTTCCTATGATTAAGAGTTTCTTATGATTTATTTCCCTCTCTGGTTTCATCTTGTTTTATTTTCTTTCTCTCTTCCCGTATGATCCTGTTTTGTTTCTTAAATTCCACATATAAGTGAGATCATATGATACATGTCTTTCTCTGATTAACTTATTTCGCTTAGCATAATACTCTCTAGTTCTATCCACATCATTGCAAATGGCAAGATTTCATTTTTTTGATGGCTGAGTAGTATTCCATTGTATATATATATACCACATCTTCTTTATTCATTCATCTGTCAATGGACATCTGGGCTCCTTCCATAGTTTGGACATTGATGTGGACATTGTGGACATTGCTGCTATAAACATTGGGGTGCAGATGCCCCTTCAGATCACTGCATTTGTTATCTTTGGGGTAAATACCCAGTAGTGCAATTGCTAGGTCTATTTTCAACTTTTTGAGGAACCTTCATACTGTTTTCCAGAATGACTGCACCAGCTAGCCTTCCCACCAACAGTGTATGAGGGTTCCCCTTTCCCTGCATCCTCGCCAACATCTTTCATTTCTTGACTTGTTAGTTTTAGCCATTCTGACTGGTGTCAGGTGGTATCTCATTGTGGTTTTGATTTGTATTTCCCTAATGCTGAGTGACGTTGAGCATTTTTTCATGTGTCTTGGCCATTTACAGTATTCTTTGGAGAAATGTCTATTCATGACTTCTGCGCATTTCTTGATTGGATTATTCTTTGTGTTGAGTTTGATAAGTTCTTTATAGATCTCGGATACTAGCCCTTTATCTGATAAGATGTGTTTGTAAATATCTTTTCCCATTCTGTCAGTTGTCTTTTGGTTTTGTTGACTGTTTCTTTTGCTGTGCAAAAGCTTTTTATCTGGATGAAGTGCCAGTAGTTCATTCTTGCCTTTGTTTCCCTTGCCTTTGAAGACATGTCTAACAAGAAGTTGCCGCGGCCAAGGGCAAAGAGGTTTCTGCCTATGTTCTCCTTTAGGATTTTGATGGATTCCTGTCTCACAATTAGGTCTTTCATCCATTTTGAGTCTATTTTTGTATGGTGTAAGGAAATGGTCCAGTTTCGTTCTTCTGCAGGTGGCTGTCCAATTTTTCCAACACCATTTGTTGAAGAGATTGTCTTTTTTCCACTGGATATTTTTTCCTGTTTTATCAAAGATTAGTTGACCATAGAGTTGAGGGTCTGTTTCTGGGTTCTCTATTCTGTTCCATTGATCTATGTGTCTGTTTTTGTGCCAGTACCATACTGTCTTGATGATTACAGCTTTGTAATAGAACTTGAAGTCCGGAATTGTGATACCACCAGCTTTGGTTTTTCCTTTTTTCAACATTCCTTTGGCTATTCAGAGTCTTTTCTGGTTCCATACAAATGTTAGGATTATTTGTTTCAGCTCTGTGAAAAATGTTGATGGTATTTTGATAGGGATTGCATTGAATGTATAGATTGCTCTAGGTAGCACAGACATTTTCACAATATTTGTTCTTCCAATCCATGAGCATGGAACGTTTTTCCATTTCTTTGTGTCTTCCTCAATTTCTTTCATGAGTGTTCTATAGGTTTTTGAGTACAAATCCTTTGCCTCTTTGGTTAGGTTTATTCCTAGGTATCTTATGGTTTTGGGTGCAGTTGTAAATGGAATCGACTCCTTACTTTCTCTTTCTTCTGTCTCATTGTTTGTGTATAGAAATGCAACTGATTTCTGTGCATTGATTTTATATCTTGCCACTTTGCTAAATTCCTGTATGAGTTCTAGCAATTTTGGGGTGGAGTCTTTTGGATTTTCCAAATAGAGTATCATGTCACCTGCAGAGTGAAAATTTGACTACTTTGCTGATTCAGATGCTTTTTATTTCTTTTTGTTGTCTGATTGCTAAGGTTAGGACTTCTAGTACTATGTTGAACAGCAGTAGTGATAGTGGACATCCCTGCCATGTTCCTGACCTTGGGGGAAAAACTCTCAGTTTTTCCTCATTGAGAATGATATTTGCTGTAGGCTTTTTGTAGATAGCTTTTATGATATTGAGGTATGTTCCCTCTACCCCACACTGTGAAGAGTTTTAAGAAAGGAGGCTCTAGGGATGCCTGGGTGGCTCAGTCGGTTAAGTGTCTGTCTTTGGCTCAGGTTGTGACCATAGGGTCCTGGGATCGAGTCCAGCACTGGGCTCCTTGCTCAGTGGGGGAGACTGCTTCTCCCTCTGCCTCCTGCTCTCCCTGCTTATGCTCTTTCTCTCTCTCTGACAAATAAATAAAACCTTTAAAAGAAAAAAGAAACGATGCTGTACTTGGTCAAATGCTTTTTCTGCATCTATTGAGAGGATCATATGGTTCTTGTTCTTTTATTAATGTAGTGTATCACATTGATTTGCAGGTGTTGAACCACTCTTGCAGCCCAGATATAAATCCCACTTGGTTGTGGTGAATAATCCTTTTAATGTACTGTTGGATTCTATTGGCTAGTGCTTTGGTGAGAATTTTGACATCCATGTTCATCAGGGATACTGGTCTGTAATTCTCTTTTGGTGGGGTCTTTGGTTTTGAGATCAAGGTAATGCTGGCCTCATAGAAAGAGTTTGGAAGTTTTCCTTCCATTTCTATTTTTTTGAAACTGCTTCAGAAGAATAGGTATTAATTCTTTTTTTTTTTTAAGATTTTATTTATTTGACAGAGACAGAGATAGCGAGAGCAGGAACACAAGCAGGGGGAGTGGGAGAGGGAGAAGCAGGCTTCCTGCCAAGCAGGGAACCTGATGTGGGACTCGATCCCAGGACCCTGAGATCATGACCTGAGCCGAAGGCAGACGCTTAACAACTGAGCCACCCAGGTGCCCTAGGTATTAATTCTTTAAATATTTTGTGGAATGCCCCTGGGAAGCCATCTGGCCCTGGACTCTTGTTTGTTGGGAGATTTTTGATTACTACTTCAATTTCCTTGCTGGTTGTGGGTCTGTTCAGGTTTTCTGTTTCTTCCTGTTTCAGTTTTGGTAGTTTATATGGCTCTAGGAATGCATCCATTTCTTCCAGATTGCCTAATTTGTTGGCATATGGTTGCTCATAATATGTTCTTATAATTGTTTGTATTTCTTTGGTGTTGGTTGTGATCTCTCCTTTTTCATTCATGATTTTATTTGGTCCTTTCTCTTTTATTTCTGATAAGTCTGGCCAGGGGTTTATAAGTTTTGTTAATTCGAAGAATGAGATCCTAGTTTCATTGATCTGTTCTGTTGTTCTTTTGGTTTATATTTCATTGATTTCTCCTCTAATCTTTATTAATTCTCTTCTCCTTCTGGATTTAGGTTTTATTTGCTGTTCTTTCTCCAGCTCCTTTAGATGTAAAGTTAGGTTTTTTATTTGAGACCTTTCTTATTTCTTGAGAAAGGTTTATATTGCTATATACTTTCCTCTTAGGACTGCCTTTGCTACATCCCAAAGATTTTGAACAATTGTATTTTCATTTTCATTTGTTTCCATGAATTTTTTAAATTCTTTTTTTTTTTTAGATTTTTATTTATTTGGACAGAGAGCGAGAGAGAGTGCACGAGAGCAAGAGCAGGGGAGAGAGTGAGAAGCAGGCTCCTCACTGAGCAGGGAGTCTGATGTGGGGCTTGATCCAGGACCCTGGACCATGACCTAAGCTGAAGGCAGATGCCCAACCGACTGAGACACCCAGGTGTCCCTAAATTCTTCTTTCATTTCCTGGTTGACCCATTCATTTTTTTAGTAGGATGCTCTTTAGCCTCCATGTATTTGAGTTCTTTCCAAATTTCCTCTTGTGATTGAGTTCCAGTTTCAAAGCATTGTGATCCACAAATAGGCAAGGAATGATCCCAGTCTTTTGATACTAGTTGAGACCTGATTTGTGACCCAGTATGTGATCTGTTCTGGAGAATGTTCCATGAGTACTTGAGAAGAATGTGTATTATGTTGCTTTAGGATGGAACGCTCTGAATATACCTGTGAAGTCCATCTGGTCCAGTGTGTCATTCAAAGCCCTTGTTTCCTTGTTGATCTTCTGCTTAGATGATCTGTCCATTGCAGTGAGTGGGGTGTAAAGTCCCTTACTATTATTGTATTATTATTGATGTGTTTCTTTAATTTTTGTTAGTAATTGGCTTATATAATTGGCTGCACTCATGTTAAGGGCATAAATATTTACAGTTGCTGGATATTCTTGTTGGATAGACTCTTTAATTATGTTATAGTGTCCTTCCTCATCTCTTTTTACAGTCTTTGGTTTAAAATCTAATTTGTCTGATATATGGATTGTCATCCCAGCTTTCTTTTGATACCCAATAGCATGATAAATACTTTTCTGCCCCTTCACTTTAAATCTGGAGGTGTCTTTGTGTCTAAAGTGAATCTCTTTAAGACAGCTTATCAATCGCTTGCTTTTTTATCCAATCTGATACCCTATGTCTTTTCATTGGGACAATTAGTGCATTTACATTCAGAGTAACTATTGAAAGCTATGAATTTAGTGCCATTGTATTACCTGTAAAGTCACTGTTTCTGTATGCTGTCTCTGTTCTTTTTAGATCTATGTTACTTTTGGGCTCTCTTCACTTAAAGGATCCCTTTTAATATTTCTTGCATGACTGGTTTAGTGATTACAAATTCTTTTAGTTTCTGTTTGTCCTGGAAGTTTTTTATCTTTCCTCCTATTTTGAATGACATCCTAGCTGGATAAAATATTCTTGGCTGCATATTTTTCTCATTTAGCACCCTGAATATATCATGCCAGTCCTTTCTGGCCTGCCAGGTCTCTGTGGATCGGTCTGCTGCCAGTCTAATATTTCTACCATTGTAGGTTATGGGCTTCTTGTCCCAAGCTCCTTTTAAGATTTTCTCTTTGTCTCTAAGATTTGCAAGTTTTACTATTATATGTTGAGGTGTTGACCTATTTTTATTGATTTTTTTTTTTTTGAGTGGGGTTCTTTGTGCCTCCTGGACTTGAATGCCCGTTTCCTTTCCCAGATTAGGGAAGTTCTCCATTATAATTTGCTCCAATATACCTTCTGCCTTTCTCTCTCTTTCCTCTTCTTCTGGGAACCCAATTATTTTAATATTGTTTTGCTTTATGGTATCACTTATCTCTAGAATTCTCCCCTCATGATCCAGTAGCTCTTTATCTTTTTCTTAGCTTCTTTATTCTCCATCATTTTGTCTTCTATATCACTAATTCTCTCTTCTGCCTCATTTTTTTCCTAGCAGTTGGAGCCTCCATTTTTTATTGCACCTCATTATTAGCTTTTTTGATTTTGACTTGGTTAGATTTTAGTTCTTTTATTTCTCCAGAAAGGGATTCTCTAGTGTCTCCTATGCTTTTTTCAAGCCCAGCTAGTATCTTTATAATCACTCTGAACTCCAGTTCCGACATGTTACTAATGTCCATATTGATTAGATCCCTGGCAATCAGTACTGCCTCTTGTTCTCTTTTTTGAGGTGAGTTTTTCTGTCTTGTCATTTTGTCCAGAGAAGAATAGATGAATGAGAGAACAAAATACTTAAAGGGCAACAATGGCCCCAGATAAATATACACTAAACAAATCAGAAGAGACCTGAAATGGGGGGCGGGGGATATGATCAGGCTGTTGAATAGAACAGAGCCATACACTAGATTTTGGGTGCATATTGGTCTGTTAGAAGAAACTATATCTCAAAATTGTAAAGGAAGAAAAACATATATATACAAAAATAATAAAATTAAATATATTGAAAGTTTGGAATGTAACTGTAAAAATGAAAATAAAAGAAGACTAACAAAAAGAAAAGGATTAATAAAAGAAGAAAAAAAAAAGAACATGATCAGGCAGGTGAAGAGAACAGAGCCATACAATAGATTCTGGGTGTGTTTTGGTCTGTTTGTTAGAAGAAACTGTATCCCAAAATTGTAAAGAAAGAAAAACTTGTGTGTGTGTGTGTATACACACACACACACACACAATTAAATTCAATGAAAGGATAGAATGTTGCTGTAAAAATGAAAGTTAAAAAGGATTTTTAAAAGAGTTGATAAAATAAGAAATTGGTTGAAACGGGAAAGAGGAAAAAAATTAAAATTGAAAGACTAAAGAATTATGGGGAAAAAAAACATGAATTCTATATACTATTTTCCCCTAGCACTGGAATTTTGCAGTTCCCTATGATCAGTAAACTTGGTCTTAACTGGATGTTCTTGCTGATCTTCTGGGGGAGGGGCCTGTTTTGCTGATTCTCGGGTGTCTTTGCCCCAGGCTGAATTGCACCACCCTTGTCAGGGGGCCAGGTTAAGTAAGCAGCTCCTCTGGATTCCTCTGTGTGGCTTTTGTTCCCTGAAGGCTTTCCACGCAGCTTTAGAGGATGAGAATGAACATGGTGGCTTCCCAATCTCCAGCCCCAGAGCTGAGAGCTCAGGCCCCACTCCTCAGTGAGCCCTCAGAGAAAAGCAGTCCATCACTCCTGTCTCCCTGGTCTCCAACCACACTCTGTGGTCACCCAGCCTATGACCGAGCATTTCTATCGCAGGCACGCGACTCCGGTTTGAGTCTCAAAACCCTGCAGACTCCTCTGCCATGCTCCTGTGCTGCTCCTCTGAGGGGAGGAGGGGGGGGGTCTCCCCGGTTCTGCCGCTTGTTGGGCCTCTACTCAGAGAGCAGTGGCCCAACTGTGCCGCAGTTCGTGGTTTATGGCAACCCCAAGCTGAGAGCCCTCTCCTGGGCTCGCTGATAGCATCTGGCTTCCTCCTTCCAATGCCTGGGAACTCTGCTGCACTCCAGCACTGCAGGTCTTCCTTGACCCTGGGGATTCTGGGACCACACTGGCCCACCTAAGACTCTGCCTGCTTTACCACCTGATCACCTTTCAGGCAGGGAGTCCCTCACCGGAGCAGACTTCTAAAAGTTCTGATTTTGTGCTCTACTGCTATATCACTTTCTGCTAGCCAGCTTATGGAGGATCCCTCCTCCCACCCCATGGTCTATCCTCCCATACATCACCTCGGATTCACTTCTCCACACCTCCTACCTTGCAGAAAGTGGTCGCTCTTCTATTTGTAGAGTTGTAGCTATTCTTTTCTTAGATCTGTTGAGTTTACAGATGTTCAGAATGATTTGATAGCTATCTAGCTGAATTCCTGTGACCAGACAAAACTAAGATCTCCTACTCCTCTGCCATCAATCAGGGCCTTTTCTTATAGAAAATATAAATTCAGTAACTGCTGATTGATTAAAGTATTTTCTTATTTTATAAGATCTGGGATTTTGAGACAGTAGACACTGCTGATTCTATTGATGAGACTGGATTGTTAGAGATCGAGCCCATTAATGAACTTCAAGTAGGCAAGAATGTCAAACTCTTCTCTATGATAAAAATGAACGAGATTGGAAGTAACTTTTGGTTGGCTCAGGTAAATTGTGTTCTCTCTTGGCTCTTTAAAGTTACCTAGACATAAAATTAAAATAGTAACATAATTTATTGTCCCTGTAAGTCCATTTTACTATTAAGAGTACTATTGATAGGTCAAGAAAGACTACCTGAATTTTGGTATTTAGTTGACCTGTATTTTATATGCAAAAAACCAGTTAGCTTTCTTATTATATTAAACTGACTCTGTGTATTATGAAAATGTTTCATTTATTGTGTGTTCTAAGATATATAGAAGTTGCTTTTGTTAAATTTCAATCATACTTTAAAACACATGTAAGCTTTTGGTATTACTGTTTGTCCTTTAACTAGATCACAGGAAGAAAGTTCTTTTGATAAAAGTTAAAAATGATAAACTATTATTAGGTATTTAATTTTTTAGGATGCCAGTGGAGCCATATGGAAGCTTGACCTTAGTTTTTCAAATATTGTAAGTTGTCTTTTTCTTTTTTCCTGTAATTTTTATAACAAAAGTCTGTTTTTCTTCTTTAAAAGATACTTTATCTTTCTCCATACTTGATCATTGTTCCCATCAAAAACTTGTCCAACATGTCCTAATCCTGAGAATTTATTCTCTCTCTCTCTGATTTTATAAAAAAAAGGAGATATCTCAGCAAACTTTACCAGAAAAGTGGCAGTGACAGTGCCTAATGTTATCCAGTGCTTTACAGTTATCATAAACCTATGGTATTTTCATTTATATTATCTCCTGCAACCCTCATGGCTACCCTGATAAACAGGTAGACAGTTGTCATCACCTCATTTTACTGGTGAAGAAAAGGAAAGCCTTCAAGTGCAAAGCCAGTACTGTTTCTCCTAATTCCAAAGTCCAGCACTCTTTCTAGCCTTTTATGCTTTTGTGTGTTTTTTTTTTTAAGATCTATTTATTTAGAGATGGGGGGATGGGCAGGGGGGAGAGGTAGAGAGAGACTCTCAAGTAGACTCCCCGCTGAGCACGGAGCCTGACATGGGGCTTGATCTCACCACCCTGAGATCATGATCTGAGCAGAAACTAAGAGTCGGATGCTTAACTGACTGATACACCCAGGCGCCCCAACATATTATACTTTTAAAAATTTCTATTCAGATAAAATCACACATGTGTTATAGGGTTCTATTTATATTTTTTAAAAACATGACCTTAATTTGATGTTAACTTATCTTTAAGATCTAATAGGATTTCTTTTTATTATCAGACTCAAGATCCAGACTGCCTCTTCTCCTTCCATTCTGGAGCTGTCGAAGCCTTGGCAGTCTCTCCCCTCACTTACCTCATGGCCACTACTGCCTTGGATTGTGAGTAGGAACTCTAAATGAAAATACATCTGGTCTTTTTTGTTTTGTTTTCCACACAAAATTTTATATGTGTTTGATGAAAAGCATTTGAGAACTTCTCCAAAAGGTAAGCCTCTTGATACAAGCGAGGTGAGTTTTTGTGGAGGGGAGAGGAACTAAAGTACAGCAACCTTGGTCATCATGAAAGATTAAGGATACGGTCAGTTACAAAAATGCCATTCATTTTGGTATTAGCCACATTCATGTTTTTCCTATTTTATTTTTTCACCTTCTTTCTTCCTTGATACACGGTGAATCTTTTGTGGGCTATGCAAGGTGAAATTAACCCATCAGTCAATCATCAGTTGTTTGCTTTATTATCCGTGCCTACAAATTACCTGGTTGAGGGTATACATGTAAATTTTTGACTAAAGAAAACCTATTAGATTATTAGTTTATTTATGTATGAAATTTCTTGTTATGTTCAACATGTTAAGTGAACCAAGGTTAGTTTAAAAGATGCCATATATATAACTTGTTTCTTTTAAAACTGTCTTTCTGTAGGCTCTGTTCGAATCTATGATTTTGCTAGCAAAACTCCTTTGGCGCAGATGAAATTCAAACAAGGAGGTACTGCCCTTGCTTGGGTACCCCAACTGGTGAGTTAATGATAATGAACTTCTACTGGAATCTATTGGTAAATATGGTCTATCAGTGCTATTTCTTAGAAATATATTTTATGACTCTGGATTTTAGAGAAGAACGAAAGTTTTAACTTATTCACTCAGAATGTGATAGAAATCATATGACCTTGTTTTTGTGGTTTTGGTCCTGTTTTAACAAAAATCTATTTTTTATGCCACTTGCAAGTTAGTAATCATTTCATGTTACAAAATAATTACTCAACTTTGTGTATCTATCCTTTATCTGAATGTGATTTCATTCCTTCTATTTATATTTCCAGCATGCTTGCGATGTGCTGGGTCTTGTTCTAACTTCTGGGAATGTAGTGATGAACAGAAAGACAAAAATACTTGCCCTCATGCATCTTACACTTTAGTGGGAGGGAGGAGGCAGAAATGGACAATAAAGAAAAATAAGTAACATGTGATATGTTAGGTAATGATAAGACCTATGGAAAAAAATTAGGCAGACATAGGGAGTCATCCTAGTTATCCATTGCTATGTAATGAACCACTACAAAGTGTAGTGGCATAAAACAGCAATCATTTTATTTTGCTCATATGCTCTCTGGATTGGGAAATCAGACAGGTGACAACAGCAGTGGATTGTCTCTGCTTCATGTCTGGGGCCTGGAATCATGTAAAGGCTTCTTTATCATCGGTCTGGCATCTGGGTTGAAGGCTGGGCGAAGCTCGGATGTCAATAGGAGTGCCTACCTAATAGCCTCTTCGTGTGGCTTCTGCTTCATAACAGTTCTTCATGGGTGACAACTACACTTTATTTTTCTTTGAGCCTCTAGTGCCTCTACAGTACATTTAGACACATAACAAATATTTATTAAATGAACAACCTTCAACTGGAGTTGGATGGGGTACAGTTTTTTTATTACCAAGACTCTCATAACTGCCTTGCCTTAGCGATGATCACTCTGCTCTAAAGAATATCAGGGCTCTTGCCTTTCTCCTGAATGCCTCCCAAGACAGCAGATTTAGTATATTTGGACACTGCTAGGTTTCTTTCTCCAGCCCAGACTGCTCCTCTGAGCTGCAGACTATGTGTCATCCTCATTTTGAGATCTCCAGGGACCCTCAAACCCAACCTGTCTAAGACTAGATTCGTGACACTCTGCTGGCCTCCAGCCAGTCCACCTCCATAACAATAATAGCAACAACAAACCACACAGACATTCGGCTCCCTTTCACGGTTTCCTATCTCCATAAATGGCTCAGTCATCCTTGACACCTCCCTCTGCCCTTCTCCCCTGTATTCAGTCATCACCAAACAGGGCCATTATCGCTCTCTCTAAACTATGCCCGTATCCCTCCTGTCCATGATACCACCTCAGACTAATTGACCACAATCACTCTCCTGGAGTAAGGCAGCCATGTCTTTATAAGTCTCCCCAGAGGTCTCCCTGCACCCTCTCTAGGCCATCTCAGTTCTGTTTTGCACAATGCAGCTACGATGATTTTCCGAGATAGCAAACCTGATCATGTCACCCTCTCTCTCCACACACACCCACACGTGCGAGCACACACCTATCCACACGCGCGCGCGAGCGCACACACACACACACGCGCAAGAGCGCACACACACACACACAAACCCCCACATGCGCGAGCACACACACACACACACACACACACACAAACCCCCACACGTGGGAGCACACATACCCACGAGCGCGCGCACACACACACACGCGCGTGCGCGCACGAGCACACACGTACACAAACTCCCAACTAAAAACCTTTCAATGGCTTTCCACTGCTCTTGGGATGAAGATTATCTTAATGTGACATGTAAGCCACTTTGTGACCTAGGCCTTGCTTATCTCCCTCTTTAGCTTCTTTTCTGCCACATAACCTTTGCACAAGCTATATCCTCTCCCAGGAGTGCTTCTCCCATCTCCCTGAACTTAATTTCTGGGCATCTTTCTGGTCTCCGCTCCACCATCTCTTCCTTAAGGAAGCCCTCAGTCTAGGTCAACTTTCTTTGTTATATGCCCTCAGAGATTGTTTCTTTCCTTTAGCATTTATTTCGGTTCATAATTTTATATTCATCTGCGTGATTAATGTCTGTCCTCCCCCTAGACCATAAATTCGGTGAAACCAGGGACAAACTGTTTATGCTCACCCTTGAGTTGCTGGTGATAGGTGCCTGGCACATGGTAGACAGACACTACACCAGCATTTGCTTCTCCAGTGTTTGAATTGCCATTGCTTACCTGTTTCATCATCAGTAGTGATAAGGAACTATCCTAGAATAGATGGAGGTTACCAGAAAGTGGTATAAGGAATTACCAATGAGCAGTCAATGTTAAATTACTTGGCTAACTAATGAATCATTGAACACTACATCAAAAACTAGTGATGTACTATACAGTGGCTAACTGAACATAATAAAAAAAATTACTTGGCTAAATAAAATACGGAGTTATATAGTACAACTTTTTTTTTTTAAGATTTTATTTATTTATTCATGAGAGACAGAGAGAGAGAGAGGCAGAGGGAGAAGCAGGCTCCCCACTGAGCAGGGAACCTGATGTGGGACTCGATCCCAGGACTCTGGGATCATGACCTGAGCCGAAGGCAGATGCTTAACCATCTGAGCCACCCAGGCACCCCTGTAGTACAACTTTCTTAACTAATTTCAGATTTGTTGCATTTAATTTTTTTCTAAGGTAAACTACACCGGAGCACAGATTATTGTAGGATTCGAAGATGGGGTCGTTCGAATTCTTGAACTTTATGATCCCAAAGGGCTCACAGTTTTTGCAGGACGGAAGAAAATTTCTGATGCAGATATTAATTTGAAACAGGTTTTCAAACCCCATACTGCTCGTGTCACTGCTTTAGCTTATGAACGTGATGGAGAAATTCTAGCTACAGGGGTAAGTGGTAGATTTCCTTTTGTTTCCTTTTGAGCTTTCATGGTTAAACTTACCTTATTCATTTTCCTACCTGATGATAACTTATTTGCTGATGTACATTTTAGAGAAAAACCCATAGTTTGTTTCTCTATGTTCATATTCTTTCAGTATAGTCTGTGCATGACACTTCAAAATTTTCTTACAAATTGAGTTCTAATGCTTATTTTAAATGAATAGAAATTTTCAACTGGGAGTTATGATCATGTTTTATGTATAACCAATATTTTATCACATAGGTATATTCTTATATAGAATTGCCATAAGTGAAGAGAATAACCTTGTACATTTTTTTAATGCATTACTAAGTGAGTATATGCTTTGTGGAATTTTTTGTGAGTTAACCTATGTACAGGTATGGTGATCATTTCTTTCAGAAACACATCCTGGAACACTTGGTTTGTCAAATGTTCTCATGGGGGAAATGAAGCAAATATTTGAAATAAGAATTTTCCCAGAATAATCTGGGACATATGATTATTGTGGATATAGATATACAGTGGGTGTACTATACCTAGTAAGTGCTACTCTGTACTCTATGGGATAGATGTAAAAAAAACCCCCATATTTGTTGGGTATTTCTCTTTTTCTTAGAGTAAAGATCAAACCGTCTTCTTCTTTGAGGTAGAAAAGGATTATAAGCCAATAGGGTATATTACTACTCCTGGACCTGTTCGCCAGTTAATATGGTCTTCGAACTCCCATGTAAGTAATTATTATTTGTCTTCATGTTTAAATCTCAATTACAGCATAATGAAGTGATCCGGAAGATCGAGAATAGCAGGTGGAATTATTAGCATCCCTCCTGGGTCCTGCAGTGAGGGGCTGGGGAATGCTCTTAGCTTGGCTAATAGAGCATGACTGGGGAGCCCCACATCACACTTGTTATCTCCTCTCTCTTCCATTCTCTAAATCGTTGGTCATGATTCCCTTCCCAAAACATTGGGTTATATCAGGCTTTGCTTTAACCTGGTGACTTTATTGAGATACACTTGTCAGAATGTGTTGACTTGGGTCCATCAGTCCTTTTGACATTCAGAAGTTCAGTTCTATCTAAGGTCTGAATGTCCTTGCCCTCATCTTTATCTCTTTGCTTCTACCCCCGTTCTACCTCCATTTTTCTCTTTGAATCTTCCACTGACTCTTTCCTAACAACAGCTGGTGATTTAGTATTGGTTACTGATCTTATTTAATGCCTCTAATTTCCCTAAGTTTGAGCATAGGATAACTCCATCATCTGAATGTTGATTTAATGTCTAAACCAGATGCTGTCCTGGATTCTAGGGTAATACTGATTGAACTGTATGGAAGTAACATCTATTATCTACTTTAAACTCTTCTAAAGAAAAGTGCTATAACAATATAGTATATAGAAAAACATTTTTAAAAAAATACTCATTGTTTTCATCTTTGCTAGGCACTGATGGATTCAATAAGCAGTACAAAACAATCTCTTTTGAAAGAGAAAAAAAAGTACATATTTTAGAAATTAAATAACTATCACAGAACAATACAAGTTTTCACAAGGGAATTGGTGACTAAAATATCAGTAGGATAGACAATATGTGCTATGAATATAGAGCAGGGAAATATCAAGAAGGGGTTAAGTTAACATAAGTTGTTATTTAGTATTATTTTACCTTAATCTTGAGGAAATGGTAGGATATGTGTAGTTGGGGAGAAGGTAAGTGTAGGTGATTTAGGATAAGGAAATGAAAGCTTCAAAGGGACCTGTATGTTAAAGCATGAACACAACAGGTGATATTATGTGCATCCTTTAATCATGTCTCTAGATTCGAAGTCAAAAACCCAAAAAAGTTAGAAATGGTGGGTGGGAAGGGGGTGGGTGTGACTACAAAGGGGGATCTTGAGGAAGATCCTTATGGTGATGGGATAGTTTTGCATCTTGATTACAGTGAATGGTTCCATGAATCTACACATGTGATAAAATGACAGAATTATACACATGTTCTATATTAATGTCAATTTCCTGGTTTTGATATTGTTGCATAAGAGGTAACCTGTGGGAGAAACTGGGGGAAGGGTACATGATTCCTTCCTATACTATCTTGGCAACTTCTTGTGAATCAATAATTATTTCAAAATAAGCTAAATAGGCATAAGAGACCAAAACCCCCAACATAATTCAAAAGTTATTTCAGGCAGGGCTGCCAATTAGTGCTTGTATTTCTTATAGTTGGGAATTACTAATGTCAAAGTAAATTACCCTCATTTCACAATGTATGCATTATCAAACCATCACATAGTACACTTTAACTTACACAATGTTATATTTCAATAAAGATGGAGAAAAAAGGTAAATTACCATGTGTAACTGATATGCTGCATACTTCAGTTGTCCACCTAGCCATAGCTGTTAACTTCCACCAGTTCTCAATGGTCAGACCTCCTGTCTTCCTGAATGCATTAAACTTCTGTCCTTATAATTTGTGTTTCCACTAAGGGTGTATCACATGTGCATACAGAATCATTCTGCCTGCCACGGTCACTACCATGATCACTTTGGGCAGCAGTGTGAAGTTACAGGGGAGGCAGATGAGAGGCATTGGATCTATTGGGCAGCTATGTTCCAGATATGTGACCAGGGCATGAAAGACTGTGGACAAGAACTATGTAGGAGGTAGAATTAATAGAATTTGGTGATCTTTTGAATTTCTGGGGATAATTTTGAGCTGTTTAAATGAAACACATGAACTTCTCTAAGACATGTTCTTTTGCCTGCATTATTCTGGGACCACTGTTCTCTCTGTTGCTATAACCAGAAAATCTTGAGAATATTCCAGTCTCTTCCCTACTTCTAACTACCCTGCCCTTCATTGGTTCACCAAACTTCTTTCCTTATGCATTTTTTTTAAAGATTTTATTAATTTGCAAGAGAGAGAATGAGAGACAGAGAGATGAGAGGGAAGAGGGTCAGACGGAGAAGCAGACTCCCCGCCGAGCAGGGAGCCTGATGTGGGACTTGATCCCAGGACTCCAGGATCATGACCTGAGCCGAAGGCAGTCGCTTAACCAACTGAGCCACCCAGGCGCCCCTCATTATGCATTCGAAATATCCCTGCTTCCTCTTTGCTATCCTAGATAAAAGCATAATACTATACATAAAAGTAGATAGCATTCAAATAAATGAAAATGAAGTGAAAAAGGGACCATTTGGAGGAAATGAACAAACCTGTTCCCACACAGTTTAGAGTTATGTAAATGCTTTAAGGCAAAGGCCCAGCAGAATGTCAGGCTCACTTTTCTGCATTTCCCTTTTCTCTAGGATCATGTCCCCTCAATACCTAATTATTTTGAAGCTTTGAACTTCAGCTTTTGTCTTCTCCTCTCCTCAGGAATGCCTAAAGCTCTAGGACACAGCCTTCTGTTTGGCTTCTAGGTCTCATGCAAACTGTTGGCAATTTGTCCTTAGGAGGAAAAGTTGCAGAAGAATCCCTCACCTTCCCACTACCCAACATAAAATCCTGTTACCTCTGCATCCACCTGCCTTCTTCCCTTTTTTATAATCGAGAAGGCCCTCTCCCTTCCCATGTGAGGCCAGTTCTGCCTCCTCCTTTGGATTGTACTCTCTTCCACTTTTTTCAAGATTTCATACAACTTATTTTCTTTTTTTCTGTCATAAATTTAACCTCACCTGTTTCCTGGGTCATTTCCATTGGTATTTAAAGATGTTCAAGTATCTCCTATGAACAAAAAATAAATTCCTCGACCTTCTGTTCTCCTCTAGTTACTGCCCCATCTTTCTCCTCCTGACTTTTCCAAGAGGATTGATTATTCCTCTGGGCTCTTAACTAGTTTCTAGTCTCATCATTCTACCAAGTCAGCTCCTGTAAAGAAACCAGTGATGTCCCCTTAACGTTTTCGGTTCTTATCTTTCTTGACTTCTTACGTCCTTTGATCCTGTTGACCCTTACTTTCTCTTTGAAATACCATCTCCCTTTGACTTTTGTGATGTTATGCTCTCCTGGTTCCCTCTTCTACATCTTGCCATTCCTTTTCAGCCTTCCTCACCCAGTTACTGAATATTGTTTCTCTAAGACTCTGTCCCAATCTGTCTTCTTGCTCTGTTCTCTTGACCTCGGTGTTACCATCCAAGCCCATAACTTCCCTGTAAGCCCAAACATGCCACAGGATATTTGCACATGCTATTTGCTTTGTATAGCATACTCCCTCAAACCTTCCCCTAACTGTTGTGTAATTATCTTCTGCTCCCCCTTCACCTTAAAGCTTAGACACCACCTTCTCAGGAAACTTGCACAGCCTCCTTTGCTCTTGTAGCACCTCTGCAACACTTGTCACAGTTATAATTTACATTCATTTATATGATTTGTTAAATGACAGGCTCTCTTGTTGGAGGTAAGCTCTATAGTGCCAGGCGCTGTATTTTTCTTTTACAGTTTTACCCCTACCATGCCACAAAATGCCAAATACATAGTAGATACATAATAAATAATTACAGAATGAAATGACTGAGTGAAGAAACATTTTGAATAATGTGTCTATAGAATATCAAGATGGAGACTTTCCAGACATGGTTAAATATGTGATTTTTGGAGATCAAGAGAGTGGTCTGGCCTAGAGAGATGAATCAATTTGGAATCTAACTGTGCATGAGTGGTAATGAAGCCTTAGGTTGGCTATAATATTTCCCAGGGAATGTTTATGTGGAGCGAGAGAAGAGGGAAGAGGGCAAAAACCTGAGGAACATCCACATTTAATGAACTCGGGCAGATAGAGAATGATCCACCAAAGGCTGCTGACACTGGATATGCCATCCACACACTGCAGGTTTTCCTTGGCAGTCCTAATTTTAATATTCTGCTTTTTGGGCTATATATTTCAGGCCTGCATTTTTTGGCTCAGAAACTGTGTTATGGCATCTATAAGGTAAACCAATCTAAATCTAATTTTAACACTTAGCTTATTAATGATATAATAGGTAATAATTGTGTATAGTGATTAATGACTTATTACTACAGTGAGGAACTAAGGATTTCAAAAATGGTTAGTACACATAACAATTATATTTTTCCTGATTTATGATGTTTTTGAACTATGCTTGTATAAATTTGCCTAAATGTGAATGATATGTTAATCTCTCTTTTTCAGCCTGACAGTACTTTACTGATTATTTGTGAGAATGGCTATGTTCTTGAAACTCCATTTCCAACCATGAAGGAGGAAGAGGAAAATCGTGATGTAGTTTCCTATGAAATCAAAGACATGTGCATAAAATATTTTCATTTCTCAAGTGTCAAATCTAAGATTCTGGTATGAGATATCCTTGAAGCATTATCTTCTAATATGTTTTTTCTTAGAATATAAAATATCTTTTTTTTCAAGTTTTTATTTAAATTCCAGTTAACATGCAGTGTAATATTCTTTTCAGGTGTACAATATAGTGATTCAACACTTTCATACATCACCTGGCGCTCATCACAAGTGCTCTCCTTAATCCCCATCACCTATCTAACCCATCCCCCATCTCCTCCCCTCTGGTAAACATCAGTTTGGTCTCTATAGTTAAGAGTCTGTTTCTTGGGGGTGCCCAGGTGGCTCAGTCAGTTAGGCATCCGACTCTTAATTTCAGCTCAGGTCATGATCTCAGGGTTGTGAGATGGAGCCCTGCACCAGGCTCCATGCTCAGTGTGGCGCTTGTTTAAGATTCTCTCTCTCCCTCTCCTTCTGCCCTGCACACCCCCTCTGGAAAAAAAAAAAAAGAGTCTGTATCTTTGTTTGCCTCTCTCTTCTTTCCCCCTATGATCATGTGTTTTGTTTCTTAAGCCCTATATATGAATGAAATCATATGGTATTTGTCTTTCTCTGACTTCACTTAGTGTAATACACTCTAGCTCCATCCACATCATTTCAAATGGTAAAGATGTCATTCTTTTTATGGCTGAGTAATATTCCATTGTATAAAAGTGCTGATGAAATACAAAGAAGAATAAGACATTTACCCTGACTCTAGTGAGCTTATAAACTGGTAGGAAACAGCTGACTGTATTAGAAGGCAGTAGTGAACAGATATTAAAATCACAGTGCAAAGAAAATAATTTTAGGGGTGTGGAGTGAAACAAATATGAGTTTGATAGAAGGCTAAAAGGGGATCAAAGATGATCAGATAGAGGGGACTTTTAGTACTTAAAAAATCAGAAGGATTTTGAGAGGGTGAAAAAGGAGAGGAAGGTAACAAGAGCTGGAATAACATCCTGAGGGAAGGCAGAACTGTAGGAATTTCTGGTGTTTTCAGAAAATGAAGAGTGGAATGTTGAGACAGAGGGAAGCAGTATATGGGAGAGATGAGGCAGAAATCTGTGACCAACCTTGGGCTCCTTAAATGCCAGCCAAGATGTTTCAATTTAATTCTAGACCATTGAGATCCATTGTGAGTTCTTTTTCCCTATTCTGTTTTTTTCCACCTTTTTTTTGAAGAAATTTTTATTATTTCAGTATAGCTGACACACAATGTTACATCAGTTTCTGGTGCACAACACAGTGATTCAACAAGTCTATATGTTATGTTCACCACGAGTGTAGCTACCACCTGTCACCTTACAACACTATTACAGTACCATTGCCTATATTCCCCATGCTGTACCTTTTATATTTTGTGTATATGTTATCATATTTTGCATCTTTTAATTCATAATTTTCTTGTAATTATGGCCTTTTTTTCTACTTAAAGAAATCCCTTTCACTTTTTTGTAAGGTTAATTTAGTGATGATAAACTCGTTTAATTTTTCTTTGGGAAACTCTCCTTTTATTCTGAATGATAACTTTGGCACGTAGAGTATTCTTGGTTGTAGGTTTTTTTCCTTTCAACACTTTGAATATATAATGCCACTCTCTTCTGGCTTGCAAAGTTTCTGCTGAAAAACTGTCTGATAGCCTTATGGGGTTTCCCTTGTACGTGCCTTTTTGCTTCTTTCTTGCTAGTTTTACAATTCTCTCTTTATCTTTAATCTTTGACATTTTAATAATTATGTGTCATGGATTCATCTTGTTTTGAACTCTCTGTGCTTCCTAAACCTGGAGATCTGTTTCTTTTCTCAGATTAGTGAAGTTTTTAAGCTAGTATGTCTTCAAATGAGTTTTCTGCCCCTTTCTCTCTCTTCTCTTTCTGGAACCCCTATAATGTGAATGTTTGTTTGCTTGATGTTGTCTAAGAGATCTCTTAACTTATCCTGATTTTTTTTTTCTGCTGTTCAGTTTGGGTGCCTTCCATTACCCTATATTCCAGATCACTGATCCATTCTTCTGCATCCTCTAATCTGTTGATTTCCTCTAGTGTTTTTTTTCCCCTCACTTCAGTTATTGTATTCTTCATCTCTTTTTCTTTTTTTAAAATATATTTTCTATCTCTTTGTTTAAGGCCTATTGAGTTCTTTTACTCTTTTCTCCAGCAAAGTGAGCATCTTTATGATCATTGCTTTAAACTCTTTATTAAGCATATTGCTTATCTCCTTTTCATTTAGTTGTTTTTTGGAGGTTTTGTCTTGTTCTTTCTTTTGGAATGTATTCCTGTCTCCCCATTTTTCCTAACTTTCATGTTTGTTTCTATGAATGTGGTGGAACAGCTACTTCTCCTAAATTTGAAGAAATTATCTTGTGTATACTTGGCAACTTCTTCTGGCTGGCTGGAGCTGCAGCTGCTGTAGATTGGGGGTTGTAGGGCATTCTATGCTGTGGCTGACCTGGTGAGATGGCTGGAGCTGAAGTGGGTACAAGTGGGGGAGTCCCAGGGCTCTTTGTGCAGTGAACATCCTGGTAGGACAGCTAAAATTGAACTGGGTGCAGATTTGGAGGCTCCTGGGGCTCTATGTGCAGAGGGTGCCCTGGCAGGACAGCTGAAGCTGAAGTCAGTGCAAGCTGGAGTGTCCTGGGGTGTTCATTGCAGAGAGTGGCCTGATGGGGCAACAACCCCAAGCTAGAACAGGCCGGGGTGTCCCAGCACATACAATGCAAGTGGGTCTAAGCTGGGGGGTCCCTGGGCTTTCCATGTAGAAGACATCCTAGCAGGACAGCTGAAGTGGAAATGGGTACAAGCCAGGGTATTTAAGAGCATTCCACACTGAGGGTGCCCTGGCAGGACAACTGAAGGTGGAGTGGGTACAAGCTGGGGGTCCCTGGGTATACTGCACATGGGCTGCCGTTGTGGGATAATGGGACAGGGTTGAGGGAGGCCTGTGCTCTGTACAGGGGGCATCCTGGTGGGATAGCTGGGGCCAAAACAGGCAACAGCCAGGAGGTCCCAGAACACTCTGTATTGGGGGTGCCCTAGCAAGCTGTCTGAGGCAAAAGTGGTATGGACCTGGAGTGTTCAGGGATGCTTCACACCTGTGTCACCTTGGTGCAACATCCAGAGCTGTGGTGAGTGCAATCCAGGGGTGTCCTGGTGTATACCTCCCTGGATCCTCCTTGGTGAGATTGCTGGGGCTAGTGGGGGCTAGGTGCCTTGGGCTCACTGATGTGGTAGACTGGTTAAGGTGCCCAGACGCTGCTCCCCCTACCTCACACTGCCATGGTGGAGAGGGAGCATGAACTATGGTTCTCACCAGCCCTTCTGACCTGCAGAGATTTCCAGCAGCTCCCTGCAGTTTGGCAGGGTCCTAAGGTTTGTTCTTTTATATACTACTATATACTATATTTTTTTATTTAAATACAGTTAAAAATTAACATATAATATTTGTTTCAGGGGTACAACTCTGTGATTCATCAGTCTTATATAATACCCAGTGCTCATTACAACACATACCCTCCCCAATGTCCATCACCCAGTTACCCCCTCCCCCCACACTCCTCCCTTTCAGTAACTCTCAGTTTGTTTCCTATGACTAAGAGGCTCTTATGGTTTGTCTCCCTCTCTGGTTTCATCTTGTTTCATTTTTTTCCTCTCTTCCCCTATGATCCTCTGTTTCTTAAATTCCACATATGAGTGAGATCATATGATAATTGTTTTTCTCTGATTGACTTATTGCTTAGCATAATACCCTCTAGTTCCAACCACATCTTTGCAAATGGCAAGATTTCATTTTTTGATGGCGGCATAGCATTCCATTGTATGTATGTATGTGTGTGTGTGTATACACATACCATGTCTGTGTGTGTGTGTGTGTGTGTGTGTGTGTGTGTGTGTGTGTGTATACACACCATGTCTTTTTTTATCCATTTGTCTGTCGATGAAAATCTGGGCCCTTTCCATAGTTTGGCTATTGTGGACATTGCTGCTATAAACACTGGGGTGCAGATGCCCCTTCAGATCACTGCATTTGTATCTTTGGGGTAAATATCCAGTAGTGCAATTGCTATGTCTATTTTCAACTTTTTGAGGAAACTTCATACTGTTTTTCCAGAATGGCTGCACTAGCTTGCATTCCCACCAACAGTGTAAGAGGGTTCCCCTTTTCTCCGCATCCTCACCAAAATCTGTCATTTCTTGACTTGTTAATTTTAGCCATCCTGACTATTGTGAGTGGTATCTCATTGTGGTTTTGATTTGTATTTCCCTGATGCCAAGTGATGTTGAGCATTTTTTCATGTGTCTGTTGGCCATTTGGGTGTCTCCTTTAGAGAAATGTCTGTTCGTGCCTTCTGCCCATTTCTTGATTGGATTATTTGTTCTTTGGGTGTTGAGTTTGATAAGTTCTTTATAGATTTTGGATATATTCTGGTTTCTCCTCAGATTGTATAAATCTTTTGCCTTTTACTAGTTGCTCTTTTAAACCTTGGCTTTTTTTTTTTCTGTGTCCTAGGGCAGACAAATCTGCTCCTGCTTTCTCGATACTCTCCATTCCCACTGCAGTTCAGAGCCTTTGGGGATGGAGATTCCCCTCATTACTGTGTCTCCATCTCTCTTTTGTTGTGCAGAAGCTGTTCAGTCACCGCTTCCACTGTGAGATTTTGAGGAGGGGATTGATGTGATGAGATCATATAATTTAGGAGGATAATTCTGAGGGATAAAAAAGAAAGAGGTTAAAGATGGGAGGTAGGGATGCCAGTGTTAGGTGGCTTTTGAAATCACCATCTGAAAGACACAGAGGGTCTAACAGTTATTACTAAAAATAGGAACAACTTTCCTCAGGGGTTATTTTGATCTACCTAATTCATGGTGATAGACTGGAAGAAACTGTGTTTACCTTCTCTATTAGGAAACAAGTGAGAAAATGATTTCTATAAAACTAGGATTGAAGGGAGTAATGCAGAAATGATTTGAAAATGTTAATGATAATATATATCCCCCAATTGATAATTATTTTTAAATGACATTATTTTACATCAGAGCTGTGAGTTTTTCTAGAACCCGATCTTCCTTCCATTTTGTCATCCCCTTCCTGTAAATGAATGAATGATTTACAGTTGTTTTTATATCTTAATGTCTCTTGTAAAAGCGATTCATAGAAATAGAAAAGAGAAAGACACTAAAGGAGTTGAAGGAAAAGGAAAAAAGGAGGAAGCAGCTAGCAGCAGAGACGGGACAAGATGGAGAAAAGGAATTCCAGGCAGAGGAGGAGGAAAAGGAAGAAGAGGGGCCATTACCTGAAATCTTTATTCCATCAACTCCCTGTCGCATCCTCTGTGGATTTTACTCTGAGCCAGGGAAGTTCTGGGTTTCTTTGGTGAGTAATAATGTAATACATAATTTTTTATCTTGGCCCTAATCAAATATAGTTTATGATCATGATTTTCCAGCACATTCTCACTTTCTAACTCTTATGGTAAGGCCATTTATTAACTACTGTTGAAGGGGTGAAATTTAGTTTTTATATCATCTTAATATCTCTTTTATGTCTTTTTATTACATCTGTTATCACTTATAACAATCATACATGTTCCAGAAGGTCAAAGGGGAGAATAATTAAAGATAGAAGGGCAAGGGGCTAAAGGTTCTTCCAGTCGACTTGTGTGTGTGTGTTTTTTTTAAATTTTGAAACTAATCAACATTTTGAAAATAATGGCCACACTATTCTGTAAGCTTTTGCTTGCATTTTGTTATTTGCAGCTATGCTATTTGGCCATGTAGAAGTCTGGGAGGATGGCTGTTTTTAGGTGGTCACCTTGCCACTCTGAACAGAATTGGGATTTGGCTAATAAGGAAGAAGAGAAAAATGGATATTAGGGAAACAGACACCAAGGACTGTCACAATGTTGTGACAACTGTATCTTCTAATTATATATTTTCTACTCCTATCATAAGACATCGATCAATTGCAAGGCAGGATTTCCTTCATTATAAATTTGTCACAAATTTCAGCTCCATTAACCAAAAAAATAATAATTGACATGAAAGTATACAGGCATACCCTATTTTATTTCACTTCACAGATACTGTGATTGTCACAAATTGGTTTGTGGCAATCCTGTGTCAAGCAAGCTTATTGGCATCATTTTTCCAACAACATTGGCTCACTTCATGTTTCTGTGTCACATTTTGGTAATTCTTGCAGTATTTCAAACTCTCTCACTATTATTTGTTGTTATGATCTGTGGTCATTGATCTTTGTTACTATTGTAATTGTTTTGGGGAGCCATGAACTGCACCCATATAAGACCACAAACTTAATGATAAATATGGTGTGTGTTTTGGCTATTCTACAACCAGCCATTCCCTTGCCTCTCTCCCTCTCTTTGGGCCTTCCTATTCCCTGAGTTACAACAATATTTAAATTAGGCCAATTAATAACCTTATAATGGCTTCTAATAGTTCAAGTGAAAGCAAGAGTCACATGCTTCTCACTAAATCAAAGGCTAGAAATGATTAAGTTCAGTGAGGAAGGCATGTCAAAAGCCAAGATAGGCCCAAAACTAGGCCTCTTGTGCCAAACAGTTGGCCACCTTGTGAATGCAAAGAAAAAGTTCTTGAAGGAAATTAAAAGTGCTAGTCCAGTGAACACATGAATACTAAGAAAGAAAAACAGGCTTATTGCTGATATGGAGAAGTTCTCAGTGGTCTGGATAGATCAAACCAGCCACAACATTCCCTTAAGCCAGAGCTTAATCCAGAGCAAGCCCCTAATTCTCTTCAATTCTATGAAGGCTGAGAGAGGTGAGGAAGCTGCAGAAGAAAAGTTGGAAATTAGCAGAGATTGGTTCATGAGGTTCAAGAAAAGACGGAAAGAAGCCGTCTCCATAATACAGAAGCAACAGGTGCTGATGTAGAAGCTGCAGCAAGTTATCCAGAAGATCTAGCTCAGATAATTCATGAAAGTGACTACACTGAACAAGAGATATTTTAAAAAAAAGATTTTATTTACTTGAGAGAGAGAGTGAGAGAATGAGCAGGGAGAGCAGCAGAGGCAGAGGGAGAAGCAGACTCCCCACTGAGCAGGGAGCCGGATGTGGGGCTTGATCCTGGGATGCTGGGATCATGACCTGAGCCGAAGGCAGACACTTAGCTGACTGAGCCACCCAGGTGCCCCTGAACAAGAGATTTTCACTGTAGATGAAACAGTCTTATTGTGGAAGAAAATGCCATCTAGGACTTTCAGAGAGGAAAAGTAAATGCTTGGCTTCAAAGAATATGTTGACTCTCTTGTAAGGGGCTAATGGAGCTGGTGACTTAAGTTGAAGCCAATGCTCATTTACCGTTCTGAAAATCCTGGCCCTTAGGAATTATATTAAATTTATGCTGCCGGTGCTCTATAAATGGAACAACAAAGCTGAATGACAGCCCATCAGTTTACAACATGGTTTACTGAATATTCCCACCGTTGAGACCTACTCCATAGAAAAAAGATTCTTTCAAAATATTACTGCTCATTGACAATGCATCCAAGAGCTCTGATGGAGACATACAATAAGATTAATGTTGTTTTCAGGCCTGCTAGCACAACATCCATTTTGCAGCCTGTGGATCAAGGAGTCATTTAAACTTTCAAGTCTTATTATCTAAGAAATACACTTTGTAAGGTTATGGCTGCCATAGATTGTGATTCCTCTAATGGATCTGGGCAAAGTCAATTGAAAAACTTCTGGAAAGGATTCACCATTCTAGATTCATGGGAAGAGGTCACAATATCAACATTAACAGGATTTCTTGGAAGAAGTTGATTCCAACACTCATGGATGACTTTGAGGGGTTGAAGACTCGAGTGGAGGAAGTAACTGCAGATGTGTTAGAAATAACAAGAGAACTAGAATTACAAATGGAGGGGTGAATTATACCTGAAGGTGAGACTGAATTGCTGCAATCTCATGATATAACTTTAACAGATGAGGAGTTGCCTCTTATTGATGAGTAAAAAAAGTGGCTTCTTGAGATGGGATTTACTCCTGACAAAAATGCTGTGAAGATTGTTGAAATGGCAACAAAGGATTTAGAATATTATATAAACTTAGTTGATAAGCAGCAGCAGGGTTTGAGAGGATTGACTCCAATTTTGAAAAGTTCTGTGAGTAAAATGTTAGCTAACAGCATTGCATGCAACAGAGAAATTCATGAAAGGAAAAGTCAACTCCTGCAGCAAACTTCATTATTGTCTTATTTCAAGAAATTGCTGTGGCCACTCTAGCCTTCAGCAACCACCACCCTGATCAGTCAGCGGCCATCAACATTGAGGTGAGACCCTCCACCAGCAAAAAGATTAAGACTTGCCAAAAACTCAAAATATGGTGAGAAATTTGGGGCAATAAAGTATTTTTAAATTAAGGTATGTACGTTGTTTTCTTAGACATAATGCTATTACATACTTAATAGACTGGTATAGTGTAAACGTAACTTTTATATGCACTGGGAAACCAAAAAATTCATTTGATTCACTTTATTGCAATAGTAGCTTTATTGAGGTGGTCTGGAATTGAACTCACATTATCTCTGAGGTATGCTTGTAAGTGAAAGATTATCATTAATTCATAACCAATCCCAGATGTTTGGCTAGGCCAGAACACTGACTAGCCAAGGATTGTTACTACAAGGAGTGATGAGCGTTAACTTCTTCCCTGTTCAATTTTTCCTAGAAATACATCTTTGTTAGCAACTTCCAAGGAGGCTAGCAGCAAGGATAGAAAGTAGTGATGCTTTGTCTGTCTTTGTTTTATGAAACAATTGTTGATGGCTGCTGTGGTGTGGGGTTCAAGGGTGAAGGGATAAATAAGACATGGCTCCTGCCCTCAGGAAATTTCTTATCACGAGGGAGAGAGGCACAGAAACAACTATAATAAAATGTAATAGAGTTCTAGTGTCCTTGAAACATGTGCAAAAATTATTATATAACACATTCAGTGCTTATTCTTAGGGTTCCCTGATAAATATTATGTGAGACATAATTACCCTAGGTATATTTGTTATCTGAAATTCATATTTAACTGGGCATCTCGTACTTTTATTTGCTAAATATGGAAACCTGTTTATTCTGTACTGGGCACCCTTCTAAATGATTTACAACCACCCTATATAATTTGCATGTTACATAAGAAGAAACCAAGGCATGGAGAGGTTATGTAACTTATCCAGGGTCATATAACTAATGATAGGTGGAACCAGGATCTGGACTCAGGCAGTTTGGTCCTAGAGTCCATGCTTTTAACCATCAAGCTCCACTAGCACACAAGATTAAGGTACAGTTGACCGAGGTAGTGACCCTGACTCTGCTTGATGCAATTATTTGTCAGCTCTGCGCCTACAACCAAGTAGACCGTGTGGAAGACCAGTCTCTCTGTGAAGACCTGACCACAGTTCTCAAGTCTGTGTTCATGCTGCAGGCCCATTCTACCGCCCAGTCCTGTTCACTCTGCCACTTGCTGAATTACTGATGTAATTCTTCCTCCCCTCAAACGTGCTACACCCTCCCTCACCTTCTAATGATAACCTCCTCTCACATTTCACTGAGAAAATGAAATTTTCCTTGTCTTGTCTTAAACAGATCTAACACCCTATGGTGATCCATACAAGTTTTGTCTGCTTTGCCTATTGTTCCAGTTGATGAGGGGTCTCCTGCAACTGGCCAAGGACACTTTTCCCAAAGGTGTCTTGATCCCACCCCTCTCACTTCCTCCAATATTTTATTCCTGCAGTAAACCACCTAGTCTCCTGTATCATCCACTTCCCTCTGGTCACTGAATTCTTATCAGCACATAAACATGCTCTAGTACTTAAAAATTTTTCCTTAACCTCTCTTTCCTTCCCCTCACTCCTCCTTTTAGAGGTGATCCTAAAGATCATCATATGCACCTTTTCCTTCATATGATTTGATATAAATTTATTCTTTTAATTTCAGAGAAAAAAGATCTTTGAGTACTTTACTGCTATGTATCCTCCCCTCTCCATTGTCCTATATTCTCTTTATGTATATATTTGTATCCCCAAAAGGTATTTTACTATTGTATTGTTGATATCATTTTGGTTTATCCTTTTTCTTGCTGTTAATTCCTTTCTATATCTTTGAGTTGCATCTTCTGCCTTAAATATATAATATATATATTTAGTGTAGATCTAGTGACAAATTCTCTGTTTTGGGGACTCTTAGGGGATCTTAAAGTGTCCTCATTTTGCCTTTTTAAAAAATTATATTTTTGCTGGAAATTTTCTTTTCAAACTTTGATATCTTCCATTCTATCAGCTGTCTTCCATTCTATCAGCTGCATCTTTTTATTGTTTCTTTGAAACCTAGTATGTCTTTTTCTCTGGTTGCTTTTAAAATTTTGTGTTAAAGGGTGTAGTTTCTTCATATTTATCTGGCTTATGTTCATAGCATTTCTTGAATCCCAACATAGTTTTATTCAGTTTTGGAAAATTCATAGCCATTATCTACCACAATATTTCTCTGGCCCATCTTTTTACTTGTTTCTTCTGGGATTTCAGTTTTATGTACTTTAATCCTTACCACTATGTCCCATATGTACTTTACACACACACCAGCCTTTTTGGGGGGTATTTTCCATCCTTCTTTTCTTTCTCCTGCTTTGGTCTGACTACTTTATCTGATCTCTGTTCCAGCTTCATAACTCTAGCTGTGTCTAGTTGCTTTCAAACTCATCTATTGGCCCCATCAAAATACCATCCACTTTTTTCAAAGAAATGGAACAAATAATCCTAAAATTTGTATGGAACCAGAAGAGACCCCGAATAGCCAGAGGAATATTGAAAAAGAAAGCAAAGCTGGCGGCATCAAATTCCGGACTTCCAGCTCTATTACAAAGCTGTCATCATCAAGACAGTATGGTACTGGCACAAAAACAGACACATAGATCAATGGAACAGAATAGAGAGCCCAGAAATGGACCCTCAACTCTATGGTCAACTAATCTTTGACAAAGCAGGAAAGAATGTCCAATGGCAAAAAGACAGTCTCTTCAACAAATGGTGTTGGGAAAATTGGACAGCCACATGCAGAAGAATGAAACTGGACCATTTCCTTACACCACACACAAAAATAGACTCTAAATGGTTGAAAGACCTAGATGTGAGACAGGAGTCCATCAAAATCCTAAAGGAGAACATAGGCAGCAACCTCTTCGACCTCAGCCGCAGCAACTTCTTCCTAGAAACATCACCAAAGGCAAGGGAAGCAAGGGCAAAAATGAACTATTGGGATTTCATCAAGATAAAAAGCTTTTGCAGAGCAAAAGAAACAGTCCACAAAACCAAAAGACAAGCGACAGAATGGGAGAAAATATTTGCAAATGACATATCAGATAAAGGGCTAGTATCCAAAATCTATAAAGAACTTGTCAAACTTAACACCCAAAGAACAACTAATCCAATCAAGAAATGGGCAGAAGAGATGAACAGACATTTTTCCAAAGAAGACATCCAAATGGCCAACAGACACATGAAAAAGTGCTCAACATCGCTCGGCATCAGGGAAATCCAAATCAAAACCTCAATGAGATACCACCTCACACCAGTCAGAAGGGCTAAAATTAACAAGTCAGGAAACGACAGATGTTGGCAGGGATGTGGAGAAAGGGGAACCCTCCTACACTGTTGGTGGGAATGCAAGCTGGTGCAGCCACTCTGGAAAACAGTATGGAGGTTCCTCAAAAAGTTGAAAATAGAGCTACCATACGATCCAGCAATTGCACTACTGGGTATTTACCACAAAGATGCAAATGTAGGGATCCAAAGGGGTACATGCACCCCAATGTTTATAGCAGCAATGTCCACAATAGCCAAACTGTGGAAAAAGCCAAGATGTCCATCGACAGATGAATGGATAAAGAAGATGTGGTATATACATAATGGAATATTATGCATTCATAAAAAGGAATGAAATCTTGCCATTTGCAATGACGTGGAGGGAACTGGAGGGTGTTATGCTGAGTGAAATAAGTCAATCAGGGAAAGACATGTATCATATGACCTCACTGATATGAGGAATTCTTAATCTCAGGAAATAAACTGAGTGTTGCTGGAGTGGTGGGGGGTGGGAGGGATAGGGTGGCTGGGTGATAGACATTGGGTAGGGTATGTGCTATGGTGAGCGCTGTGAATTGTGCAAGACTGTTGAATTACAGATCTGTACTTCTGAAACAAATAATGCAACATATGTTAAGAAAAAAGAAAAAGAAGAAGATAGCAGGAGGGGAAGAATGAAGGGGAGTAAGTCGGAGGGGGAGATGAACCATGAGAGATGATGGACTCTGAAAAACAAACTGAGGGTTCTGGGGGGTTTGGGGGGTGGGTTAGCCTGGTGATGGGTATTAAAGAGGGCACATTCTGCGTGGAGCACTGGGTGTTATGCACAAACAATGAATCATGGAACACTACATCAAAAACTAATGATGTAATGTATGGTGATTAACATAACAATAAAAAATAAAAAAACTCATCTATTGAATTTGTAATTTGTCATTTTGTCAGTTTTAGAATTTTATTTTTTTATTTTATTTTTTTTAGATTCCAGATGACTACTTAAATTTTCCATTTGGCTTCAAATTCCTTATATATATTCATCTTGGTTATTTGAAATCCATTTTGTAAATATATTAATATCTCATGATTTTTTCTTTGATCTGCTTGCCTTTTTAAAAAATTTATTTAAGTTCAATTTGGTTGACATATAGTGTATTATTAGTTACAGGGGTAGAATTTAGTGATTTATCAGTTGCATATAATGCCCAGTGCTCATTACATCAATTGCCCTCCTTAATGCCCATCACCCAGTTATACCATCGCCCCACTAACCTCCCCTCCAGCAACCCTCAATTTGTTTTCTATAGTCAAGAGTCTCTTATGATTTTGCCTCCCTCTCTGTTTTCATCTTATTTTACTTTTCCTTCCCTTCCCCTATGTTCATCTGTTTTGTTTCTTAAATTCTACATACAAGTGAAATCATATGGTATTTGTCTTTCTCTGACTGACTCATTTCACTTAGCATAATACCCTCTAGTTCCATCCACATCATTGCAAATGGCAAGATTTAATTTTTTAATGGCTGAGTAATATTCCATTGTATATATATGCCACATCTTATTGGATGGATAATTCATCTGTCAGTGGTCGTCTGGGCTCTTTCCATATTTTAGCTATTGTGGACATTGTTGCATGTGCAACACTGTGGTGCTTGTGCCCCTTTGAATCACTATGTTTGTATCCTTTGGATAAATACCTAGTAGTGCAATTGCTGGGTTGTAGCATAGCTCTAGTTTTAACTTTTTGAGGAAACTCCGTACTGGCTTCAGGGTGTCTGTACCAGTTGCATTCCCACCATAATCTTGTCTTTTGATTTTCAATCAAGTCTTAACTAGTATGCCTAGTTTTTTTTTTTTTTTAAGTTGAATAATTGACCTTGTATGTGAAAAACTGTAGCATTATCTTGAGAATCTGTATGTAGCCATTGTCTCTTGGAAATTTATTTTTGGTTCTGAAAAGCAGCTAGAAATCCTAGATCACTTTCATCTAGTCAGTGATTGAGACTCATACATGTAGTGTGTAGTGTTCCAGGGTTGCAATGGAAAGCCCACTGGAAGGTGTGTTTACAGTGGCTCCTTCTCCTTGGAGGACCCTGCAATTTGTCTCCCTCTTCCTAAGCCCATGAGGCAACAGATTGCTCTGCTGAGCTTCTAAGCCTCTCAGCTGCCACTTCCAGAACTGCCATTTGCCTCAGGGAGAAGAGCAGTGCCCTAGACTCAAAACTGCTCTGAACACCATGACCTACAAAACCCTATTACTGAATACTAAATGCAGAATAATACCTGAAATACAATGGAATTCAGTAGGTAGTCAGAAGTGATATCTCTCTTGTACTGACTTTTTTAAGTGGAAAGCAAATTATTGTAAGGTGTTTTATTATTGTATAATCGTATAGTTGCATATAAATAGATAATGGAGATACTTTATAAAACCTTATCTATAATCATAGAAATCATATCAAAATAGATGTTTTAAGACATCTATTTTAGGTTTTAAAGTTTGAGATAATATAAAAATCTTCATGTGGTCATATGTATCTGATGCTCAAATACTACCTTCTATGCTATTTTCTCTTTTCCAGGGTGGCTATGATGCTGGTTTTCTGTATCACTGTGAGTTCCCCCCATATGACAAAAGTAGTGCTATCACAAAAAAGCCAGATGAACCTTTTGATTTTCGTCTTCTTGAAGATATGGAGGATAATCCCATCCAGACTATCACTTTCAGGTGAACTGAATTTCAGAAAGCCCTAAAAAAAACCCCCATATCCCATTTATGTCTATGTTATTGTCCATCATGAATATTGTTCATTTTAAAAGATCTGTCCAAATGGAGGGGTACTTAAACATTTTCTAGTTAAATAAATTGAATGAATAAATAGAATCAAAGCTAATTCTGAAACTGTATTTCAAGTCCCTTTATCAAATATTCTGTCAGAATTTCTGTTTTTCACACAATTGGTTTGTAGGAATTTACTCAGGAGGATGCTACTGCATGGTCAGATAATGAAGGTTCAGTGTTGCAATGATTCTGGAGAAATCACAAATTGAATCAATAGTTCTTTAATAATTGAGAAGCATATATGCCATTCTTTTGAAGATCACATATAATAGCTGCAAATTTCAAATTGGCTTTTCTTCTCCTTCTACCCTTTTGTACGAGTTTGCTAGGGCTGCCATAGTTATTTAGCTTTAAAATATGAATGGGGGGGCACAATGTTGTAGTCTATAACATCTTCATTATTAAAATTTAGCCATTTGTCAGTTAATTTAAAATTAAACATTTTCAGATTAATATGAAGAACAATTTATGTTTCATAGCATTCACCAAGATATGATGTTTTGTGGATTGCAAAATGGAGCAATTCGAGTCTATATCCTAAGTCAGGGTAATCCTTCATTGATGAATATAGAGGACTACTGGCACTTCAATATCCATGACAATGATTATGGATGTATTAAAGGCATCTCTACTAGTTTTGATGACCGTTTCTTGGTGACTACTGGAGCAGATAGTAATATCTTTGTTTTCAACATTTTTTCTGAATTTGAGCTGAAGAAAGACATCAGAGCCAAAGTGCCATCTCCCAGGGTATGTAACTAAATAATAACCATTTTAAATAAATATTTTAAAGTAGTGATGTCAAAATTACTCATTCTTTAAAAACTGAAAACTCTTTAGACACATCTTATAGTCTATTCTTGCTATTAGTATTATAATTTTGATTTTTCTGGTGCCTCTATTATTAAATATTAAAGTCCTTGAATTCCCCTATAACACTAAAGGTATAGAATTCACCAAATTAAAAAGACTGAGTCATTTTTTTCAAGATCAATCACTTTCTTGATTAAAATTTCTTTGTTTTCAAAATGTACAACTTTTTCAGATACATATTTTGCTTTTTATTTATTCACTTATTGAAGGCGCATGGGGGAAGTACACCAAAATTTGTGTGTTTGATAGGGGTTGTAAAAGTATTAGTCTTTAGTATTAGAATATGACAACATGGAGCATGACCAAAGATTTAGTTAAATTATTCTATTCTTAGGCATAATATATCATTGGATTTGTAATGAAGATTGAGGGTTCAGATCCCCAAAATATATCCATTTGCCCTACCACATGACCTGAATTTTCTATTATCAAAGTAGTTCCTTTGGGGGAAAAAATCACTAATAACCATTAGAATTGCTCCTCAAGAAGAAGGAATTGTATTAAAAAGACCATAGTTAAAATTCCTGTGAACACATTAGCATCCAACTTTAAAGAAGATACAAAAAAAGTAGGGCAGATTTGAGCAGGTAAATTTTCATTTCTATTAATAGAAGGAAAGTTAGGAGAATGGAGTGTTGTCTAAAGAGCTCCAGCCCAGGAAGAATTACATAAGAAAGTATATGAACAAGAAAATCTTTTTCTTTCTACCTAGTGCCAGCTCTCTCTATGGAAATCTGTATTGGACAGAAGAAATCCATTTCACATTTGTATAATAGGATCCTTTTATTTATGAATTCAATCAGTATTTCTTATGTCACTGATGTGGACTCTGCTTTTAGGAATGCAAAATCAGAAAGAACTGAATAGAGTACTAAGCTCTGCACAGGTCTAAGGTTCTTTAGAATCCGCTGGGGAGCACTTAAAAGTACAGATGCCTGAGCCCCAGCCAGGAGCAATTAAGTCAGAATATCTGAAAGTGAGGCCCAGGTATCAGTATTTTATAAAATATCTTGCTCTCCTCTTCCCTGGTCTCAGCCCCCATGATTCTAAGGTGCAGCCAGGATTGAGAACAATTGGCCTATATTTTGGCACAGTTGGTAGCAACTCTGTTTAACTCAAATTAATTGTAAACAGCTGAGGCCAAGAGCTAGATGGCTGAGTATCCTGGGGATCACACTGCTAATGGAAAACCAAGGGGCTTGGCTCTGGACATTAAAAGAATAAAAAAATAAAATTCAATCAAGTTATGTCCTAAGTGATTAACAGTAATTACAGTGTATTAGCCATCAATGTCTCTTATACTGGTCATGTCTTATGACTTCACTTTTACTAAAGTTCTAAACTTTGGTGTACCTGGCTGGTTGAGTCAGTAGAGCATGTGACTCTTGATCCCCGGATTGTGAGTTTGAGCCCCATGTTGGGTGTAGAGATTACTTAAAAATAAAATCTTAAAAAAAAGTTCTAAACCTTATCTTACACAAAAATATGTAGATTTACATTTCATATGTATAAAGACTAGTACTGTAATAATACAACTTGGTCGAAAGAGAGTCCTTATTTCTTCACAATGAATGAGAATAAACCAGAGAACTATCTGTTATGAAAAAGAATAGAGAATAAACAAGTTCAATTTTACTTAGGAACTGATTAGCTAACAACCTCAGACTTTGGTTCACTGGATTATAATTCTCCTTCCTTAAATTTTATAGCATAGCACCCGAATAAAGTACTTTTAAGTGACTTACTTCATAGTTCCCTTAATTTCCTTTCTAAAAGGAGATTCCTATTTCTGATTTCATCTTTCTTTATTAAGGGGGGGAACTATATTATTCTGTGCATTTCTCACTGTATGTCTTTTTTTTTTAATAAAGTCAAGTGAAATGCTTAGAGTTTAAAAAATATTCTATGTCAACTATACTCAAAAAATTTTAATTTGAAAAATATATATATTTTAAAATCTTCCTGTATACATGTAGGGTATTTGGGGGAGAATTATGCATATATGAAAGGGGATAAGCTAAAAAACAATGTTAAAACAAATGACCTAGAAAATTTGTGTGTATTCTTTTGTGTGTGTATTCTTTTTAAATAACACGTGATATTAGCAATTCACATTTTGGAGACATATTATAGTGATATTAACATTTTGCATACACATTAGTTTTCAAGACTTTTTCTACCTACCTCTTTAAATAAAGCAGAAACAAATAAGTTTAATCAATTACAATTTTCCCCCTAGTTTTCCCTAATTTATTTCTTATGAAAATACTTTGTAGGCTTGTAATTATTAGAAATTGGCAGAGGGGAAAAAACTCAGTTTACCTCATATTAGGTATTTTAAGAGAAGTATACAATTTAAAAGATTAACCATTTCTCCCCTTTCTATAGTTTGGGATTGAAACAGAGCCAATTCCAGAAGATATTGAAGATCCCAAAGCCTACAGGTATGGGAATTTTTGATAAATACTCGCTAGCCCTGAACTGTTGCAAAATGGCATTTAATAGAAGTTAACCAAACCAAAAGATTTCCAAATTATTGAGTTCTTGTTTCCTCTTTATGCTGTTTCTGTATCTCATTATCCTTTTCAATTTCTGTTTTCAGTATTGAGAATGCTAGAAGAAAAAGAGAACATGACAAGTTAATGAAAGAAGTGGAAGAAATAAAGGCTGGGAAGAGAGAAAAACTCAAAGCTTTGAGGAATGAATTTCGGAAACTTCTAGAAATGAATCAAGGATTACCAAAGCATATGCAGTTTAAGCGAACAGTAAGCCTAAAATAAATTTGACTTTAATTTTTAACATACACTGTTTTTTGGATCAAGACTATTTTGCTGATAGAGTAGGAACACTTAAAATCATCTTTCAGCTTCCCCTTATCTGGCCAGTGTGTTTGCAGCAGCTAAAATACTGTAGAATTTGACACACAACTTGGTTTAGATACAGAAGAGCCTTCTTACATAACATAAAGTTTACTTCCGGATTTAGTTACCTCACTTTTTTGGGGGGGGGCTAACAAGTTAAGATATAAATACAGGTTTGAATCTAGTTATCAGCCCTTACTACACCTAGCCAAGATATCCAACCATTGTATAGGTACACATATATTTTGATTCTCTGTGATTGTATTTCTATAACTCACCAGATCTATCGAAAAGATAGTAACTGATAGGTCTACAAAGTTTTTAAAAGATGACTTAGTATAGTTGTAGCTATGGGGACAATCAACAAATTGTTCAAGCTAATTTTGAATTTTTTTTCTTTTCCGACTAATTACAAAGCCCCATCTACCTGCTAGTGATTTTCTTTTCATTGTGTACTTCTTTCTAAGTGGAATTGCTGTCAAGAATCTAATCAAATAAAAAGCCAGAATTTATCATCCTGACTATACCTATAATTTTAGAGGCACCTAGCCAATTCCATATGAAAAATGCTCTGGTGAAATAATAATGGATAATTCATATTGGTTAAAAAGACCAACCTGCAATGGTTAAAAGATATTTATGCTATTTTACTAAGAAAAAGGTTGACATTTATGGAATATGGGTAACATAATTCAAAATAAAGAACACCTGAGGTGAGTTCTGTGGCTAAACATTTTATATGTATATCATTACTTAGAAACACCCCTGGAAAGATTAATTACTTCTTACAATTTAGTCTGAATGTGGGCTCTGATATTTTTCCAAGAATGAAGGTAAAAAACATTACGCACCTAAATATCCTTATGGGAGAAATGGCCCTGTTGGTGAAGGACATCCAGCTTGAACTTGGTAACCTCAAAAAGACACCAAAGACTCAGCTGTCTTTCCTGGATGGGGTCACATGGGAAGGCGTGCCATGAATGTCTATCCTGTGCCTAGCTGGTTATGTGCCAGGAGTTGTTCTGGGGTGGTGGAAGTATTTTTTTTTTTTTTAACTGTGCACTCTCCAAACATTCTGTTATTCATTGTTTTTATTGTGAGGAAATCTTTTCATATATAACCCTATTTTCAGTATTGTTAATTATTTCTGAGAACTTTTCTCCATATTTTGTGGAAATAAAATGATAAGTATGTTACTTTTTTCTAGAACAGAGAGAGTTTGTGATATTTGGAAGAGAATTATAATGCAACATGAAATTGAGTACAAAACTTAATCTGTATCTGTGTATGAAATAAGTTTGATAATGTACATTGATAAAAGTACCCAATTTGGTGAACAAATCTACTTATTTGCAGGATTTTGATATAGATTCCAAAATACGTGCTGAGATTGCCAGGAAAACCGCTTTTAAAATTCAACAAGTGGAAAAAGAATTAGCTTGGGAAAAAGAGAAACATCAACTTGGCCTCATGAAGCTACAGAATAGGTAGGATCCATATTTCCTGCAAGTTAAGATGTTTGAGAACATATATTTGAATGAAGTTGTTTATCGTGGCTTAATCGAAGTGGTCAGGTGAGAGGTGTCCTACAGTACCTACTCTTTTTTTTTTTTTTAAAGATTTTATTTATTTATTTGAGAGAGAGAGAGAGCATGAGAGGGGGTTGGGTCAGAGGGAGAAGCAGACTCCCTGCCGAGCAGGGAGCCCAATGTGGGACTCGATCCCGGGACTCCAGGATCATGACCTGAGCTGAAGGCAGGTGCTTAACCAACTGAGCCACCCAGGCACCCCAAGCACCTACTAACTCTTGAAATCTCAAGGAATCCTCTTGTCACTGCTACTGATATCTTCTTGAGCTTTCTGAGAAATTTAAATCTGGGAAATTTATCAATTAGATTTTTTAGAGAGCTGGGGTGGCTCTTGATTTTGGTTCAGGTCATGATCTCAGGGTCATGAGATTGAGCCCTGTGTCAGGCTCCATGCTGGGCATGGAACCTGCTTGAGATTCTCTCTTTCTCTCTCTGCTCCTCCCACCCCCCTGCTCTCTCTCTCTCTCTCTCTCTCTGTCTCTCTAAAAAAAAATTGGATTTTTCAACTCAACACCCAAAAAATGATTTAAAAATGGGCAGGAAACATGAACAGACATTTCTCCAAAGAAGACATCCAGATGGCCAACATCTCTCATCATCAGGGAAATTCAAATCAAAACCACAATGGGATATCACCTCATACCTGTAAGAATGGCTAAAATCAAAACCACAAGAAACAGCAAGTGTTGGTAATGATGTGAAGGAAAAGGAACCTTCGTGCACTGTTGGGAATGCAAACTGGTGCAGCCACTGTGGAAAGCAGTATGGAGGTTCTCAGAAAGTTAAAGATAGAACTACCTCATGATCCAGTAATCACACTACTGGGTATTTACCCAAAAAGTACAAAAGCACTAATTCAGAGGGATACATGCACCCCTATGTTTATAGCAGCATTTTTTACAGTAGCCAAATTATGGGAGTAGCCCAAGTGTCCATGGATAGATGAATGGATAAAGAAGATGTGGTATATGTATACAATGGAATATTCAGCCATAAATAGGAATGAAATCTTGCCATTTGAAATGACATGGATGGACTAGAGAGTAATGCTAAGCGAAGCAAGCAGTCAGAGGAAGATAAATACCGTGATTTCGCTTGTGGAATCTAAGAAACAAAACAGATGAGCAAAGGGAAAAAACAGACAAAACAGGTAATAGACTCAACTATAGCGAATGAACTGATGGTTACCAGAGAGGAGGTGGATGGAGGGATGGGTGAGAGGGGTGATGGGGATTAAGGAGGGCACTTGTTGTGATGAGCACCGGGTGATATATGGAAGTGTTGAAATCACTTATATTGTACACCTGAAACTAATATAACACTGTATTAACTATATTGGCATTAAAATTTAAAAATAATAGTACAAAAATTTTTTTAAATTAAAAATTAGATTTTTTATAAACCAAATGATGTAATAAACATTTGTTTTCTGTTTTTGGCAAGTTATTTTATATCTAGTTACCACATGAGCAGATACATCTTTAAAAAATAAAAAATAAGCTAGAATGAAAAGACTTATAATGAAAGACAACTTTCTGTCCAATCTCTCTCATGTACCAATAGGGCTCCCCATGAGGAAATTGCTTTTTTTTTTTTTTTGGCCTTTTTGAGATGTAATTTACATTCAGTAAAATGTGTAAATTTTAACTGAACAGCTTAATAAATTTTTACAGTTATATATCACATATATCCACTACCCAGATTAAGAACATTTATAGCACTCCAAAAAGTTCCCTTGTGGCCCCCTCCCAGTAAATATCAGCTCTCCAGAGATGAATGTTTATCACATTAGTTTTGTCCATGAACTTCATCACACAAATTGAATGTTGCGGCATGAATTCTTTTATATTTGGCTTCTTTTACTTAGCATCATGCCTAAGATTATCTATGTTGTTGCAGGTAGAAGTAGTTTATTCTTTTTCATTGTTTTGTAGTAATCTTCTATGCTTATACCATATTTTATTTATTCATTCTACTGTTGATGGATACTTGAGTTGTTTCTATTTTTTGGCTATGATGAATAATGCTGCTATGACCATTCTTGTGCATGTTTTTTGGTGGACATAAGAACTTATTTGTTTGCTTTATAACCAGGAGTGAAACTGCTGGGTCATAGATTATATGCATGTTTGGCTTTACTAGACACTGCCAAACAGTTTTCCAAAAATGGTTCAACGAATTTATACCATGACCATCAGTGTATGAGAATTCCAATTGATCCCCATTGTATTAGCTTCCTAGGGCTTCCATAACAAAGTACAACAGACTGGTTGCTTAAAAGAACAGACAAAAGTTCTGGAGGCTGAAGTTCAAAATCAAAGTATTGGTTGAGTTGGGTGTGGGGTTTTTGCTTTTGTTTTTGTCTTTGAGGAGAGATAGGTTTTTATTTATTTATATTGAAGTATAATTGACATATATTAGTTTCAGGTGTACAACCTATTGATTCAACAATTCTATGCATTACTTAGTACTCACCACAATAAGTGTAGTCACCATATATTATTACAGTGTTATTGACTATATTCCTTGTGCTGTACTTTTTATCTCCAGGACTTATTTTGTAATTGAAATTTGTTAATCTCCTCTTTTTTTTCTTTTTTAAGTAATCTCTATACCCAATGTGGGGCTTGAACTCACAACCCCAAGATCAAGAGTCACATGCTCCACCAACTGAGCAAGCCAGGCACCCCTATTAATCTCCTTTTAATTCCCTTTGTCTGTTTCACCCATCCACCCACCCACCTCCTTTCCAGTTTGTTCTCTGCATTTAAGAGTCTTTTTGTTTGTTCACTTGCTCTGTTTTTTAAATCCCACACATAAGTTAAATCTATGGTATTTGTCTCTCTCTGTCTGACTTATTTCACTTTGCATAAAACCCTCTAGGTCCAGCCATGTTGTTGGAAATGGCAAAATCTCATTCTTTTTTTTTATGGCTAATAGTCCATTGTATGTATGTATGTATACATGTATACACACATATACATATGTGTATACATACACACATATATGTACATATATGTGTATATATACATACATATATACACACATATACATACATACATACCACCTCTTTATCCATTCATCTATCAGTGGACACTTGGGTTGCTTCCATATCTTGGCCATTATATATAATTCTGCAATAAACATAGGGGTGCATATATCTTTTCAAACTAGTGTTTTTGTTTTCTTTGGGTAAATAGCCAGTACTGGAATTACTGGGTTGTATGATATTTCTATTTTTCACTTTTTGATGAACCTCCATACTGTTTTCCACAGTGGTTGCACCAATTTACATTCCCACCAACAGTGTATGAAGGTTCCTGTTTTTTTTCCCCACATCCTCACCAACACTTGTTATTTCTTTTTGATGCTAGCCATTCTGACAGGTGTGAGGTGATATTTCATTGTAGTTTTGATTTGTATTTCCCTGGTGATTAGTGATGTTGAACATCTTTTCATATGTCTATTGGCCATCTGTATGTCTTTGAGAAAATATCTGTTCAGGTCCTCTCCCCATTTTTTTTTTTTTTTAAGTAAGCTCTATGCCCAACTTGGGTCTTGAACTCATGACCCTGAGATCAAGAGTCACATCCACCAATTGAGTCAGCCAGGTCCCCTATCCTTTGCCCATTTAAAAATTGCATTGTTTGGGGTTTTTTGGTGTTGTATAAGTTCCTTATATATTTTGGATGTTAATTCCTTGTTGGGTATATCATGTGCAGATGTCTTCTCTCATTCACTGGGTTGCCTTTATGTTTTGTTGATTGTTTCCTTTGCTGTGCAAAAGCTTTTTCTTTTGGTGTAGTCCCAACAGTATTTTTTTTGGTTTTGTTTTGTTTTTTTTTTCCCTTGCCTGAAAAGATATATCCATAAAATGTTGCTAAGGGTGATATCCAAGAGATTACTGCCTATGTTTTCTTTTAGGAGTTTTATGGTTTTAGGTCTCATATTTAGGTCTGTAATCCATTTCGAGTTTATTTTTGTGTATGGTGTTAAAAAATGGTTCAATTTCATTCTTTTACATGTAGCTGTCCAGTTTTCCCAACACCATTTGTTGAACAGACTGTCTTTTCCCCATGTGTATTCTTGTCTCCTTTGTTGTAGATTAATTGACCATATAAGCATGGGTTTATTTCTGGGCTTTCCATTCTGTTCTGTTGATCTATGTGTCTATTTTTGTGCCAGTACCATATTGTTTTAATTACTACAGCTTTGTAGCATATCACAAAATCTGGGATTGTTCTACCTCCAGCTCTGTTGTTTTTTCTCAACAAAGGTCTTTGTGGTTCCATATAAATTTTAGGATTACTTGTTCTAGTTCCATGAAAAATGCTATTTATTAGTTTCGTCGGAGACCTGGGAGGGAGAATCTGCTCCATGCCTCTCTGAGCTTCTGGTGTTTTGTCAGCAATCTTTGGTGTTCCTTCCTGTAGATGCATTACTCCAAATCTGCCTACAAGTGGTGTTCTGTGTTTTTTCACATAATCTCTCTGTGCATGTCCAAGTTCCCACTTTTTATAAGCACACCAGTAACTTTGGGTTAGGGCCACTCTAATCTCATTATAACTTGATTACCTCTGTCAAGACCCTATTTCCAGATAAAGTCACACTCCGAGATACTGGGAGATTTCAAAGTATTTTTCTGGGTGGATACCATTCAACCTGTTATGGTACCTGGACTGGATCACCTGATGGAAGAACCAAGTGGCACCTGGAGATCTTGGAGGATAGGAGGTTTATTTAATGCCGGCAGGCTCAGAGGAGAGTGATCTCTAAAGGTCTGAGCCCCGAGCACAAACAAAGGGGGCAATTTATACACTTCTACTTCCGTATACTTGGCACTTTTGGTGCATGCACAAAGTGGGGCAGGGAGAAGAACCCGGATTGGTGCATGTGGG